CCAGATCCGTACAACTTGCCTTGTGAAAAAAATTCTCCTCACCTCCCATCTGTTTCTTTTAACAACTATTTTAAAATCGGTGTCTCCGGGTTACCGACCCACCCGCCCGTGGAAATAGTTTCTCTTTGTTCATCCTACTTTTTAATCAAAGTACAATTTACATTTTTATATTGTTTTTCCACATCGAGAGGACTTCTCAGAGCACTTTGTAGCTTAATGAACCTGGGGTGGGGAAGGGGAGAAAAGGAAATTGGGGAAGAGGGAGCTGGGGGGTGGTGGGGAAGAAAATGACCGAACGTGCAGTTAAAGTGCAGGCTTAAGGGAGGGAGGAATTTAGACATAGGATGGGGTGAGGAGGTGGAGGGAGTTAAATGCTAGGGCGAAGATCTTCAATTTGATCCCTGGAGCTGAGCAAGGATGTGGGTGACAGGCTCACTGAACCTGCTGAGGGACATGACACAGCTGCAGAATTCTGGATTGTCCACTGATTTTTAGGGAGGAGTTGGGGAGTTCAGTGATCAGGATGTTAAAATAGTCAAGACTGGATGTGATGAAAGTGTGAATCAGGATCTCAGCAGTTTGGGGGGGGGCGCGAGGTAGTGGTGGAAGCAGACAAATTTGCGGAGGTTAGATAAGCTGAGTGAGCTTGAAAGACAGGCTTGGGCGGGTGGGGGGAGGTCAAACAAAGCTCTGAGGTTCCACACCATCTCTGTAAGACAGAGTGAGCATCTGTCCAAGTCAACTCCGCCAGTGCCTGAGGTGGAAAGCCAAGCCAAGGAGATGGGTGTCAACCTTGATATTTGTCGACATTCAACTGAAATCTAAACTGGGAATATGATGCAAAATAGTTGAGCGACACTTTTGGAATCACTAAATTAAAATCAACTCAAGACATTAAAAGATCTCCCAGAGGTCCTGAACATAATTCTGGGGATTCTGTATCATCTTTTTGGAAAATATATCAGATATGCATGCATTACTGGCTGAGCATAGTGCAGTAGAGAACTTTCCCTTTGACATTGGTTTGGGGAACTATATGGAAAAATCTTCTAACAATTTCCATCATTCAACCTGATAGACTGGTCAAGCAGATTTCAGGAACAATTTTTGTATTGTGGAAATAGAGGCGTTAAAATTCCTTCCTCACTTTCTATCCAGCACAAAACCCAGAAAACGGTTGAAGTTCTTCTAATATACCCCACAAAAAAGCCACATCTCTCTTTTGCAATTTTAAGGGATTATTATTAAGCTGCAGTTTAAGGCTGCAGTATGCTAGAAAACCTCACCACCCCACAAACAATAGCTGGGCATGGAGGCCACAGCAGTCTCTTTTGTTCCACCACGTTTCTTTTCTCCAAACTTGACTCAAGACCAAAATGACATCCTAGCATTCAACTTGGCAATGTTCAAAGGTCTATGCCTCAATGGGATTCCCGGGGGGGGGGGGGGGGGAGTGGGTGGCAGGGGCTCTCCTGTTTTGTTCTTTTCCCATACCGGCAAGTTTGATAGTCTGATTCCTGAGCCACTCGGGACCACAGTGCTCCAGTACTCCAAGGCACTACTGATGACATCCCAGGCAGTATGGCTCATGACTAGGACTTAGAGGGTAGCCCAACCATGGGGGGCAGGTGTTGTTCCTACTTAGTCCAAACCAAAGCCATGGTAATAGCTGGACAAGCATCGGGGAAGCTATTATTTTGAAAATTAAAAAAAAGTGTATTCCTCTTTAAATGACATCTTGAGATTCTCACTTCATTTAATTCCAAATAGTGCTACTTGTTAGCCGCAATCAGTCACAAGTAATCAAGCTGTCCTGTAAAGGTCCACCACCACACTGAAGGCAGATATCCGCTAGTAGTTGATGAGGAAATTCTGAGGTTTAGGGTGACAACTGCTGGAAGGCGTTATCTGGAATCCGAGTTTGTGAACACAAGTTCAGATATCCAGCTCTGGAATCCACCTTGATCTCCCTGCAGAGGCAAGCAGCTGCTGCTTAAACCCGACACCTCCATTTGTTGGAACTATCACTCAATGGGAAGTTCCAACAATTGGAACCTGGGTGGCCGAGCTGCGGACAGGAAGACGTTGGCAATGCTGTCACAAATTTCATGCTGAGATATGTTGCCCACCAGGAAGCTCACAGGGAATTCCTGGTACCTACCATCTACCTTGTGAGGGCTCAAACCCGGCGCTTGTCGAATGACGAATGACCAACTAGTGACTATCTCGGGGGGGTGGGGGGTAGAGAAGAGAGGGGGGTGTCCTTGGAGCTGAACTGGCTCCAAGGTGTCATGTTTGGCAACGAAATATTGAAATCAAGCCAACCCTCTGTGGCAGTCTCGGTAGTCTGGTTACTGAGCCAGGCAGGTCCGCAGTATTCCAGGACGCTGCTGATGACAGCATAGCAAGCCTGGATTTGGAAGGGCAGAACAGACACTGGATCTGGGAATCATACCACTCAACTCCTGTTAACCATGCAAGCCAAAGCCCTAATGGGTAGGGCGGTCCTAGCTGGACAAACAGTGAGAAAGCTTGTCAGAAAGCGATATCAATGGCAAGCTATGAGGTTTTTCAACAACAACAACAACAAGATTCCATTTATAGAGCGCCTTTCACATCGGGAGGACGTCCCAAGGCGTCGGGAGCAGTACCCCAATATACTCTGGGAACCCCACGCCCTGGCTCTTGCCGACCTGCGCCAAATACTTTCCAGAATTAGGTAAGAAGGATGCATCCCTCCAGGGAGAGAGTGTGCATTCCATTCCAACAATCTATCTCTGGGATTTCCATGTGTAGATGGGATGCATGGAATTCTCAGTTTGGTTTGGATACACTTAAGCATGGCGATAGATTTCTGCATGTGTCAAGGCACCTGGCTGACCAAAATAATTACTACAATTAGTCTATTATTTTTCCCCAGAAATAATCCAAACCTACAAATAAACCAATCGAAAAATCAGACATTTTTCTAATTCAAAACATCAAAGTGCAAACTTTCTCAACAGTCCATGTTCAATCACAAGAATTTTGATTCGTTGTGTTCATACCACTACAACGCTTCCAAACAGAAGGGGTATTCAAATACTGTGTTCCCAAATTTATGTTATTTCTACATTTCAAAGTCTCTTCCTGTAAGCACAATTATTTGACAGTCATGATTGCAAATTTAATATCTCTCTGCCTCATCTTCCCTGAAAACAGATATTCCAGTCAGAAAAAAGCCCACAAGCAACCAAAAACACCAGAAAAATATGCCAGCATGCACCACAAAAGCATTAAAAAAACTGCAATCTACGTCCAAAGTGGGGGAGGGGAGAAGAGGGGGATAGTTGAGGGCCGTTGGGGGGAGTTGAGGGGCTGGGGGCTGAGGGTCGGGGGGGTTGAGGGCCAGGGGGGATGGTGGGGGTGGTTGAGGGCCCGGGGGATGGGATGGGGGTTGAGGGCTGGGGGGGGGGTTGAGGGTCGGAGGAAGGGGGGGGGGTTTGAGGGCCGGGGGAAGGGGGTGCGGTTGAGGGCCAGGGGAGGGGGGGGTTGAGGGCCGGAGGAGGGGGGGGGGGGGGCGTTGAGGGCCGGAGGAGAGGAGGGGGGCGTTGAGGGCCAGGGAGGGGGGGGCGGTTGAGGGCCGGAGGAGGGGGGGGTGAGGGCCGGAGGAGGGGGGGGGGGGGTTGAGGGCCGGGGGAGAGGAAGGGGGCGTTGAGGGCCGGGGAGAGGAGGGGGGCGTTGAGGGCCGGGGAGGAGGGGTTGGGGGGGGGTGGGGTTGAGGGAGGGGGGGTTGAGGGGCTGGCGGAGGGGAGTTGAGGGGCTGGCGGAGGGGGGTTGAGGGGCTGGCGGAGGGGGGTTGAGGGGCTGGCGGAGGGCGGTTGAGGGACTGGCGGAGGGGGTTGAGGGGCTGGCGGAGGGGGGTTGAGGGGCTGGCGGAGGGGGGTTGAGGGGCTGGCGGAGGGGGTTGAGGGGCTGGCGGAGGGGGGGTTGAGGGGCTGGCGGAGGGGGTTGAGGGGCTGGCGGAGGGGGGTTGAGGGGCTGGCGGAGGGGGGTTGAGGGGCTGGCGGAGGGGGGTTGAGGGGCTGGCGGAGGGGGGTTGAGGGACTGGCGGAGGGCGGTTGAGGGACTGGCGGAGGGGGGTTGAGGGGCGGCGGAGGGGGTTGAGGGGCTGGCGGGGGGTTGAGGGCCTGGGGGGGGGGTCAAGGGCCTGGCGGAGAAGTGGGGGAGTTGAGGACCTGGGGGAGGGGGGGAGGGCCTGAGGGGGGGGGGGGCGGTGAGGGCTTGAGGGGGGGCTTGAGGGTTGGGGGGTGTTGAGGGCCGGGGGGGGGTTTGAGGGCCTGGGGGGGGGGGGTGGGGGGTGAGTTGGGGGCGGTGGGGGCGGGTTGCTGAGAGCCGGAGGGGTTGAGGGTCGGGGTGGGCTGCCGGGTTGGTATTGCCGGGGGGGGGGGGTATTGCCGGGGGTGGGGGTGGTATTGCCGGGGGGGGGGGGGTGGTATTGCCGGGGGGGGTGGGGGGGGGGGGGTGGTATTGCCGGGGGGGGGGGGGGGTGGTATTGCCGGGGGGGGGGGTGGTATTGCCGGGGGGGGGGGGGGGGTGGGGGGGGTGGGTATTGCCGGGGGGGGGGGGGGGTGGTATTGCCGGGGGGGGGGGGGGGGTGGGGGGGGGTGGTATTGCCGGGGGGGGGGGGTGGTATTGCCGGGGGGGGGGTATTGCCGGGGGGGGGGTATTGCCGGGGGGGGGGGGTGGTATTACCGGGTGGGGGGGAGGAGGGGGTGTTGATGGCTATAAATCGCTGTTACTCTGGAGGCGGCTCCTCCTGATTCAGCTGCAGTGAGTCTGGGCTCCGGCCGCCGCCGCCGCCTCCTGGTCACAGCTGAGCCCGGGGACAGCGGCTCCCAGTCCGGGGTCGGTGGGTGGGTCTGTCTCCCGGGCCCGGGCTCGGCCCTCTGCTCCGCTCCCCTCCCCTGCCCGGGGCTGTGCCCCAGTATCCGCGCTGCCCTCGCTCCTCATCCACTCACCTGCTTTAGGCCGCACTCGCGCACCGCGATCCCCAGGCCCCGCTCCTCCCCCCCCCCACCCCTGGCAACCAGCGCGCACGCGCGTTCACGCCGCCCCGCGTGTGCTCAGACACCTCAGTGCACTGTGCGAGTGTGAGTGCAGCTCAGTCTGTGACAACAACATTCCCTGCACTTGGTGCAGCGCCTTATCAAAGACTTCGAGACGTCTCAGAGCGCTTCGCAGAATAGACTGTAAAGTGAATCGACTATATTTCGTGGGCAAAACCCGGCAGCCGATTGCACACAGCAGTGTCCCACGAACAGTCGTGTAATCGAGTGGCCAAATTATTGTTATTTTCGAAGGATTATTATTCCCTGGAAAATCGATCTGGGGCTATCACCAATTGGCTAACAGCCGAGTGCCTACTTACTGCCGGGCGAACAGAGGCGTGTGGAGTCTGGCAACTTGCACAACTTTTAGCCCTGCCCGGGAATCGAACCAAGGTCCTCTCGCTTGCGAGGGCTCTCAACAATAAACTACATGACTCTACACTTTGTACACTCTGTATGTATAGACCAGTATTTGCAGTCAGTGTATGCTTATTTGGAGTCGGTCAGTGTTCAACCCTTTCAGTGACAGAAACCTGCACATTGAGGGGGTTTAAACTAACAATTTGCATTGGTAGGAGAAGGACAATTCAACAGTTTGAGCAAGAATATTACAAAGGTCGTTCTTATTTTTGTAGAGATAATGTGACAATAACCAGAACATTTCCTAACCAAACATGTCATACTTTAGGCAGGTATGAGCACCAATATTAATTCATCAGAGAGCATTTAAAAGAGCAACAAGACTAATTATAGTGTTCTTTGTTGGGGAAAATTGCTTGCAGATCTGAATTGTTTTTTAATAGAAAAATGGTTGAATTCCTGATACTGCTTTTTGTATTCACTTTGGTCCTTTTTCTTTCCTGCCAAAATTCCCATAACTATAGAATAGTAAAACTATAGCAATAATACAAACAGATTTGCATTTGTGATGACACTCTTAAAAGGTGCTCGTTGCTGAGTGCTACCTGGCTCTCCTCAGCTTCAGGCCTGGGCCTTGCTTTAACTCTGGCTTCCTCACTTCGGCAGAGCCCTAGAATGAGGGACAAATACATTAGCAGAATATATCCCCCCTGGTATAGAGGTGTCATTTAATCCTTCGTGTTTGGTATGATGAAACTCAGTCACTTGAAGATGTCAACACACTTGATCCAGTACTATACCATTTGACACAATTTATACTTATACAGCACATCATTATGCAAGACTTACAACCTTATCACAGATGGCAAAGCCTGTTGGGTAGTTGTTCAAAATTTTCAGATATCAAAGCAGCTTTGACACCTTTCTGCATTTCTGCATTCTTCTGCATATTTTGTTACCCTAGCAATGCCTTCCAACTTTAGGAAACACATAAGGAATTTCACTCAATCCATGAGCCTCAACTATCCTTTCTACCCCACATCTGTGCCATGACCCGCTCTGCCTTCCCCCACCTCCGCAATGTCGCCGGGCTCCGACACTGTCTCACACTGCAGGCCGCTGAAACCCTTATACATGCCTTCAACAACAAGATTGCATTTATAAAGCGCCTTTCACGTCGGGAGGACGTCCCAAGGCACTTGAGTCGGGACCCGAGCAGGGGGGAAATGGTCAGGGGGAGGGGAGGGAAGGGAGGGAGCGAGAAGGGGGTAGAGAGTCGAGAGGGGAGCTGAAGGCACGGTTGAAGAGAACCGTTCATTACATTGAGGCTCGACTAGGCAAACTCATTGCTTGTCGGTCTCCCCAACTCCTCCCTCCACAGGCTGCAGATCATCCAGAACTCTGCAGCCCATGTCCTCACTCACACCAGGCTCCACGACCTTATCACCCCCATCCTTGCCCAACTCCACTGGCTTCCCATCACAGAGGATACAGTTCAAGATCAGATCAAGATCCATGGTCTTGCACCCCCTACCTCTCCGACCTCCTAACCCCCATCACCTTGTTCTCTCCCTCTGCTCAGCGGGCTCCGGCCTGCTTCACGTCCCCCACCCTGCTCGCCCCACTATCGGTGGGAGGACCTTCCGCCGCTCTGCACAACCTCTTGAACTCCATCCCCTAGTCCCTCCATCTCGCTCCCTCACTCGCCACCATCAGGACCCACCCGAAGGTCCTCCTCTTTGACCGTGCTTTCGATCTCCCTGCTTCTCCCCTGCCCTCCACCCTCAGCTCGGGCCCATAACTCTGTCTGTTCAGGGCCTTCAATTCACTTTGTAGTATATTCTGTGAAGCGTTTTGAGACGTGAAAAGCGCTATATCAAATGTAAGGATTATTAGTATATTATTATAATTGCACAGTGAATGCACTTCTCCTCAGACTTGTTCAAGTCCGCCTGGAAGCCTTCCTCTCCGACTGTGATTGGACGGTGTGTCTCGGACACCGTGATTGGACGCGGCGTCTCGGGCACTGTGATTGGACGCGGCGTCTCGGGCACCGTGATTGGACGCGGCGTCTCGAGCATCGTGATTGGACGCGGCGTCTCGCGCACCGTGATTGGACGCGGCGTTTCGCGCACCGTGATTGGACGCGGCGTCTCGGGCACTGTGATTGGACGCGGCGTCTCGGGCACCGTGATTGGACGCGGCGTCTCGAGCATCGTGATTGGACGCGGCGTCTCGCGCACCGTGATTGGACGCGGCGTTTCGCGCACCGTGATTGGACGCGGCGTCTCGGGCACTGTGATTGGACGCGGCGTCTCGCGCACCGTGATTGGACGCGGCGTCTCGCTCGCTGTTCATTATGACATTTTGGCGCCTTCCTCTCCGCGCTCGCACTGCGCCTGCGCGAGAGGATGTTTCACCTCCCACAAGTCCGAGCGCGGAGGGGCCGTTAAACGGTCCCAAGTATCAGCACTCGAGCTCCGGAGACCAGTGCCACAGCCCCACAGCCCCCCCCGACCCCACAGCCCCCCACAGCCCGACCCCACACAGCCCTCCCCCCACAGCCCCCCCCGACCCCACAGCCCCCCACAGCCCGACCCCACACAGCCCTCCCCCAACAGCCCCCCCCGACCCCACACAGCCCTCCCCCAACAGCCCCCCCGACCCCACACAGCCCTCCCCCAACAGCGCCCCCCGGCCCCACAGCCCCCCCGACCCCACAGCCCCCCCCCGACCCCACAGCCCCCCCCCGGCCTCACAGCCCCCCCACAGCCCCCCCGACCCCACACAGCCCTCCCCCAACAGCCCCCCCCGACCCCACAGCCCCCCCCGGCCCCACAGCCCCCCCACAGCCCCCCCCCCCGGCCTCACAGCCCCCCCACAGCCCGACCCCACACAGCCCTCCCCCCACAGCCCCCCCGACCCCACACAGCCCTCCCCCAACAGCCCCCCCGGCCTCACAGCCCCCCCCTGGGCCCCACAGCCCCCCCCGGCCCCACAGCCCCCCCCGGCCTCACAGCCCCCCCCCGGCCCCACGGCCTCACAGCCCCCCCACACTCCGGCCAGGAGACTGATGCTGACCCACACGGGCATTCTCTGGTGCTGAGTGTATTAAGATATACGTTACATTATTACTTTCGGATCGTTTATACCAAAGGAGAACGTCTCGGAATGTGAGCGCGCGATTTACACCCGAGACCATGGAAATAAGAGGAATGATAGAGAAACTAGGTACAGAGAGAGCGTGAGACACTGCATTCAATGTGAGAGAGACACTGTACAGTGTGTGTGAGAGAGACACACTGGGTGCAGAGTGTGTGTGAGAGAGACACTGTACAGTGTGGGTGTGAGAGAGACACACTGCGTGCAGTGTGAGTGTGAGAGAGACACTGTACAGTGTGGGTGTGAGAGAGACACACTGGGTGCAGTGTGGGTGTGAGAGAGACACACTGGGTGCAGTGTGGGTGTGAGAGAGACACACTGGGTGCAGTGTGGGTGTGAGAGAGACACTGTACAGTGTGGGTGTGAGAGAGACACACTGGGTGCAGTGTGGGTGTGAGAGAGACACACTGGGTGCAGTGTGGGTGTGAGAGAGACACACTGGGTGCAGTGTGGGTGTGTGAGAGACACACTGGGTGCAGTGTGAGTGTGTGAGAGACACACTGGGTGCAGTGTGGGTGTGAGAGAGACACACTGGGTGCAGTGTGGGTGTGAGAGAGACACACTGGGTGCAGTGTGGGTGTGAGAGAGACACACTGGGTGCAGTGTGGGTGTGAGAGAGACACACTGGGTGCAGTGTGGGTGTGAGAGAGACACACTGGGTGCAGTGTGAGTGTGAGAGAGACACACTGGGTGCAGTGTGAGTGTGTGAGAGACACACTGGGTGCAGTGTGGGTGTGTGAGAGACACACTGGGTGCAGTGTGAGTGTGAGAGAGACACACTGGGTGCAGTGTGGGTGTGAGAGAGACACACTGGGTGCAGTGTGAGTGTGAGAGAGACACACTGGGTGCAGTGTGAGTGTGTGAGAGACACACTGGGTGCAGTGTGGGTGTGTGAGAGACACACTGGGTGCAGTGTGGGTGTGTGAGACACACTGGGTGCAGTGTGGGTGTGTGAGAGACACACTGGGTGCAGTGTGGGTGTGAGAGAGACACACTGGGTGCAGTGTGGGTGTGAGAGACACACTGGGTGCAGTGTGGGTGTGAGAGACACACTGGGTGCAGTGTGGGTGTGAGAGACACACTGGGTGCAGTGTGGGTGTGAGAGACACACTGGGTGCAGTGTGGGTGTGAGAGAGACACTGGGTGTAGAGTGTGTGTATGAGAGAAACTGGCTGCTGGATGTGTGATCAACAACAACTTGGATTTACGTAGCACCCTCCACGCCGGACGGCATCTCAGAGCGCTTCACAGTAACGGATCCCGGGGCTGAGCCAGGGGGAGGGGGAGTAATGTGACCAAAGACACGGTCGAAAAGAAAGGTCGTCAGCAGAGACCTGAAAATAGGAAGGGAGGGAGTGAGACGAAGGGAATGAGGAAGACACTGAAAGATACTGGGTGCAGAGTGTATGTATCTGTGTGAGAGACACTGGGTGCTGTGTGTGTGAGGGACACTGGGTGCAGAGGGCGTGTGTGAGGCGCATTGGGTGCAGAGGGCGTATGTGAAGGACACTGAGTACAGAGCATGTGTGCGAGAGGCACACTGGTTACAGATCTTGTGTGTGTGAGAGAGACACCCAGGGTACAGAGCTTGTGTGTGTGCGAGAGGCACACTGGTTACAGATCTTGTGTGTGTGAGAGAGACACCCAGGGTAAGAGCTTGTGTCTTGCCCCAGCTTACCTTTGCAATCTTCTACCCTACAGCCCCCCGCTCCCTGCACTATACTGGCCGGTTTCACTTACCCTACCATTGGGGTCGGACTTTCAGCCTTTCTACCCCCCTCTCTGGAATTCCATCCTGGAGTCACTTAGCCTCGCTCCTTCCTTTGCCTCCTTCAAAGCCTTCCTCTTTGACAGCACCTTCAGTCATCTTTCCCACCCCTTTGATCCCCACGCTTCCTGAATTCAACCCCCAACTCAAGTGGAAACTCTTAACTGTCCAATGATTTGGAACGTCCTTCTGACATGAAAGGTGCTATATAAAAGCAATTTGTTGTTATTGTACCGAGTGTGTATGAGAGAGATTGAAACTAAATAGTGTGAGTGAGAAATCAGCTCATCATTGATGGGACCATATATTTATATCAACCACATATGGCCTTAATGATTTCTATTTCAATTTTGATATATTCCAATTTGTTAAATCCACTTCTGCCACCCTTTCAGTATTCCCTGGCTTGATGCTGTGATTTCCTTATTTCCTTGAAGTAATTAAGAGAACTTCATCCTTTCTCTGTAGGTCATCAGCTGGTTGAAATTCGAGTTCGAGCATTAAAGAATATATTGTGCAAAATTGATCATGGATTAATTACTCTGGTTGATCTAGCTCAAGAAAAGAGGCTTTTTGTTCTGCTACTTGAGTGGTTCAACTTTCCAAATGTTCCACTGCAGGGAGATGTACTTAATCTGTGTAATCAGCTTGCAAAGGTGAGTAATTTGGACAACATTCTTTAGAACGATTTACCATTTTATAGACGAGTGAAATAGGCTATAGGAATGGGGGACTAAATTATAACCAAACTTGCATGACAGTTAGAAGTTTTATAACGGCCATCCTGAAGCATACTGCTATTTGTGCCTGAAGTTGAATAAACAAATTATCTTCCTCATTCTGTAAATGTAGTTCAGAGTTGGACTTTCACAGTTCCACCATATATAATTTTGGAATTGTTTGACATGTTCATCCCCTTATTTAATGTTTGGTGTTTCCTGCCCTCCATGAGTCGAAGTGAACATTAAGCTTGTAATTCTTTCAAAAACAAAGTTAGAGAGAAGTACCTGGTTTCATTATTAGATCAATTATATGTAGACCAAATTTCTCGTGACTTTGATTTATAGAATGGCAATTTCTTATTTTTATGTTGAGTTGCTCACAGAATGAGAACATAACTATGATGTACAATCTGAATGACTTCCATGTCTTCACTTATAGCATTCCTCTGGGGGCCAACATTTCAGAGAAATTGGAGCCTTGGAATTTTTATCTCAGTTACGTCCCAATGTGGAACCAAAAATACAAGTTTGTATTGATGAGATTGTGGATAATCTGTTCAAACTCCCTGATACTCCTGTTGATACACAAGCAATTGCCTATCAGTTACATCCTCAGATGACCATGGAGCAGCAAGGTAATCCGAGTTGAGCAATAAAAATGTAACCAAGCAGCCCCAATGGTGCAGTGGATAGAGCTGTAGCTTATGGACTGGAGTTTGCTGGTTTGAATACATACAATACAAAATTGCATTTGTATGGTGCCTTTCACGTCAGGAGAATGTCTCAAGGTGCTGGGTCCATGCTGAGTTTGCTCAACTGAGCTGGAGTTGCATGAGTAGGCTAAATTGGCCCAGCCTTCCCAGGGTTAGGGAAGGGAAAATCAGCAGGTTCTTGCTCCTAGACACTTTTCAGCACCGTACGCTGTTTGTGGAGACAGGATGGAGAGAGGTCAAGCTCGCCTGCCCCTCCTTGTCCAGACTGCCAATGCTCACTGCCAAGGCTCGTGCATGAACAATGGCCACTTGATACAGAAGGGCCATCAGTAACTGTAACTGTAATCCAGCATGAGGCTAACCCAGGAACAACAACAACAAGGTTGCATTTATAGAGCGCCTTTCACGTCGGGAGGATGTCCCAAGGCACTGGACAGTTGGGTCGGGACCCAAGCAGGGGGGAAATGGTCAGGGAAGGGAGCGAGGAGGGGGTAGAGAGTCGAGAGGGGAGGTGAAGGCACAGTTGAAGAGAAGAGAGGCAAGTCACTGGGATGCTTGTCCCTTGTCCTCTCACAACCTCCATAAATCAATATGGAGGTAGATCTCTTCCACTGTGGATGTATCTGATTTTGTCCTTTGTACATTCAGATGCATCTATCCTCAGAGTCTCTGCTTGATAGGAATAGTGGGGCTGAACTCTATTTTCTACCATTTCCTGACTCATCAAATCATAAGTGCTGAGTAGTGGACACGGGCAGTCCAGTTGAGCATTTATTTCATTTCCAATTTGATTTTGTTAGTCAGACCTCGGGGTGCACTTGGTATCATGCACCCACAATCACTTGGAAAAGAGTTTATTTAACTGGAAAAGGTGGAACTTCAATCACAAATATGAAAAGGATTGAGTTATGTTTCCATAACAGGTTTGATGACCTCTGTTCCTATGTATCTTAATATAAAGAGATGTTTAAAAAGATAACAAGTAGCTAGTGTTATCATTGTAAAATTTGTTTTTGTATAGCTCTCCCTGCTGTTGCTTGTGACGTGGAAGATAAAGTGGCTGGTTATTTTCAACAAAACAATAACAGAGCAAAATTAAATGAATTTCCACTGCTGAGAATGAATGGTAAGTTATTAGAATCTCTTGTGCTTTAAGTTTAAATATGTTTTCACTTGTAAGGTGAAATTCCTATAGTTTGTTGTAAAACAATGATTATGTTGTCCTGTACTTCTACTTTTTGGTAGTTGATGATAACATAAGAAATGCTAGACGAAAAAAGACCAAAGTCCATCAAGTTCACCTTCCTGGCGGTTGCATGCACATATGTCCCAAACTACCTATGCACTACATCCCATAATGTTATTTCCCAAACTATTTAATCTATGTTTGAAAGAATTAACACTTCCTGCTTCAACCGTCTCCCTAGGGAGCCTGTTCCACAGGTTCACTATTCGCTCAATGAAATAGTGTTTGCGTAGATTCATTCTGAATTTAACCCCCTTCAATCGCAGGCTATGTCCTCTGGTTCTACTCTTTTGGACAAGTTGAAACAGCTTGTCATGATCTGTATTGTCTTGCCCCTTTAGAATCTTAAAGTTTATTTTGCACACTAACTTTAAAAATATAATTTTCAACAGATGTTTCAGGATTATGTATTGAAATCAATACAAGTATAGTACATAAAACCTGAGACAAAGGAACCGTGACCTAGAAGTGCAAATTCACTTGAAAGGGTATGAAGTGATAGTCATTATAGAGACGTGACAATGAACTGAGCAAGATTTGTAGCTAAGTGTGCGTTATAGCAGGATATTTGGGAAGGAGAGAAATTAGAAAGGAAGAGGAGGATATTATCTCAATATATAATTTTAGTAGAGGTTAATGTACATACTAATTTATCACCCCCTCCCAAAATCCTCCCCCACCTTCATCTCTGACATCTCCTCCCTCCTAGCTTCTCTCTGACTCTGCTCCAACCGCCTCATCATCCTAGGCAACTTCAACCTCCACATCACCCCCTCCTGCTATACCTCCTCAGACTTCTCTCTCAACCTCTCCCTTCACATCCATTCTGCTACCCACACCCATGGCCACCCACTCGACCTGCTGATCACCCTCAGCGTCTCGGATGTCACCATCACTGACAAGGTCATCTCTGACCACCATTTCATCTCCCTCAACTCCCATATCCCTCTCCCCACTGCCTCCGAACCTACCACCATCTTCTACCCTTGTGAAAGAAGATCTCCCCGCAAACCCTCTACGTTGCCCTGGAGTCCTTTGAACTCCTTCCCCTTTAGCCCACCTCTTGCACCAACCCACTCATTGCGCTTACTCTTCTCCACAGTACCCTCTCCACCACACTAGACGCCCTCACCTCCCGAACTGCCTACTATTCCCAATCCTCACTCTGGTTCTTCAGCCACCTTGGCTCGCTTAAGGGTCAGGTGCGGGCTGCCAAACGCACCTGGTTCAAATCCGACCTAACGGTCCACCGCCACATCTGGCTGGACCTCATCAAAACCTACCGCTCTGCTCTTGCCTTGGCCAAATCGTCTTTCTATTCCAGGTTAATCCTGGAGGCGAAGGGCAACCTCAGGGTCCTGTTCTTCACCACCAATGGCTCCTTCGCTTTCCCCTCCCTACCTTGCCTCGCAGATTCTTTCCTCTGACTCTGACGAGAAAATCAAGGGTATCCACTAGGCTGCCACTGCCCTCCCAACTTCCACCCCTTCCCTATCCCCACCCCACACTTACCACAATTACCCATCCCTCCTTTCACACCTTTGAACCTGTCACCCCGTCCTTTGCCTTCACCACCATATTTTCCATGAAGCCCACCATCTCTTCCACCGCCTCTCCTCCCACCTCAACCTTCAAGGTTCTATCCTTGACTGGTTCAGGTCCTACCTTTTACACCGCCTCCATTTTGTCTCAGCAAACGGCTTCTCCTCCAGCCCCTGCACCGTCTTGTTCCTCAGGGCTTTGTCCTCGGTCCCCTCCTCTTCACCCTCTACATGCTCCCCCTTGGTGACATCATCTACAGATATGGGGTAAATTTCCGCATGTATGCGGATGACACCCAACTCTATCTCTCAGCCTCCACCCTCAACTCCAGGATTACTGGCGTCCTGACCAACTGCCTGTCCAACATCAAATCCTGGACGAGGGACAACTTTCTCCAACTCAACATCAGCAAGACCGAGGCCCTCCTGATTGGCTCGCGCTAGCGCCTCCGTACTTCGGGCACTGGCAGCATCAGCCTCCACGGCTGCACACTCAACCTCACTAAGCCAGTCAGGAACCTGGGTGACTTGTTTGACCCTGAACTGTCCTTTCTCCATCATATCCGACCCATAACCAGCACTGCCTACCACCAACTTCGCAACATGTGGAGTCCTACAGCTCAGTGGTTAGAGCACTCGCTTTGCAAGTGAGAGACCTGAGTTCAATTCCAGGCAGGGCGAAACCTTGGGCAAGTTTCCTTACAACACACACCTAATAATAATCCCTCCAAAACCAAAAACAATAATAAATTGGTCATTTTCAATCTACGACTGTTTGTGGGACATTGCTGTGCGCAATTGGCTGCCGCGTTCGCCCACAAATATACAGTCAATTCACTTTACAGTGTGTTCTGGGAAGCGCTTTGGGACGTCCTCCCGACGTGAAAAGCGCTATATCAAATGCTATTATTATTATTAACATTGCCAGACTCTGCCACTGCCTCACCCCTCACGCTGCCGAAACCCTTGTTATGCATTCGTCACATCAAGGCTCGAATACGGAAATTCCCTCCTCATCGGCCTTCACAAGCTGCAGATCATCCAAAACTCTGCAGCTTGTGAACTCTCGTGCACCAGGCTCCGTGACCCCATCACTCCCACCTCGCCTGATTCCCCTGGCTGCCCATCCCTCAGAGGATCGAATTCAAGATCCTTGTCCTCACTTTCAAGGCCATCCATGGCCTTGCCCCCTCCTACCTCTCTGACCTGCTGACTCCCTACCAACCTGCCCGCTCCCTCCATTCAGCGTGCTCCGGCCTGCTCCACGTTTCCCGCCCGACCCGCCCTACCATCGGTGGCCGGACTTTCAGCCTCTTTGCCCCCGCACTCTGGAGCTCCGTCCCATGGACCCTTCGCCTCGCTTCTTCCCTCGCCTCCTTCAAGGCCGGTCTCAAGACCCTTTTCTTCGATCGTGCCTTTGGTCGCCCTCCCACCGCTCTGCCTTCCCTCATCCCTACCCACCCCTCCCCCATGCTCGGGTCACAATCCCTGACTGTTCAGCGCTTTGGGACGTTCTCCCGATGTGAAAGGCGCTCTATAAATCTTTTGTTGTTGTTCAGATTACTGGTAATGGTTGGGCCACAGCACAGAAATTGCACAACTGCAACCTATTTTGTAAGGATTTAGATTAATTTCAAAAAATTCTTTGCTCTAGAGAGAAACCCGAAAATAAAATGATATCTTGGCAGCCATTTGAACTGAATGCTCCCTTATAATATTTATGTTGTCTTGTACCCGAGTCCATGGACATGAGAGAGAGACAGAGAACCTTGCCAGAGAGTGCTTTCAATGTGGGTTTTTAAACTCCAGCAGTTACTCAAAGCATATTCTGGCGACCGCAAACCTTGGTTCTTGCTTACCTGCGCATAATACTCCCTGGAATTAGATAAGCAGAGTGTGTTCCTCCAGGGGGAGAGTTTGCATTCCATTCCAGATTCAGGGAAATTTCCAAGTGTGAGTGGAATGCATATGTGGAAATCTTTTGATATTCTTAAGCAAAGTTATGGGTTTCTGCTCAGCTGACCAAAAATAATCCTATTCTTATGATTAAGACATTGTATGTTCAATAATGCACAGCTAACATTACATCAACCACTGTAATTGTTTTGTTGTTTTATTTTGTACTGATGAATTTATTTGTCCATCTAGTTAATAATGCAGTCAAATGTTTGAAGTTTTCCACCTTTCCTTGGTTGACGCTGACTGTGACGGACAGGCACATTCTTTCATCAAATGAAACGTAAGCATTCATCAGGTTAGATTAATGGCAATGTGAAAGGCTGCACTCTTCGAAGCTTTGACTGCGATTTTGGGGGAGGAGGAGGAAAGAGTGTTCTATTCCAGTGTTAGCTATAAATATTTCAATACTGAAATGTCCGAACGTTACAGTCGGTGAACAGTCATTTGCCGAAGGGGAAGAGCCGCGGGTTTGTGAGGTGAGGGCACCCCTGCACTATCACTCTCCAGTGCTTTGTTTGCTGTTTAGCTGCCAAGTGGCCCCATGATTAGCTGGCAAGCACTCAAGTGATTGACTGCCGAACAACCCGCCATTTTGGCTTGATTGCAGATCGTAATATCAGGGGCTGCGATGCTTCAATGATCGCTGTATTGGGATAAGAATCAATAGGAAATAACGGGTCTCAATGTCGAGTTGGATGCACAATTGGATGACAAAATAAAAACAGTTTTAAAGGTAGCTATGCCAACAGTGTAACAGTTTTCTATTCCACGTCCCATGCTGTCTAAGTATAATTTTTATTGCAGATGTCTGTTTTCATCTATAAAACTGTTGTATATACCTGAATTCACACTGAGCCTGCTTGAATATTTTGCCTTTTTTATCGTGAGGATATCCTGTGGATAGACAGATGTTCATCTATGTCTAGATTCAATAGTTTAATCTGTTTATTTGCAAATATCACATTTAAAAATGCAAGTGACGGAGCTAGAGTTGTGTAGAAATTTTAAGTAGGAACAGCACAGTTCAATGGGGAAAAGGCTTGATATCCCTATTTCATTTGTTTTCCCCCCAAATAGCTCGTTGAGAAGCAGTAATCAGACCTTAGTCCGTAGTACATGTGAACTTCTGCAGGATGTCATCATGCAGGATTTTCCAGCTGAGATTTTCCTTCAGCGCCCAAAAATTGTCCAGGTAAGAATTTTCTTGCCTTTTGTGTTGTGCTTAAACTGCTTGGTTCCCATATTACAAGCATTGAATTCTGAAGTGTTGTCAGGTTTAGCTGTTAGATTGGAGCAAACAAAACTTTTTCTACTGCTGGCTGTCACCTCTAAGGGATTCAAAGCTTCTTTGCTGTGCATTTTGTATTGAATTGTTATAATTATTGCCTCACGGACAGATTTAAACTGACTTGAATACTGATGTAACCTGTCAGTTGTGATTAACAAGACTCACCTATGGATTCTTCCCCATGAAGAAACAATGTCATCTGGATTGAGAAGTTATTTCTTTCTATATCAAATGCAAGGATTATTATTATTACATTAACCTGTGCCAATCACATTCTCACAGCTACAAAGAGTTTTTGTATGCATTTTAAGCAGCCTTTTTCAAGACAGAGCAATTTCATACAGGAGTCAACCTAAACAAAAAATTAGATTTATCAATAGAATTAACCATCAATTCACTAAATATACAATTTGTGAATTTAAGTAGAAATATTGATGCACAGACTTCCTGTTATTACAATGTCCAGCTAACCAATGCTTTTTGACATTAATTTATGCTTTGACAGGCATACAGTAAATATTTGATATACAAATTGTAATATAACATGAGTGCAAAGTGCAGATTTTTTTATTCAGTCAAAATTATAAGGAACTCTTTCTCTTTTAGAACCTTCTCCTATTGACAAAATTAGCATTTGGGAGAGATGGCACACAACACTTAGCACTTCAGGCTGTAGGTTGCCTCTACCAACTGTGCAATTACCTGAGAAATAGGTTGAATTTTCACAGGGACCCCAGCTTCTTCTCAGCAAAAAATGGTAAGTTTACTTGTATCTTTCAATCTGAATACAGTATTTAAACCTAAAGTTATGATAGAGGACTGACTATCTGTGACCTGAATATTGAAGCTCTTTATATTTTTTTTATCCCTTTATTTTTTACCTTTAAATCCTTTTTTTTATTATCAGTTTTTTGCTTGTTTATTTTCTTTCTCACAAGATTTAGTTTCTCAGAACTCTTCAGTGACCCATGCTCAGGAAACACAGGGAACACGCATTTCCCAAAATCCATCTCCCAGAAGTACCAGTCCTAGACCATCTGTGATTGGGCGAACAGTTCAGCGCCCCAGAGGAGATGGTCAAGATGGAGACGCAGCATCCTCAAGGTAAATGGCAATTTTGCTTGGGATTCATATCATAACAATTTCTTCTATTTAGGTAGATATCTTATAATAATAATAATAATCCTTGCATTTGATATAGCGCTTTTCACATCTTCTCGACGTCTCATAGCGCTTCACAGAATAGACTGTAAAGTGAATTGACCATATATTTGTGGGCGAAACACGGCAGCCAATTGTGCACAGCAGTGTCCCACAAACAGTCATGGATTGAACATGACCAATTTATTATTTTGTTTTCGGAGGGATTATTATGTAACTTGAATAATGAAAAATCATTGATTCTGTCAATGCAAACCTTAGTCTTTATACATTTGTTTTTGTTGGATGGTTTAATTGAGGGGACAATACAGCGTTTTAATTCAACTACTCTTAATGGTTTTATTCTAATCTGTAATGTATAACAATTAAGGAATATATAACTCCTCATCTGGATAACATCACCTCTGACAATTCAGCGCTCCATCAGTACTGCACTAGGGTGCAAACTCAGCAAAACCATGGATTTGAGCCAATAACATTTGGATCAGAAGAGTGCTACCAACTAATCCAGGCTGTTGTAATTTTTTGAATATTGCACTTCTGTTGAACTATCATCTTTTCCACAAGGCGGCATTCTATTCTGTAGTCCCTTCATTCCAAAAGTGTAAGATTTAATTTCCTGCTTTATACTGGTTTTGCATGAGGTATCTCACATCTTCTACCTCATCAAATCCTTTAATTATTTTAAGAATTTGGATATTGCTGCGTGTCCCTTGAGCTTGCTTGTTCCTATGAGAATAAAAGTAGAATTTGTGGCTTAGTTTTATAGAATACAAATCTGGGGTGTACTGGGGCAAGTATGGTCACCATCTCAAGCATAATATTCATGAATACTTTATTAAGTGCTTTTATTACTACTTGAATTTCTTTACATTTTAGTTGCCAGCCGAACATTGCACTTTAATGTTTGATAAAATACAAGGATTGCAAGTGCTGTGCTCACCATCTTGAATACTGGACCATTCAGTAGGAGTTGGTGTTGGGTGCTCCATTGCTCAATAAAAGTATTGATTGGAAGATGTATGCATCAGTGTCCTGTAGCTCAGTGGTTAGAGCACTTGCCTTGCAAGTGAGAGACTTGGGTTTCATTTCCGGCAGGGAGAAACGTTGGGCAAATTTCCTTACTACACACACCTCTGTTTACCTAGCAGTAAGTAGGAACCCGGTTGTTAGCCGATTGGCGGATCGCTTTTCCGGGGATAATAATCCTTCAAAAAAATAATAATTTGTTCACTCAATCCACATCTGTTTGTGGGACACTGCTGTGCGCAATTGGTTGCTGCATTTTGCCCACACAAATACAGTCAATTCATTTTACAGTATATTCTGTGAAGTGCTTTGAGACGTCTAGAAAACATGAAAAGCGCTATATCAAATACAAGGATTATTATCAGAATTGTTGATTCCTGTTTATCTGGGGGTTGTGGTAGATGCTAACATTTGTTTGGATGCTGTCCTTTGTGATTGCTGGGAAAGGGTGAAGAGTGCTCTGTTATCATTGAAACAAGATGAAATTGACTAAAGCCCCAACAGCTTGCGGCGTATAAGTTTTGTATTCCGACAGTTCTCTTTTGTAGTTCAGAGCTCATAGGCATCCAATAGAAGGGAAAGATTAAGCTGTTGGTGATGAGTAAGCTTAACGTTGCATTTGGAACTTTAGAGCATCAAAGTGGTTGGCATGTTGCATGTTATCTTATAAGGGTCCTTTCATCATGCCGAAGCCAGATGCCTGTTCGTACCTACCTCGATGGAGACATTTTCAACATCAAAAGCAATGTTTCAAATGCAAAGATTATGATTTATTATTTGAATTTTCTCCATCTTCAGAAGAAAGGATGAGAATTTATGTATTTGAATGTCTGTTAAAGTTCTTAATTGTTTCTCTTTTCTAGTGGAAGCAGTTCGCAGGGACATATTCATTCCAGAAGTCCAACTTCCAGCCATTCTGTGCTTGACTTGGCTCATGTAGAGATGCCCAAGATGGAAAATGAGGATTCTGTGGAGCTACAATTCCAGCAGCTCAGTCTGCCACAGTTTTGTTGTTTGGTCCTGGAACATGTAATTTCCATGCTTAGAACAGGTATCCATCATCCTAAACAATGTTCTTCAATGCATTGATCTTATGTAGGTCATATGACTTAAACCATAAATCATTGTGTAAGGGCCAGCAGTTTAATGGTATCAGGTGATTGGAAGAAAATATTGTAATGATTAAATAAATGCTTACGTTAGGTAATTAACAGTAATTAATTGTTCAAACGTAATCCAGATTGATGAATTGAAAGCTGTGCAAGTTGATTGACCAGTGTCGATCGTTTCTCCTTTGGGTACACTATCTGATTAACACTGACATCCGTGTGCAGCAGAGGGTTTCCTGTTTAAAAAAAAAACCTGATACCTGCCAAATTGAGCACAAAAATTCATGAGAAAAATAATGCTGAGTGATAATTTCTTGCATGCACAGTTGAAAATTGGAAGTGATTATGGCTGTAATGTCATCAAAGTGGTTCAGATTTCATCCTGTCCTGAGAATACAAATATCCGATTATGTTGTGTTTTGGTTTAGTGCTAATGATACTCATTAGCCTTTAAAGTGTCCATTTTAAGTCACTGATTCTCTTTGCAGGTAGTAGGAAGATTGTGTTGTGTGTACTGGAATTGTTGGCCGAAGTGGTACTACTCATAAATTATTCAATCTCTGAAGACGTCTGGGTTGATGATAGTCTTACAGGTCGAGAACTGGTATGATTAAGAGCATTTCAGATTCATTTTGTGATGTGGCAACAATTTAAATTCATATGTCCCCCTTTATGTGTGCTAGTGTATTTGAACGACACACAATGATGGAATTGGATGCTGAGCAAAGGGGGGGTGGAGATCACTGTAAGTGTGGCCGAAGAGGTAGGTTTTAAGGTAAGATTTAAAGACTGCTTGAGAGTGAGTGAGATGGAAGCGTAGAGGGAGTTCTAGAAGTTAGGAGTGTACTATCTTTAGGCTTGGGAAATACTGGTGGTGTGGGGGTTGCACAGCAGGCTGGAGTTTGCCGAGGGGAGGTGGAGCAGAATAGTGGGATAGTGGGTTGTTTTTTGCTAAGTTGTGCCTCCAATGCTCTCCATAATTTGGTTAACGTAGAGAGAGCGCGCAATCTATTTCAGGCAAGGGAATTTTCTATATTTAAGTGGCATACATATGTGGTACTTTGTCTAGTTCGGAATCTCTTAAGCATGGTAATTGGATGTGTCCAACACCACTCTGACTAAACAAGATTTTTTTTACATTTGGCTACATTGAACTGCATCTGTCATATTTCACCTAATTTTTTAATATCTGCTTGTAAACATTTCAATCTTGAGTTTAACTTGCTTCCAAGCAGCATGTAGACAATGTTGTCAGTGCCACCTCCTGTCCACGGTGTGCAGTAAATGATTGCAATAGTGGCTATTTTGACTTTGTGCTATGTGTCTGAGTTTAGGTATCCAAACCAAAGGGTTCTCCTGTAAGTAAGGAGTATGTCAACCTTTCATTAAAGTTCTCAGCCACCTTATGTTTGTGTATTCATACTTACTGGGGATTTACTCCTGAGCACAAATTATTTAGTTGGCCTGAAAAAGCAAGGTTAATAAAAATCCTCACATTTGGAACAGCAACTTTCACAAAGGGAAGACTGTCTCAAGGCACTTCAAAGGATATACTGTGAAGTGGAGTGACTGTGTTTGTGGCAACTAATTTAAAGTGACAATATTGTTGGATCTCTGTGTTTTACAGAGGGAAAGCCTGATAGCTGGTTTGGATGCTTTAGGGGAAAGTCTTGCCTATCACAGTTCTAGCATCAACGTAGACCTGCCAGAGGCTATGCTGCTGCACCACCGCATGACTTTTATCAGTATTGCACTGTTCACTATGCAGCTGCTGCAAGTACTTGTCCCAGTGGAAAAGGTGAGAATATTGGATAAATCATATTGAATACAATTTATATGGTGCCTTTCACATCAAGGCATCTAAAAGTACATACATCATATAGAATGATGAAGGCTATGTGCAGTAAATGAGTTATTTTACAAATTAAAAAGTGTAGTTATGATGAAATCTGCATTTACTTATGTAATTATACACTATGGTCCCAAGCGATGGAATTGGATATGGTTAATCTTCGTGTAATTTCGGTGATGCCTACTTTTTAGATTTTTCCATCTTCAGTCAATAAAACTTGGGTCAACACTTCCAAGTGACACACTTGTGTAAAGATTTAGACCCATTACAAAATTTACTGTCCTGGAAATTTGGAGAAAAACCTGAAAAACTCCTGTCAATCAAAAACCCTCCAGCCCAATCAGTTATTTCGACCGAGTGCCAAAAGACAGCTATTACAGAGTTCCACTGTGAGCATTGATAGAATTCTGATACTCGCAGAAACATCCACTTGCACAGATTGAACAATTGTACCTGCTTTAGTAATCTCACTGTTTTACTTGAGACCTCTCACATCTTTGTCTCTTGATACTTTCTCAATGATGAAACTATCATGTGTCTGCTGTATTCCCATTAAACACAAAATATTAGAAACTTACAATGGAGAAGACTACTAGTTCTTTCAATGTGCAATCCATTCAGTCCCATTTTACCTGCCCTAAAATGCTAGAGGTCCTGATAGAGACACTCACTCTTTCAATTCAGCAAATGTTTTGCATTCACATGTGGGATATTAAATGGAATAAAATAATATCTACTGCAATTGCAAACTTTGAATACTATTGATTTCTTCACATCAAATGTGGTTTATGCAGCTTTACGTTGTGTGATAGTCATCTAGAAGAGAGCTAAGAGCTATATTTTGTGGTTCACCGAATAACTACTTCGGAGACAAACACAGTAAACTTTGTACATTGCTAAAAATAAAATGTTTTGCTAGAACAGATTACAATTTTTCATTGTTGATTTTGAATTCTCTTGTAGGCCAATGAAGTTCTGCCAGAGAGCATAGAAGTTGTTCTGTATCTTTTGTCTCTGGACATATCGTTTCGTTTAGCTTATCCCAACGTTCACGAGACCATCACTGCCTACTTAGAGCAGGTCAGCTCTGAGAGTTACACTATTTACAAGAGGGCCACAGAGATTGTCCACTCAATGGAGTTTGCATGTCGTTTTCTCAAGGAGATTGAAGACAAGGTATTTGCTATTAATTTTAAGATCTAAAACTGTTTTATTGTTAACTTGAGTTGTTGAAGGAGAGAGGTTGCAAATCGAACGGGTGTTCAATATGTTTATGGTTCTGTTCCAAAGAAAGTATTATGGTTTGGTTTGCAGAGACTCACCGTAGCATTGTTTTGGTACCCTTGTTACTTTCAATGAACTAATTACATCATTCTTTTTATGAACATCAAAACATTCACAGATAAAAAAAATAATCTACCATCAGTTCTCTTGCATTGATGTTCCTCAAAGTGAAATGCCTCATTGCTTTTAAGTTTGTGAACTCCCCATACAGAGAACTGTTGATTGAAAATCTGTATGCCCTCACTCTTGTTTGCAATGTTACTTCACTGATTTGTTGTGGTATTAGACCACTTTATTATAATTAATTGGAATATTTTTATTTTCAAAGTGTTCAGGCCAAGCACAGAACCTTAACTTTGTACTATTCATTTTTTGGATTCGTACCAGATTTGCTCTGCCAGATTTTATGATAAGTTTGAAATGGAAAAGTAAATGGCATTCTGAGTTTCTAGATGGTTGTAAAACCACTGGTTGGTGAGTCATACATATGAGGACATTTGCTGAGTTAGCTGATCTCAGGAGGGACAACACTGGGACTACTATAATTAATCTCAGTGTTCCTGGGTTAGGGAGGGAAAATAGGATAAGGAACACAAATTAAATAGCAACAGAGGGTAAGGAATTCAGGAAAAAAGTATCCCAAATAGAATCTGTTTGGGTATATCTGATAGTTAAAGGCAATATATTGTGGATGAAATTTGTAAACTATTTACAAAGCATAAATTAGTAATTGGGTTATAATATAGATGATCTTAATTATTATTATTCAGAAATGGATGGCAGAGGGGTTGAGACAGAGTTCTGGAGCATAGCGGCTGAAAGCACAGCGGGGCTCAGAGTTTTTAATTAATTGGAGCTCTTGCAGGTTAGATTTACAACGATATTACCAGGGATGAATCAAGGAAGATTGGACAATTTGGAGCTTTTTACTCTGGAGATGAGATAATTGAAAGAGGACCTGATAGAGATGTTTAAATTATGAAAAGATTTGATAAGGTGGACATCAAGAGACTTTCCATTTATTGGTGAGTCCAAAACAAGAAAGCATAAATATAAGATAGCTAATAGATCGAATAAGGAGTTTATGTGCAAGGATCCTGAAGGAAGCTGGTAATTCTCTGCTTTGTAAAAGTGAGCTCAGTTTATATATTTAACTTAAAGTTTATAATTTAAATTTGGATGTCATGCTGCCTGCATTTTTCTCTTGTAGGATGAAAAGAATCTTCTTGAACTGATTGAGTTAGCAGACCAGGCAGTGACGAGTCTTCCCTATCATCAACACCTCCAGCTGATTCAGAAATATATTGAAATCTGCTCAGAAATGTAAAGAAGGATTTCTAACATTTGTAATATTACAGCCTACAAAATAGAAATTCTAATACGAATGACTCGTTTTTTAACTTTTATATCAACAGTTCGTACGTAAGAACTTTGACAAAGCTAAATGTGTTAAAACTTTTTTTCTGGAGCACTACAAAAAGCAATGCTAAAAATCTTAATAGCTCTCTCTGTCACATGTTGCATTCTCCTTATAAAAGACTGGGTCTGAAATTACAATGCTTGATAACCTTGTTGGCAATAGTAATGCTGGCAATAGTTAGTGAAATTGTTTACAGTATTTGCCTGCATCGGTTATGAATCATGGAAAACAAAACAGCCACAAGATGGCAATATACATTTATATAGCAACTTTCACATCATGAGGACATTTCAAAGTGCTTTTGCAGCCATTGCCTATCTGAAAGTGGAGTCTCGCAACTTTTAAATGCCGATACCATCTTTGATTTTTTTATTACATATATATGTATATCTCTGAAACTAAGTGTATTGTTTTTTATTTTTCACAGTTGGAAATCTGCACAGGCCAGTCCATTACTACAAGGAGAAAGTCAAAAAGTATTGCTGAAATTATTATCTCATCCCTTGCCAGCTGTTAAATCTGAGGCTTATCTCTGTTCCTTGAACATTGTAAAGGTGAGATCTTTGGGCTGTGATAAACTAGCAAGCTGTATTGTATTGGTTTTATTCAGTTCTGTCAGCTATTAGATTTTTGGCATAAGGTTACTGTATTTTTCTTATGGCTTCTGATGTGTGTATTCTTGAGCAGTCAGCTGATAGATATTGGCAATTACACTATGTGGAAATTGATCTTATTTGAAACACAAACTTAATTGTTTCTCTTTCTTGCCAAGGAGTGTTTGGGAATCTACAATGTCACAAAGCCAATGCCATCAGTTTGCCAAGGTGTTCATTTTCTTCTCCATGGCCGAGTGTTATATGAAATATGCACATTTGGCCTACAGGACTCTCTAGAACAGGTTAGATTTTCAATGATTGTTTTGTAAAGGTTGTTTATTTTCTCATTCATTTAAATTCTATGTAAATGCATTGAACGCACCTTGGGAACTGCCACTCCATTCAGGCCACCGAGACCTTTGTCCATGCATTCATCACATCAGGCAGTCTTATCCACTCTTCCCTCCACACGCTGTAGATTATTTTGAACTATGCAGCTTGTGTCCTCTCCTGCACCAATCCATGAACCTATCACCCTCATCCTTGCCTAGCTCCACTGGCTGACCAACCCCCAGAAGATAGAGTTAAAAATCCTAGTCCTCGCTTTTAAAGCCCTCCAAGGCCTTGCTCCTCGCTACCTCTGACATGCTAACTTGATCTGTTCGTTCCCTCTGCTCCACCGACTCTGCCCTGCTTTGTCATGGAGCGGAGTCTGTAACTTAGTAGTTAGCATTCTAGCCTTGCAGCGAGAGGATCCTGGTTTGATTCTTGGGTGTGGAGATACCTTCGGCAAGTTTCCTTACTCCACATGCTTCTGTATACCTAGCAGTAAGTAGGCACCCGGTTGTTAATTGTTTGGAGGATCGCTTTTTAATCCCTCAAGAAAAATGTGGTCACCCAATCCTCAACGATTTGTGACGCTGCTGTGCGTAATTGGCTACCTGGTTTTGCACACAAAATACGCAATCAATCCGCTTTACCGTATACAATTACCACTGTACCATTGGTGGTTGGGCCTTCAATCTTTCTGCCCCCACCCTTTAGAACTCCATCCCACAGACTTTTCACCTCACCCCCTCCCTCCTTCAAGACCCATCCTCAAGATCCTCCTCTTCAACTGTACCTTTGGTCATCCTCCTGCCCCCAGTTCGAGTGCAAATCCTTTACTATCCAGCGCCTTGGGACGTCCTCCTGACTTGAATGGTGCTATACAAATGTAATTTGTTTTTTCACTGCAAAAATACTTGATGGGTATGGATTAAACGTGACTAATGATGAGGAATAATGAAAAGTAAAATTGTGACCAGCTTGTCAGTGTTTGGGATATGAAGTTCTCTTATTTCCCCATTGCTTAGGTGAACAGTGCTGCAAAGAACATTCTGGTTTACCTACTGCAGGGGGGCTTGATAATGAACACTTTAACCTGGAGCAAATTAATTGAAGCCTTCTATCCTGTAATTCCAATTCTGCAGGTAAATTTAACTAATTTGGTGAAAAGCTAAGAACCTCAAATATAGTATTGCTTAAGAGATTGGGAAGTTCGTTGAATTGCAACACTGTCATTTAAATCTGGGTTTAATTCAGCCTTGAATGATGTGATGCAAGACACTGCTGGCTGCAAGAGAATTTGGGCAGTTCAGCGTAAAACTAATTCTCATAAATCCGATTTGGAAATTTTCTCATTAATGCAAAAAGAACCGTGGCAAATTATTTTTACAGAACTAAATAAAGATCTGATGTTTGTTTGTATCATGCCTATGTCATTAGGTAATGCAGTTTTAAATTGACAGAAGGCTTTTTGGGGTCAGCAAGTTGTCTGACACATACGGAAACCCATCATGCTTACAGATATCAATTCCAGACTGAGATTTCCACATGTACATACCACCTAAATATGGAAGTTTCCCTATGTCTGGAGGGATGCACACTGCATACCTAACTCAAGAGAGTATAAGGTGCAGGTTGATAACGCTGACCTGGGAACTCCTGAATGCATTGGGGTACTGCTGGGGTTTAAATGGCAAGCCATGCTTTTAGCTGGTTAGAGTACTGCCTGACAAGAAGATGGCTCCTGCTGCTTTTCTAAATAGGACCATCTTTGCTCTTGGGGCTTTGGCTTGTAGGATTAAGAGGGACGGAGTGGGAAGAATCTGTTCTTCCAGTGTTGGTCTGCACCTCCCAAGTTTTGCCCAAACGGATTTAAATTAACCCAATAACCCATGAAATGGCATTTAAATTCCACAATTGTAACAAAAATAGCCAAAATCTTGTGCCCAACTATTGTCAATGTCACAAGAGACAGGCAAGGATTTATTTTTCCTGATTGTTTCGTTTTTCATTTATATTGTAACTGCAGATGAGAACATTTCTATGCTTTTTGAAAATGTTCCATGTATTTCTCCAACATAACACTTGTAATCATTAGGATGGATTAAAACATGAGTTGTTGTTTAAATGTTGCTTTTGAGATGTATGTAAATGTAAAATCTGACTTTTTGTAGATAATTCCAACAATGTTCATAGTATTATAGATATTTGAATGTTTATATGGTTCGATTAGGGTTTTGCAGATGCAGAAGGCCCCTTAGGAAGCTGTATTCTTGCACTAAGTGAGACATACAATGATGCCGGTGATGGTGTACTCCCTAGGAAAGCTAGGCTTCGTGCAGCTCTTCGACTTCTTATGTGCAAAAAACAATCGTAAGTGTAAAAGCTTTCTTTAACTACTGGTTTTACTCAACAATTTTTGCAGGTTTAAATAACAAATTTTACCACATACAATCAATTCTCTCCTCAGTAAAAGGTGCTACATCAAAAGCAAGGATTATTATTTAATATACACAAATTACTAGTAAGGACAATATTCAATTTTGATCTATCCATTTTAATAGAAATGCATGTAACAAATAAAACACAATTTTGTCATCAGCTTTTATTGGCTTTCATTGGCTTTCGCAACTTCCACTATAATGGAATAATTGCTCTTTCACAAGCATCCTGGCTTCCTCAAAGTTAATTTTAGTAATCACAACCTTGGTGTTTCTATAGCAAGGCATTGGTTAATTTGTCTGTTTTTGTTTAATAGAATACGCTCTATTGCTCTGAAACATTTGATGTGGCATCTGATTAATGAAGAAGGAGCCACTGATAAACAACCTTCATTACAAGGAAGTGTACTCCAATATGCATCAAACGTATACGTATTGGATGAATCTATTGACTTGCATCCAGAAGAAACTAGCACATCTTTATTTAAGGTAACCTTTTATTATTTCTGTCAGTCTGGGTTAGTGGTAGCGCTATTGTCTTTGAATCAGAAGGTTGTGGGTTGGGGATTTAAGCCCTATGTCAAGACATGAACCCACATTGTCTAAGCCAGTGGTGGTCAACCTTTTTGGTCAGCCAAATTTTTCTTTATTGAATTTTTTTCCTTCATTTATGGCCACGTCATGGATATCGGGGCTCACTAGCTACTGGAAACAAGGTATTGATTTGGGGTGGACTTGCCTGGACTGGCGCTAGTGTTTGGCGGTCAACTTCGTGACAGCCCCAAAGTGGTCCATAGTCCACTGCATTATAGTTTTGTGCAATTGAGCTGCCACGTTTGCCTACACATACACAGCCACTTCACAGTAAATTCAGCGAAGCGCTTTAGGATGTCATCCCAATGTGAAAGGCGCTATATAAAATGCCAGGATTATTATTATTTTTTATATTTTTCCAAATGTGCCAAGTAAAAAGATTGAGTATTCAACACTGTACATCGATAAATGTAGGAGGACCACATTTGAACCTGGTGTTTTCAGTTTGAAATGTAGCATGAAGTCAAAATGAGCACCTTTTCTCCACAACTTGCAGAAATGCCAGCAACTGTGTTAGTGGGTGCAATAGAAGATCCTCTTTATAAGCAAACTCACGCAATAGTAAAGTGCGTTTTTAAGGGATCAACCTATATTTTGTTCACTGCTCAACAAGTATGTCAGTTTCATACAAATAAAAACATTACCAAACTGAACCTAAAAGAAAATGGTATATGGTATGCATATGATATGAATTGTTATCACTCCACTCTCCCTATATAATCTCTAGGTGAACAGTAATACAATTATACTGAGAAAAATACAGTACACTTTTACTAGTTTAAGCAAGGTGGAGCTGTATGCTTCTGGGCCCTGGGTAAAATTTGTCAACTTTGCATATCTGAAGCAGAAGTGAAAGGAGTATTGTGAAAGTTCACAAGTACTATTCCTGTCTGTTTGAACTGGTTTCCGTTTTTAAAAGGCACTCCATTGTGGAACTGAATACAGATCGCAGTAGAAAATTCTACAGGATTTATTTACTTTTGAACTAATGGTAGCAATAAATCCTGCCTGGCCCGTATTCTTTGAAAGATTTTACGGTATTAAGTATAGGGTGATGTAAAATTCTATAATTCTACCCTGTCCCAGAACTGGTCCAATTCCCAGGAATCTGAATTCCAACCTCCTGTCACACATTTATTTCCCTCATCTGCATGTTCCTAGTAAGTCAAACGATAGTAATCCTAAAATTAGAATATCTTCAAAATCTTTTTTCAGCCATGATGCCCTGGAAGTCGGACATTTTTTCTGGAGGGACTGGCTCGCTGCACTCGTTCAGTGAAACTGGCTATTGTGCCTCGCGATAGCATGATTTTATAGGTCTCAACCACTACATTATAATGAGCTTATAATATAATCCTTGCATTTGATATAGTGTTTTATTATGTTAAGACATCTCAAAGCACTTCACAGAATACAGAGTGGATTGACTGTATTTTGTGGGTGAAACTGTATTATGATTTACAGCTTTTAGATATCAACCCCTCATGACCACTACCACTACACTCCTGCATTTAACTTTCTTTCCTCCTTTGCAAAACTATGATTGTTAAAACTAATGGATCAAACATACCTGCAAATAGGTTTTATATTATATATATTATAATGTCTCTTGTCTATTATGCTAATACCATTCTATTGCCCTTTTTCCCCCTCAGGGCGACAATGTTTTCAAAGTGTACGAAATCCTAATATCTGAGACTGTTGATCTGGCTCTTCGGAAGTCTGCAGCAGAGCAACTTGTCATTATGATGCAAGGCAAGTGTTTCCATACCCAGTGAACTAACAACAACAAATTGCATTTATATATTGCCCTTCACGCAGGGTAGCGTCCTTGAGCGAATCACTATGAAGAAGAAAAGGAGAGAGGATAATGGTGAAGGGGAGAGAAAATATTTAATAGGAGAGATTGAATAACTGAAAGAACAGAATTCTAGGGTCAAATAATCAGTCAGGAGAAATCCAACAAAGGGAATTAACAATACCATGAATCAATAAGATTAGGAAACTGACAATTAAAAATAGTTGATTTACATTAGCTTTGTTTCCCGAATGGTCGACTGGTCTAGAACAGTTTTAGTAAAACAGTAAATAGTTTTCTAGCAATCATTAATAGAGACTTGTGAATTGCAGTAAGATTAAATATGATGGTGAACCCTGCCTGAAGTCTGCTTACTGGACGGTTAACAGATGTTTTCTGCCCAGTCTCAATAGTGTGTGACATGGGAAGACTTTAAAGTATGAAAATAATGAACTAGTACAAATGGAGAGAAAAGTAGAGAAAAATTGCAAAACTTGTAGACAAAAGTTTCATCATCCTTTCAACGTTTCCAGCCTTTGCTTTTTTGGATTGATACAGAAAGCAACCTGATTGCTGGTTAATAGTTATTTAACTTGCACTTTTTATTCTTATTTATATAGATAACACAATGCATGGAGTGTTGAAAAATCATGGAATAATTGAAAAGATAATCTCATTTGTACATGAAAGTGTGCACAGAAATGGAAAGGTACAGTTTAAAACTTACTTTTTTCATCCCAATTGCATATGAGTAGTTAGTGTAAATTTCAAGAGTATTGTGTAATCCTTTTAATTCCGCGGCGGTGTAAACTGGAAAGCCAGATTTCAACACTAGTTGCGACTGACCCGATTATGGATTTACAAACCAGAGGGGAGAGAAGGGGGAAAGGAGGAGAACTGATCAAAACTCCATCCACAGCTTTCTTTTCATTCTTTATCTGAGAATTGTATGTATTTTGAGAAATTCAAGATAAATTAGTTAGCAAATGATGGTACATGCAGAATTAGTGTGGATGTGGTAAATGAGTGTGGTGTGTGTGCTGTGTGAGTTTGTGAATATATGTATAATACAAATGTTTTCTTTTGGCCAGAGTATGCAGTGCTTGGTGTTGCCATGTCTTGCTATTTTACGAAAACTAGTTTACTCAGACCCCACCCTACGCCACAGCCTGGCTCAAGAAACTCCTTTTCTACTTGCACTTTTCAGAGGTGAGATTCCTAAATTTATAATGGGATTGGGAAAGGAAGCTTGAACCAGAATCTCTGTTCTCTGCACTGTTTTTGGGTGGTTCAATGGTAGAGGGTTATTGATCATGCTTAACTGAATAAGGAACCGAACTGTTGGCAAAAAATATAAAAGCAGCAATTGTGTTCCATTTAGACTAGATTTGAAGAAGAGGGAATGTTGTGCTATATTGGTTTAAATGCTACCTAAAGAGATGGTAGTTCTGGCAATGCAGCACTCCCCATATCGGCTTTAGAGCGACAGCCTAGATATAAGTTCATGTTTTGATGTGGAACTTCAGCACACAAACCTGACCAGAAGTGAGAATGCTGCAGTAGAAATCCATACCATAGGAAGCCACTAAACCTACCACCCCTAAACCATGTATATAAATTGCAATTCTCTTCTGTTTCCCATTTAACACCTTTACTCCACATAATTCACTTCTAAGTACCAACTGGCACAGGTTATATAAATATTATTGAATATATAATGTCAAAGGATTTTGCATTAATGTTTCAGTAAGTAATAGTTTACTATAAGTACCATCAGTATAAAGGTGCAGTAGGGGTGGTATGTTTTAGACTTATAGTAACTATTTTATTGGCTATGTAGTCTCTTTGATTCTGCAGAAGGAAAAAAGTGTCCTTATAGAGGCGGCAGTATTGCTGAGCCTGCTGCTGTTTGATGAAGTTGCAACAATAAATTTTTGGTAAGAATAAGCATATTGTCAATTTCCTAGATTATATAAGTATTTAGTAAGTAGGATATTTACCTTTTTCTCATTATTTTAAAGAGGTTTGTATATTCTTGCATTTTTTTCACATGAAACATCTCCAGATGCTAAACAGGATTTTACTGTAAATGCAGTGGCTGTATTTGTAGCGAAACTTGGCAGCCAAAATGCAACCACAGTAATATCCCATGAAGTGAATATGATTATTGAAGGATGTTTTGACTTTTAGTTCAATTTTTTTTGGCCCTTTGGTGAGTTGATTCTTATCTTAACCCAATCCACAAAATAAATTATGAATTTAAGGGCATTCTGTGCACACCTTGCTCCAGCACTGAAAATGTATAAAATCAGATGCGGTTTGAGTTTCTGGTGTTCATGCTGGCAGTGTAATATTACTTGAGTATGTTAATAGCTTCTTTATTTTGTTGATCCAAACTTTCAATCATCCACCGCTCAAAACCACACACTTTGTCCCACTCCCAGTGTCCTTTTGTATTTCCTGAACTTCTTATTGTCCCTTTTGTTAATTGTCAATTTACTCTAAAAGGAGTATCCAACAGGCAGCGAAAGGGTTGAAAATTAAGCTCTCAAAGGCATTACCCAATGTGAAGAGCCATAAGATACAAGTTGCTGTTTAGCTAAATATGCAATGTGTTTATGGAAATTAAAATGTTATGTGGGATAAGCCTCAAGTTCATTTTACATGTAAAGAAAGAAATGTTAAATATCGTCCAACTATTCTTCTGTCTTAATGCGAAATAATAAAACAGTTCCTTTGTCCCACAATACTTTTAAACAGGTGTGATCATTCATCTGGTAATGCCACTGCTCCTCCTCCATTCAGTTTACCTGTTACTGTAGCGAGGAGGTAAGCTATTGTATACTTTTGTTATCAGTATGCCATAACATTATTCTTTACGTTACAAAATTGTAGTTGATAAAGAATCTTATTACTTGGGAGCTGCTCGAGCTCCCACTTTGTTTCTGTAAAGCATTTTGATACATTATCTAATATTAAAGATGCTATATAAGTGCACATTGTTGGTTTATAGAGTATATACTCACTGGATTTTGTTTTCTAAACAAAAAGATATAACTTGACAATCAAAGTTGCAGTCCATCATGCAGTAAGTCCGTACTGCACTGTGGTCCCATCTGCTTCGGATCATTTGACTACAAAACCTGCTTCAGACATGTTAAAAATAGCCTGGAATCTTGCATGGTATAATGGAATCGACCACCTCTTAGATCAGATGAAGTGTTTAAGAACCTATACATCAGCAGAGTAAGTATACACTATTTTATGGTGACCAGTAAACCACTTTTTTTTTAAAAAAGCCATCCAATTATTTCTACTTGCCCTTTCTTTCTCTAAACATCAACTCATTCTCAGGGTAATGACCATGAACTGCCTGAAATTTCCCAAATATGGTCCAACATTTTTGTCTTAAAATTTGAGATTGTTCAGGGTTTAGGAAAATTCTTCCTCATTTGGCACCCTTAACCACTGGTTTAAACTCACTGGTTTGACCCAGAATATGGACCCCCTAGTAACCCTTCAAACTGCCTCTTTTAAGAAGTTTTTAAGGTGTCAGTAATGGGATGAGTGCTGTCCCATGTTCTGGATGCCTATATACGCAATGGCTGTTGAGGCTTCCCTCTCCCCCGCCTCCCTGGTCCCAACTTGACTTCTCTGGTCTCCTTGAGACCCCAGCACGTTGCTTCAACATACCTCATTTTCATTGATGTTCTGTGGCAGATTGGGTTGCCAGCACAGGCAGGAATTTAATCTAAGACTGGTGGATTAAATGGTGCAGAGCGAGCCACCATGTCCCTGGTCTAACATCACTCAGTGGTTCAACGAGTCAACAAACGAGGAGGGACTCATTCTTCAGTCAGTCCTCTGACAAGACTTAATGTGACTTAATATCTTAATGTAAAGTAATAATAATAGTTACTTTGTCCCACAATACTTTTAAACAACTGTAATCATTCATCTGGTAATGCCACTGCTCCAACTCCTAATGCCTAACGCCTAGTTATTTGTTTTTTATATGCCACTATATTGCTTCTAAACTATAAACATTCTGGTGGACATTGGAATAATTCTCCCCACATTCTTAATATTTTCATTAAGGAAGCAATGAAGCAGGTATTGAGAATTAAGATAGGAAATTCAGAAATGAATGCTTCCAGAAACAGTTTACATTTTCATTGTTATAAATTCCAAAATGTCTAGTGACTGGCTGTCTGTTTCAGAGTTCAACTGAATTGCTTTTCATGTGCTGTTTTACTGTATACTAAATACCATAGTTAAGTTTCTAGTTGCAGTGTGTAAAGACTTCACTGACGCGTCTATTTGTTACATTTGTTTTCTTTGTAGATTTGTAGAGAAACTAAAGTTGTCTCCTATTGATGGTGTGATGCTCAAAGTCACCAATGTTGCCAGTGGTCTTCAGGACTGTCTCTCCTCCATCACCTTGGCAGTGTCTCACATCACTGTCAGCTCTGCTCTCTCCAGAATGAGACTATACTTGCTGAATGATAAACTAGCTCTCAAGCAAGGAATAAACAGCAGCTTAACTGTATTACAGAAGCTTGAATGGCATACAGCATTGGGCAGGTTTGTGAAAGTTCAAAACGGAGTGGTTCAAAATAACTAAGAAAAGCTGTTATTTAAAAATTGAAAGAGGTCTGCTGTTGAGTGTGTAAATCTTAATAAAAAAATTACAATTGTTGAGAGCAAGTTTAGCAATGATATAAATTCATAGAATGTTACAGCATTAAAACAGACCATTTGAACCATCAGGTCTGCACTGGTGTTTTTCTCCACAAGTCATCTATTGCAATGTGACTTTGCTGCTTCCTCCCCATATTTTAATTGTCCTCTTTTTCAAGCATGTGTACAGTTCCTATACATTTATGACTTTGCTTCAACAACAATTTATAATAATCCTTGCATTTGATATAGCATGTTGTTCAGACGTTTCAAAGCGCTTAACAGGATTTACTGTTGAGTGTGGACAAAGTCCCCAAAACAACCATGAACAGAATGACCTATTTTATCTGGGTGATTGAGGCCAGGATGCTGGGAGAAACTCCCTTATCTTTTTGAATAGAGCCATGACTTGCACATAAACACGGAGCGAAGACCTCAGTTTAATGTTTCATCTGAAGGATACCACCTGCAACTATGCAGTGCCTCCCTAGAACTGCATTAGCATGATAGCGTACAATCTGAGCTCAAAGTCCCAACCTGGGGCTTGAACCCACAACCTTCTGACACAGAAGCTTTTCTTGATGACTTTTTTAACCTCCTTTTTAGTTCCTTTTGTGATTCTTAATTTTAAGCTCTGATTACTGACTAACCACACAGTATAACTAATCTTATTTACCCTGTCAGAAACCTTCATGATCTTGAAGACTTCTTATATTTTTAGTTTCAGTCAAAAAGGCATAACCTTTTGTCTCTTCATAACTGAATCCCCTTTTCCTAGCAAATATACAATGTACTTTTTCAATTCTTCTTATAGCTTTCCTATAATTAGGTGCCAAAATTATATTTAAAAAATTACTCCTATCTATGGCCTAACTAAAATCTTCACGTTCAACATTACATTTATACTGTGGTTCAGGTAAAATGTAGTCACACCACAGGCCTGCAGTATATAGAATTGTGATTCATTCCTTCCTCTCTGGAAATAGTTTTAGGCTTCCTACGCTGACTTGTTGTGGATGCTGTGAAGTTAGAGGGCTTGGAAATGCTTGAGGATTATCTGCTGACTGACCAGTCGACCTACCTTGGAAGTGCTGACCAGCGGCTACATCAGCTATCCAATTTTCATTGAATAAAATCTTAATATTCAAAGTATTTGATTTTATAAATCGGGAAAGATATGCTTATCGAATGTTTTTGTGCTACTCTGATATTTGAACACCTTTATAAAATATGTTTTAGGTTTTTGCAAATTCTTCCAGCATGTACTGAAGATGAGAAGCTGCTGGCTGATGTTGTGTCTTTCCTGAGGAAATTGTTGTTAGCCCAAAAAGAGGGTGTGGATTCAAAGGATCTGACATCACTTTTAGAACTCCTGCTCAGACAGGTAACAAAGTATTTAAGGTTGTTAAAAATATTGTGTTATGTTAGCATCATGAAGAAACTACAAGGCAACTCAAGGGCATTGAAAATCTGGATCTTTTATTGGATAATATCACAGATGTGTTTTCTCTTATGTATATTCACAAGAAAATACTAACAGTATATTAAATACCACTGCATGGGAATAACAACAACAAACAACAAATTAATTACATTTCTATAGCATTTTTTGCATCGGAAGGATGTACCAAGGCGCTGCACTCGATTTGCACCCGAGCTGGGGGTTGGAAGCAAGAGAGGTGGGAGAGTAGGGGGTGGGAGGGTGGCCGAAGGCACGGTCAAAGAAGGTGGTCTTGAGACAGGTCTGTAAGGAGGCAAATTAGGTGGAGGGATTCTGGGATGGAGTTCCAGAGGATGGGGACAGAAATGCTGAAGGCCCGACCGTCAATGATGGGCAAGGCGGGACACATGGAGCAGGCTAGTGATCTCCGAGCACAGGGAGCAGACAGGTCGGTATGGTGTTAATAGTTCGCAGAGCTAGTGAGGAAGTCCACGGATGACTTTTAAAATAAGGACCAGAATTTTAACCACAATTTTCTGCAGAATGGAGAGCCAGTGGAGACGGGTGAGAATGGAGGTGTAGAATCACCAAAGCATAAGAGCTCTTTAATCTTTGCTTTAATTATATTCATCTATCGCCTTTTCTAGACTTGTCCTTTTTCCAGTGTCTGTTCAAAAATCAATTTTTAAAAAAAGAAAGTTGTAAATCAGTCTCTGTTTACTTAGCATTAAGTAGTAACCCAGTTGTTAGTCAATTGGCGGATCGGTTTTCCGGGGGTAATAATTCCTTCAAAAATAAATAGTAATAAACTGGTCACTCAATCCGCGACTGTTTGTGGGACACTGCTGTGTGCAATTGGCTGCCGTGTTTCACGCACAAAATATACAGTCCATTCACTTTACAGAATATTTTATGAAGTCCTTTGAGATGTCTCCAAGACATGATAAGATGCTATATCAAATGCAAGGATTACTATTGAATCTACAATGCAATTTGCTATCTGCAAAAGTATGCTTTGGGATTAGATATCTTTTTTATATTCAGGTGAGTATATTTGGGTGAGTTTTGTGACTACTGTTCTGGTGTCTTTGACATAGGAATCCAACCCACTGCTGAACTTCTTTGTGGCAGCTGAATCTCCTGTGCAGGGTGAAATGGATGAAATTCAAACTCTTTTAAGACAGAAACTACGAAAGGAGCTGACTGAATTCTTTAACATCGTATTACAAGCGCTCACCTCTGTTACAGATAGGTACTAGAAGATAATTATACATTGTTTTATCGTATGTGATTAGCTTTGTTTTTATAGTGTGTTTTCTAAAATTTTTTTAGTTTTCTAAGCTATTAGGTGGTAACTATCAAAATATTCTTATTTCTGTTTCACCACAGATCTGTACATAACCGATTAAAATACACACTTGGGTTTGTATTGTGCTTTTCTTTCAGAAAGTGTTTGCTGTTGGCTGGCCCTTTCAGGACACTGCTGGCAGTTAAATTTCTGCAGTGTTTGCGAATAACAGATGCACCACATTTCTATGGTCTACCTTCATTAGAGCGGACACTACGAGGAATGGTTCACATCACCGCTCTTCCCAGGTGGAGTTTGCACTCTGCTGCTTTGGAACCCTATTCCCTGTGTATGAAATATTTGACTGGGCTGCTTGAGGTATGAACAACAATGCCAGAAGTAATTTATGAAAATATCTGTTTTAAAATAGATTCACAATTAGCATTAAATATCTTGTTACATGTACACAATGCTCTGCACCATTCTAAACCTTAAATAGATCATAGACCAAATCACTCATCCCTGGAATCATCCGAGTAAATCTCCTCTGCACACTCTCAAGTGGAGTGACCAAAACTGAACAAAATATTCCAACTGTTGTCTTAATGATTTATATAAGTTTAGCAATTTCTCTTTGGGTTATCGTTTATACCCCTATTTATAGAATTCCATTTTAATTGAGTTTTATTCTATAATAATTCTTGCATTTGATATAGCGCCTTATGTCTTTGAGACATCTCAAAACGCTTCATGGAATATACTGTAAAGTGAACTGACTGTATTTTTTTGTTCAGGTCCTTTTGCTTGCTAGGCGAGTGCTCTAACCACTAAGTTACAGGACTCCACAAGATATAATTAAGCTATTATTCTGCTTCCTATTTTCCCGAAATGCATTAATTCACATTTTTAGCATGACACTGCATCTACCATTTATCTAACCATAGTCTGTCAACATTTGATTGAGTCTATGAAGCAAGCCACAAAGACACAGTAGGCCAGTTCTAACATTTTATTGGATAATGACAAATATTTTAATCCCATTTCATTGCCCTTTCTCTATATCCTTTATTCTCTTACTTCTTGATTATACAGATATTTTCCAACTGTCTATCCAGATAACTCCTGTGCAGTGGTTGATGTGGAGTTTGGTAACCATTATCCACCTCTTATCATTAATAGGTCATTTCAGCCTTTTATGTGGAATGGGGAGGAAATGCTATGTCTTACATGGGTAAAGGTGTTACAAAAAGTGCAGTACTTTGCTTGCTTCAACTGTCGCATGAGATGATGACCCAGGCAAATGATGAGGTAGGCCTGTCAACTGTAACTTTGCATATTTGAGGAATAATTATTTTCAACAAACTTTTCAGTACAACAAATTTGTTATCCAGTGTTTTGTCTATACACATTGTGCTTAGAAAGATTTGAGTACTTTCAGTTCGCTGAATTATGTGAAACTATTAAATAACATGCACAGTGAAAATACATTAAATCTATACAATAATTTTAAATTAGTTGGAAAATTTACACCATTTTAAAATAATTGCATATGTAGAGCTGATTCAAACATTTTCCATGCTTGCTACTGTTGATTGATAGCATTCAAAAATATTTCTAATTAATAATAATACTTTCTGCTATGGAGCCTTTCATACCAGTTTATTTTTGTGGGGTGGGGGTCAGCCCACCTGACAAATGCTGCAACCATCACCATGCATGCATAATAATAATAATCCTTGCATTTGATATAGCGCTTTTCACGTCAGGAGGACGTCCCAAAGCGCTTCACAGAACACACTGTAAAGTGAATTGACTGTATATTTGTGGGCGAACGCGGCAGCCAATTGCGCACAGCAATGTCCCACAAACAGTCGTAGATTGAAAATGACCAATTTAATTATTGTTTATGGTTTTTTGGAGGGATTATTATTAGGCGTGTGGAGTAAGGAAACTTGCCCAAGGTTTCGCCCTCTGCCTGGAATTGAACTCAGGTCTCTCACTTGCAAAGCGAGTGCTCTAACCACTGAGCTACAGGACTCCACGAGTGTAAGAGTATCCAAATCACATACAATTCCATGCATCCCATGGATATTCCACAGAGATTTATTAGAATGGAATATGCATTCTCCTTGGAGAGATGTCTCCTGCTTACCTAATTCTGGAGAGCATTAGGTGCTGATTGGTGAGAGTCGAGGTTCGGGGACTCCGGAGTGTGCTTTTGGATCTGATGGAGTCTAGCTAAAACCTCACAGCTTGTAATTGAAAGCACTGTATAGCAAGCTTTCCTGCTGCTTGTTCAACTAGGATTGCCCACCCGTCAAGGCTTTGGCTTGCAGGGTTAAGGGGACCTGAATGGGAAGAGTCCCTTTCCAATTAGGAGGATGTCTCAAAGCAGGATCTGATGTAAAATATATACTGGACTGTGCAGGTTAACACAACATACTCTGCAAGTGTCAATTGGAATAAATCGAAAGGAACTGGATAGAACCTGACACTCGCTTCTCTCACATTCACTCTTCCCTCTTTTACACTGTCTGTTGGTCTAGTCACATCATGTGTGATAGTCATTCGGTTTATTCTTTGTATCTTGTATGTAGCACTCTTCTGTATGTTAGCTCTCTTAACTACAACAATTACATTCATTCACAATTGTTCCCTCATCTTGCTCCCATGTACTGCTCACTCAATGACTCCTTCCCTTTTTTTTTTACGTCTTATAATGTCTCATTCTCACTTACTGTCTTGCCCCTCTTTCTCCCCCCATCCCCCCTCCATCCATGTCTGACCCTACCCCACACAGAGACGTTGTCTTCTGGGATGGGTACTATATGAATGCATTGTATAAATTTCTGGTGCTAGATCTACTATACAAAACAATATTTTCTCTTTTTCATAGTGTTATTCATTTTGACCAGTTCACAGGTTTTTAATAAAACATTGCTCGTTATATAGTCTTCAAAGGCAACAATTTTAGTAAACATTTGGTCTTAAAAACCTAAAAAAAAGTTAAATCTCTCTTTCTGTTTTAGACGTGGGTATCTCTTTGGTCATTGGCATATGAGCAAAATAATGAGGAGCAGATGCCATCACGACTTGGTCTGGCATGGCTTATTCCTCTCTGGGTCGATCGAGATCCTGAAGTAAGTAAATTTGATTGCTCGTGTTTTTGGTAAATTGGTTTATAATGGTATGTTTTGTGTAATTTTGTGTTACGCAGACACAGGGTAAACTTCCACATGTATGTGGATGACACACAAGTCTACTTTGCCTCCTCTAGTACCAACTCCAGGTCCACTGATGTTCTGTCAGCTTGTCTGGCAGACATCAAGGCCTGGATGAATGTAAACTTCCTGCAGCTGAATATGGACAAGACGGAAGCTATACTCCTTGGTTCCCGTCAACGTCTTCACTCCTGCGGATCTAAACTCCTCAAACTCACCGAACCAGTGCGCACCTCCCACTTGGATTACTCCAACGCACTCCTCACCGGTCTCCCCAGCTCTACCATTCACAAGATCCAGCTCATTCTAAACTCTGCTGCCCGCTTGCTGACCTGGACCAAACTCCGTACTCACATCTCGCCAGTTCTGGCCGTGCTCCACTGGCTCCCCATCACTGAACAGATCAACTTCAAGATCCTCACTCTTGTGTTCAAATCCATTCACTCCCTGGCACCTCCCTACCTCTCTGATATCCTCATTCCCCAATCTACCAGTCGGTGCCTCTGCTCGACTGACACTGGCTTCCTGCTTGTCCTTCACATCCTCCGCCCCACTTTCGGAGGTCATGCTTCCAGCCACTACTCCCCAAAACTCTGGAACACTCTCCCTCAATCCCTCCTCCTTGTCCCCTCTATCAGATAGCGCCTGAAAACTTTCCTCTGACCGTGTTTGCAGCCATCTCCCCGCAGCTCGGAATCAGGCTCTTCCACTGTTAAACGCTCTGAGACACTACCGTGCGTGGAGGGCGCTATATAAGTGCAAGTTGTTGTTGTAATACTACATTAGGATAGATAATTTGTTCCTTTGTATAGAAAAGTAGTTGGGTGGGGTGGTGGGTACACTTTTATCAGAATCTTGTACAGGCCTGTGAGCCTGAGGCAAAGAGTATTTTAAAACAGGGAGAAGAGGCTCCAAAGTTACTGATCATTTTGCAAATCTGTTACTTTTCTTGGAATGGTTTGTCTATATCACTCAGTTTAAAAGGTATTCCATATCAAGTTATCGTAGAAGAGTTACTGACTTATTAATGGATTTTTTAATTGTATAGAAAAGACTTTATGTAGTTCTATTTGTTCTGAGTTAATTTTATTTATACTCTTAACCTTATTTTCCAGAAAATCCACAGAGTAGATCTAAATGTATAGCACTATTGAGGAAGTGATGCTTAATATTTGAAATCGAAAAAGTAAAGGTCCCAGAACTATTGGAAAAAAGAACAGAGTTTCTCCCAGTGTCCTGGCCACAAATTTGTCATTCATTTTATGACTGTTTGTGAGAACGTGTGTAAAAATTGATGACTGAATGTTTACCCACAATACACAATCACTCTACTTGCCAACAGCTACCTGTGCTTTGTTGCTTTACAATATTAAGAATATTAGAGGTAATAAATGCAAGGATTACAGTATTCATAATTTTATTATCTTTATTGTTTTAGGTGCGTTTTGCTAGTTTGGGTATTGGATCAGCTCTCACATTGGTTGAAAATGGGTGCACTGCTCTGGCTTCCAGTTGCCAGAACATTTCTGGAGGATTATGGGGTACAGTGCTAAATATCCTTCTGGACCAATCTGAATGCAGTATGGTTCGAAGAGAAGTGAGTAATACTTCTGCAAAATGGAAGAGATACCATACAATTTAAGTACAATAGAACCCATTATAAGAATCCTGTCAAATTGCTGCTAACTCAGAAGTCACCCATTGTTTAGTAAGGGAAGCCGTGCTAAATATGCAGAGAGTGACGGCAAAAATGTCTTCACTCAGATGGTTGTCCCTGCTCACTGGATCCCTCTTTCTCTGCTTTCAAAACCTGCCTTAAAGTCTATCTCTGACTGCATTTTAAATTGATGAAATAATTTCAACTGGATTATTTTTGACATTTTGTAAAAAAAAAAGTTTGAAGATGGTTCTAAATCATTTCTGTTTTAAAAATATTAAATCTGAATGTCTTTAATTGTTACTGAAAAGCTGCTGCATTACAATTTTAACAAACATTTTTATGGTGCGTGATGTTGCTGTATTGTTTGCACCTACTTATGCAGAAAAAAGCAATGATTTGTTTTTCTTCAGGCAGCATCCATTCTCCAGAATTTACTGATGATTTGTTTGCCTGCTAACACGGAGGAAACCAAGGATGTCTGGCAGGTGAGAAAGGTCTAAGTAATATAATTAGTTAAATATTCTTGCTTTCACAATATTATGCAATAAGTATTATATCCACCTAACTTTGAAATGAGCCCTTTTATTTATAATTTGGACTTTTTTTCAACAATAACTCATTATTCATAATTTTTGTCCTTTGAAGTGATTGAGAGGTAGTAATCTAATTAAGGGTTCAGTGTCCTCTAAGTGATGAAGTCAATGTTGAAACAATTGCTAATCATTCTTTAAATTGTTTTACAAAACCTGACATTACATTATAGTTATGTTGGGTGCATATACATCTGTCCATTTCAGTCCAAAGAGATCTATAAACAATCTGAACATGTATATAGGTGGATTGGTGTACTAAATTAAAATCATCATATTTACATAAATATGCTGCAGACACAATTTATTCACAACAAACTGATAGTAAGTGTAAACCTCAGTAATATTAATAATTGATATTTTGGCTCTATTGATGGGGGAGGGTGCAAATGTACATGAGTAAGAAGGGAACAGGAGAGGCTTGTGTATGGAGTATAAATGCTAGTATGGACGAGTTAGTCAAAATGGCTTGTTTCCATGCAGTATGGTTCTATGTAATTTCCTGATTATTTTTCTGCAGACCCCATGTGTTCATGATGAGGAGTCTGGGGTGTCACTGGTAGGACTGCCTGCTTTCCAGGCCTTGCTGTATCACTGCCAATTTTATGAGCATGTGGCTTATATGGCAAAACATTGCTACTTTGGAAGGCAAATGTTTGATTTCAGTGTCGCTAAATCTACTGAAAACAGTTTGCTCAGTAACAGCTTCGAAGGTATGCGTTTTAAGAATGTCAACCCATTGAATTTTATTCTGAATCTTTTCTTTGGTTTACATAATGCTGCTTTTATCTGAGCAAACTACTTCTTGCTGCTGTAGAGGTTGTTCAGCACCCTGATCTATATTTTATTTAAAATTACAAGTAATAAGTATTTCACTGGGGCTGGTACTTTCCCAGCAACTGAGAAAGGTGAAAGATGGCAGTTTGTGGCTGCCAGGGGACTAAGTAATTGAACTACATTCAAGGTTAAAGGTAAGAAAATTGCTTTTTATCTGCATGAATACAGATTTTAACATTTCAATTGCTCAATCCACTGGCAGCCACAAACTGCTATCTTTACCTTCCTTACTAAGCTACTGTCAGCATTGAATAGATTATAGGTAGAATTGTGACAGAAATAGAAGCTGCGATTTCCTGAATAATGTGTTACAAATTTTAGACAAAATAGTAAGATACTAGAATAATATTTTAAGTCTCAAAAATATAATGGCTTGTGAAAATTCTACCCATCGCACTTTATACACAAGTCATTCAATACACTTTTTGTGCTAGTTGATTGGTTTAGAACTTTACAATTCTGTGTCTCATTGTGTCGGTGGTGGTTCTTTGAAAGCAATCCATTCAGGTTCATTTGCCGGTCTTTTCCCCAATCCCTTCAAACTACTCCTTTCAGATATCTATAATTTCCTCTGGAAAGATAGTAGGATCCTGCATCAACCACTCCCAACTGGGCATTCCACACCCTGGCAATTCTGAAAAAAACAACTCCTTCTAATCTTCCTGAAAGTCAGCCATTTTTCTGTGCTTTGTTATTGCAAATAATATGAGACATCGTACCTAGATGATTGCATTATCATGGGGTTGTGTGAGGAATGTCTCTTCACACTCGATGGGGAATATAATAACTTTAAAATTAGAGGTACGTAGGAGACAGAGTCCAGAAAATTGCTTTAACACCAAAGGATTTTGAATATATGCAACGGAAGGTCATGGATTCACAATGGACTGAGATGGTCGAAAGAGAGAAATCCTTGGTTGGAAAGGATATGAAAAGGAAGGGAAATAGAGTTAGAGTTTTCATAAATTTAATGGCAGAGCAGGCTCGATTTTTTTTGTTCATAATGACAAATATTTATTAATATTTCTTTTAACAGACTCATTGAAATATTGGCGAATGCCATCCGTCTTATCCAACCACAATCAGTCTTCAAGTCCCCCTTCTACATCAAGCACTTTGGTATGTAGCAAACCCTGAATGCACAACTACCTATAGATCATTAACTAGAAAATTTAATTTCAACAGTTTTGTTAACCTTTTGTTTTGAACTTTATTTTGGAAAAATTTTTTCCCTCAAAAGTGCATCCTGTGGATATTAGTGTGCGAAAGTTATATCAACTACTTTTCAAAAAATGTTTGAATTCCTTTTTAAACTGTTCACAACTGTTCTGAAAATTCTAGGTTTTGCCACAGTCTTCCCCATCAGTCGGTGGACCTGAATTATACAGAGTGTTGCAAGTTTCTGCCCTGTCTGCTGTCATTGCTTCTGAAGCTCCAAGCAACAGGCTTACAGCTCAAGGTAGATTAACGTTCTGCAAATGATTAGTGTCTTATTTCTAAAGCAAGAAACACTGAATAACATTTGAATGATTTCAAAATACCAGATTTCAATTCAACCCTGAAAATAGCATTATTTCAGTGGAAGCCTAAAAGTACAATACTAAGTCATTCTGTTTTCTATTCCTGGCTTTGCCTGGTGTGTTTGGAGGAAAAGCAACCACAGTAGAAATTTGGAAATTAAATCTGTTTCAATTTGTATAATCCGGCCCTGATTTCCTCAACCTTCCTGGCCTCTCCCTCAGACTCACTGAGCTATTTTTTAACTTTGGTTTTCAGTTTGATTCAATGCTCTCTTTCCTCCCTCATATTGGTCCCTGGCCAAAAGCGCTTTTCTACATTTTCGCCTATCTGCATCCCAATCTCAATCTCAAAGCAAAAGGTGTTGTCAGCGTTGACCCGAAGACGCTTAAATTGTTATCAAGTTGCTCCCAACCCATTTCCTGCTTCACAAATGCACAGTAAATGGAACTTATGTTGGTGGGACTTCCCCTACTGATTTTGATCTTTAAGCACTCTGAGACACCATCCGGTGTGAAGGGCACTGTATCAATGCAAGTTGTTGTGTGCAAGATATCAATTTGGGTCACAATAAGTCAATGTTTTCCTTCAGAACAATTGCATCCAATTTTTTTGAATGTGCCTATAAATGGGAAAGGTGACTAAAAATGAAAGTTTAAAGGTGGAGAAGGCAGAGCAAGGACAGGACACAAGTACTTTGAAGTTCTAAAGTATAAACCCTTTAGCTCAATGGAAGGTTTTCCTGAAAACCATAATAATAATCCTTGCATTTGATATAGCACTCTTGACATCTTCTAGACATCCCAAAGCGCTTCACAGAATATACGGTTAAGTGAATTGACTTAATTATGAGCATCATTGGTGATCATTCCATTATATTTTTCTACTCAGACAAATTTGATGCTCTTGGCTGGTTTCCCCAGGATATAGTTAGGAGACTGTGTTCTCTAATTTACAGCACAAGTTCTGGTCTACAGATTGAGAGTATTTTGTCATTGTCATGTGTTTTGTATTGCTTTTACTGCTGTAGTACCAAGATTACGTTTTAACCTTTGTTTTTACTCCTCTTAGGGAAAAGTGACACAGACACACTTCAATCTCTGGACAGTGAAAATTCCCATGTTTCTGTTAACTCAGAGCAGTGTGCAGTTGTTACCCCTCACCTTCTCTCAGCTGTCTGTAGCCTGCTTACTAACCTCCTGGCAGCTATTCCAGAAGACACATTAATTGCAGTCAAACAAAACCACCTCTTTGCAGCTTTCCATCGGTAGGTAATTCAATAACAGTTAATTGGGAAGTATTGAAGGGCAACTGAGTCATATTTCCAAACTCTTGTCTGCATCTTGTGTCAAACAGTGACTAAAATTATAGCTATTCATGCAACCCACCTGTACTCAAGTGGGTTGCAAGAATAGCTCTACTGCCTGTGCAATTGTATTTTGTATACACCCTTATTCAGCATTTAGTAGGTCACCGAGTAAAAGTAATGGGGTATAGAAAAGGGCAGGTAAATGGGACTGAAAAGATTGTTCATGAAAATGCCAGCACAGATGCATTGATTGGGTTGAATGGCTGCCTTCTGTGCTATAAATCTCTATGGCTCTAATTCCAGCATGATTTCATAATTAATGTTACTGGAATGCTAATCAATGTTCTAGTCGTACGTGTAGCTTCCTTTACAGATAATCTATGCAATAAAGTCTGTGGCCATGTTTTGCCATCTATACAATTCAATTTACATTTAAATAGCACCCTTCTAAACTAATCCTAATCTTTGCATTTGATACAGTGCTTTTCATGTCTTCTAGACATCTCAAAGCACTTCACAGAATATACTTGTAACCCTTTCACATTGGTAGGATGTCTCAAAGTGTTTGACCTATTGGCATAGGACCTGAGCTATGGGCAGGAGCCGAGGGGCAGGGGAGAGGAAGTATGGTCAAAGAGATGAATTTTGAGATAAATAATCCTTGCATTTGTTGTAGCACTTTTTACATCTTCTAGATGTCTCAAAGCGCTTCACAGAATATGCTGTAAAGTGAATTGACTGTATATTTGTGGGCAAACGCGGCAGCCAATTGCACACAGCAGTGTCCTGCAAACAGTCGTGGATTGAGTGACCAAATTATTTTTTTTTCTTGAGGGATTATTATCAGGCATGTGGAGTAATGAAGCTTGCCCAAGGTTTTGCCCTGCCGGGAATCAAACCTGGGTCTCTTGCTTGCGAGGCAAGTGCTCTAACTTTGAGCTACAGGATTCCAAGATCCATCCACTCAAGATGGATCTTGAATGAGGAAGCGCGAGTCAAAGGGACTCTGGGACAAAATTCCAAAGAGCAGGGGCAGAATAGCTAAAAGCCTGCTTGCTGATTGACGGTAGGTCATATAGGGCAGGAGACCTCATGTAGGCCAGTGTTCACTGAGCAAAGGGAGCAGCTGGAGCGATATGATTGAATGAGGTTGCAGAGGTTTGGTGGGGCAAAACCGTGGAGGATTTAAATTTTAATTGAATGAGGATCTGAAACTCTCTGCTGGGGAATGGGGAGCCAGTGGAGGCTAGCGAGGATGCGAGTGATAGGCTCACGAAGCCTGTTGTGGGAGAGGACATGGCAGTATTTGTTTCATAACACTTTGTGTTTTATGCCCTTATTTAGTTTATGTAGTGATTTACATGAAAAATTATCAATGGAATTAGTTGTTTTTAAGTCAGTTGTGACATTAAATTCAACATGTAAAACAAAAATGATGATTCATAAGTAGGAACTCCATTAGTCAATGTATGTTGTTCCTTACTGAGGAATTATATTTTCCATTGAAGAAAAGCCACTGCTAAATTGTGGAGAAAATAGCTACTGCTACATTATGAAGAAATAGTTGCTACTATAGATAGAAGTGATCCTTCATACCAAGTAACGTGGGGTGCTTCAGGGGTCTGTGCTGGGACCCCATCTGATCTTTGTATACAGTAATAACTTGTGAAAATGTTAAACTTATTTCCTTAGAATATACATAGATGCAAAATCTATTTGGATCAATAAAAGATAAATATTTGGAAAGCAGGGTTTTAAATGTTATTGAGAAAAGAACATAAGGAGCAGGAGTAGGCCATTCGGCCCCTCGACCCTGCCCCGATGAGGTGTTGAAATGGAATTAAAATATCTGCCCCGATCTAATAAACAAGTAAAACAGGTTTGATGAGCTTAATCGATGCCTCTACTTCTTGTGCAATATAAAAACTTTTGTGAATCTTTCACTAAACAATTTGTAATTAATTGTAATATATTCATATTCCTTTGCTTTGTCAATAGTGTAGTTAACACTAGTTTGTTGGAGAGATGCTTGTGGGAGCTGAGAACACCACTACTTCACCCTAACCACAGACAGGATATTAAAGCTCAGGTCAGTTTGATACCTCAACCGCTCATTTCCTTGGAATCCACTGCTAGCACCATCTTTACTCGCAGTACTTGAATATTCAACTGACTTTGAACCAGAAATCCACTGCACTGTGACTCTTTAAAAATAAATATTTTCTTGACTCATAAGTATCACCAATAACCTTCCTTCTAACGGAACAGACTTGCCCTTTTTTGTTTGGCTTATTGCCAAATACATAAAGACCTCAAAAGTTGTCGCTCTGACTGGTTTTATGGCAGAAGCAATTATGCTTTGAGCTTGGACTCTCAATGCTTCTCAGTTCTTCCATCTTTTCCCATTGATATATTTTTTTTAATTTCCCTAACCTGAGGTGCTGAAGCCAATAGTAACTTCCCAACTGCTGTGCTGGTTGAGATTAGCACATATTAGCACTCAGTGTTACAGGATGTTCAGTATGATTTCTTAGGCTGATGTTTTGATTTGTTCCGTGCAAGCAATGTTATATTTTTCTCTGCAGGTTTTGAGCCTCCTTCAGTATTTGTCATCTTTGTCTGGACTGTTCCAGACCTGTCTCATCCTGCATTATGAAAATATAACACAAGATGACCTGCTGAAACCATTATTGTCAAATATATTAACAGTACTTTGTGTTCGATGCAAGGATTATTTTGGTAATGTACTTCACTTACCTTTTAATTCAAATTGAACGATTATAATCGGGGGATTATTGTAATGTGCTTTATAATGTGGTAATTATCACAAAAGCACAGCCAACCAGTGGTCAAAAGAGCATTATTGTTTACTGTCTTCGATTGTCCTCACAGGGTAATTTAAATGTGTGGGTGCCTAAGATCAGAGTTCATTTCCCCATCCACACAGCCAGAAGCTTTAATACAGACCTACTTTAGAGCTTGGTCAATAATTCCATACAACCGTTGAGCAAAATAATCCACCAACTAGTGTCAGCAGCAACTCTACAGTCACCAATCCCTATACCAGCACCACCTATTTAGCTTGAGGTTGACCCAATCCTGGTAAACAGTACCTAGGAATCAACCTTCACAGGACAGTGAGGCTGAACAGCAGCTGACTACCTCATCTCTTATTTTGAACTTACCATAATAGTTATTGAAGACTTTAGTTTAAGTGGCTCAAAGACTCAAACGTGGCACAACCCTTATCGCAGAAGCTCAGCAAAAAGGTTCCGCGGTCCCTGCTCAAGGGCACCCAACTTTGATTCCCCTGCAGTTCACAGTTGCTTGTGGAACAAAATGCTGCAGATATGGACTGACATGACTGTCAAAACATAACTTTTGACACAACTTTTGACTTTGTTCTACCACTTGTTTAATAATACTTTACAGTATATTCTGTGAAACGCGTTGAGACATTTCAGCGATGTGATAAGGCACTATATCAAATGCAAGTATTATATTCTGCTAGGTTAGGCCACAGGTAGGAACAGAATCGGGTTCGTCCTGAAAATGAGTCCCATGAAAATGGCTTCATTTCTTTGTAGATGCCCAGGCCCAAATGGCTGGCTAACAGCTTCATTGGGTAATTTTCATGTAGCAAGGCTGAAAAGATTAATATTGTGTTGGTGATTCCCCAGTCAAGAAAATGTGATCCTATTCTCACCTTAGTTGAGAATGTGAGGTATACATCCTACCGGAATAGGCAGCAGCCAGTGCTCTTGCCCAATGCCTCAGCCTCAGCTTGAACCCCCACACAGTGACACCCACGCTGTGCTTTATTTCTTTCCTCCCTCACATCTAATACCGAGGAGAGATTTATTCATTGAGATTGAAGACAAAGTGGAGGGCCATAATAAATAATAATGGATTCTAGGGATTGTAAGAAAAGGTACTTGTTCACTTTCTATCAGTGAACATCTCTTGTTGTTGTCCCCCATCCCCTTTGTTTTTGGGAAATCATGCCATGTCTGCCAATACAATACATAGCCACTATGCTTTATAGTTGTTCCTATGAGCATTTTTGAGACGTTCTCCTGACGTGAAAAATGCCGTACCAAATGTAGTAGGTTTTTTTATTAGCTATTAATGAATCCTTTGAGGTTTACTTTTTGACACCAAACTAATAACAATATCGATGTTTCAGACTGTGAGGTAACCTCAGCCATCTACCAAACGTGGACAGACTTGTTCATCCTTCTAAATTTAATTCTACGGAAAAGTGGTCAGGCTACATTCCCGTCTGTTGTTGGTGCTGCGGCGGAGCAATGGGCTGCTCTCATAGGTAATGTAAGACAATTAACGTGTGCATTCTCTATTAAAAAAATGAATTCCCCCTTTGAGCTCTTTTTATAGTATTGTCACATAAGATAATGTAAATTTCTGCACAATTCTAAAAACAAAATATTTGACAAAATTACAACTGCTTAACTAAAATGACCCTTTCTCAATTCCAAACAGAATATACTTTATTTCTACAAGTTTGAAAGACGTTGGTTTGTGTTGCTCAATGAATATTTCTTTGTTTTTTAGATACAATTTCAGTGTGCATTCAGCTGTCCAACAGCACACCATATTTGTATACCGCATCCTTACAGTTCATTTCTCTCCTCTTGGCTGAAGAGGGGAAGAGACAGTTCCACAATAGCGGTGAAAGTCAATGTCCCACGATTACTGAACTTCTAGAGATCAGTGATGGGACTGAGCCATCAGGAATTTGCCTCTGTGAAATCTTATTACAGGTAATCTGAAAGAATACTACTAGATGTGTAAGTTTTGTCCAGGTGGTTGTATTGAGTTTATAATAATGATGATCCTTTCATTTGATATAGCGCTTTATCACGTCTTCGAAACATCTCAATGCGTGAAATATGGCAGCCAAACTTAGCACAGGAATTTCTCAAAGTTTTTAAAATTTCTGAGAGCCAACCCCCACACACATGTAGACAATTCCAAATTTGTATTTATTCTATTTTTAAAATTCACTTTCATTCATTTCAGTTTTTTTTATCAATTGTATATTTTTATTTATCCTTTGGGAAGAGCAACATTAAACTGATTTTGCTATGAATCTTATAACTTAAATGTTGTGTTCTTAACACAATTATTGAATTCCATCTTAATTAAATAAATCTGAGACTGGAAAAAGTGGTTCCTAAGAAAAACAGATTAACACAAACATTTTTGATCAATAATATTAAGATGTAACAATTCTGGATCTGACTTCAAATTGACAAATATCCTTTGCTTGTTAACCTTGTTTTCAATTATTGCTTGCCGATGATGTTAAAATAACATTACTCACCTTCTGAAAGAGACAGAACTATTGAAGATCAACACTATATTATAGTAATGATCAATTATTTGCCTTGATCAAGGAATATTAAGTGGTTTGTTTATCTGGGGTGTGAAACGTTTATCAGAATTGTAAAGTTAAGTTACAAGTCAGTAAAAGTCTTTCAGAGCACACCAATTGGTGACATCAAGAGAGCAAGAGTGATTTTATAATCGTATCCAAGAAAGGAAAGTGGGAATCTGTTCTCAGAATCACAACGACATAGAAACAGGAAAATCATTTGAAATTTCTGCTTCAGTTTTTGGAATAATATGAACCCTTTTTTCCCCAAAAGATCCTTGATTGATTGAACATGCTGTTTTGCATTTTTTTGTCAGAGCTATGAAGGTAAATCGACTGAAGATGCCCACAGGAAAGTTGCAGCTGGTGCTCTTACATCATTGCTTGCTGTTAGTGGTAGTGCACAAAAGCACGCTTACAAGGTAGGATTTAAACAGAAATCACATCTCTATTAGCCTTGTCGATTTAGTTTTATTACTCAAGCATGTAATTGTTAGTAAAGAAACTAGAATTATACAACCTAAATTAAATTTACATCTACCTGAAGGATATATGATAAATAACGATACTCTCTAATTACAAGCAAGAAAGAAATGTTCATCTCTCAGTGTAGGCTGGAGGATGGTGGCAATGGTCTCAGTGAGTTGGGCTGATTACCAAGCAGCTCATAAGAAGTTTCTGGTGCCTGCAATCTACCTAAGAGAGGTAGATAGATACCTGTTTGTTAGATGTCTAATTACCAACTTGGGACATCTGGGGAAGTAGTGGTAAGTGGAGTGGCTGGAGTACTAACTGGGCACCAGCATCTGGAACTACATGCCGTCATGTGGAGGCTAAGGACCAGGAGCAGAGACACATATGCCTATGTGGAGATATTAGAAAATAATTGGAAGTCAGGATTAAGTAATTTTTAAAAAAAAACTAATAATTTTTCCTATCTGTTTAGCTGGTGTTATTGACAGCAGCATAGAACAGATGAAGCATACTTGTATTCAACTTAAGTTGGATTCTCTGAGACCAGGAAAAGTGGTCCAAAGAAAAAAGGTAAACCCAGATGTTTTTGTTCAGTAATATTAAGATTCGCAGCGATTCATTGTAGTAGCAAGATGTTACAATTCTAGATCTGACTTCAAATTGACAAATGCCCTTTCCTTTTGACCTTTTTTCAGTTGTACTGAAATATGGTTACTCAGTGAAGCTCATATGGCATGCGCTGATTCCTGTTGGTGCAAAGAATAGACACAGCCAGATGTAATGCTCTTGTTTCTTAATTTACAAGATGAAATATCAGTAATCTCTTGCAAATTGTAACTTGTTTATCCAGTTAGATTTCTTTCATTCTCATGCTTTGCTATTCCTCAAGTCTGCCGATAATGCAGCTGTCCTGTAAATCTGTAAGAGTGGTTGCCTTCTTTCCTGCGCAGAGTATACACTTACAGCTCGGAGGAAATTACATTAACAGCATTTCCTTCATGCAGTTTAAAAGGAAGTGATGATCACTATGATCCTTGGGGTAAGTAAATCAGGTCTGCTTGTTGCTGAGCTGGCTCCAAGGTGACATGCTTGACAAAGAAATGTTGGCATCAATTCTTACTTGTCTGACGTTCTTGGTAGTCTATTCCTGAGTTGGGTTGGTCTACAATCCTTCCAAGGCACTGCTGATGAGACAGACTGGTCAGTCTGGCTCATAGACAGGACTTTAAGCGGTACTGGATGTTGGCATTCCTCCTATTGAGTCTTCTTTAATCCTACAAGCCAAAGGCCAAATGGGTAGGGTAGTCTTAGCTGGACAAGCGGAGGGACACTTTCCAAACAGTAATGCCAGTGGCAAGCTATGCAGTTTGGGCTCGTTAAACTCTAGTAATAACCTAAATGCCCACTCTTGCCAACCTGTGCCAAATGCTCTGCAGAATTAGTTCAGTGTGGTGTGTCCAGGGAGAGAATAAGCATTCAACTCAAGACTCAGGGCCAATTTTGTGAGTTCATGACCCAACTGCTAGAGTGGGGGTCATCCTTTATTAATACGCATTTGAATTTAGTGTTTTCATTCTCACATTTTTCTATTCATGCAGGATGACAGTCTTATCCAAGAGTTGAAGATTGCCATGCAGCTCCTGAGAAATTGCTTATATAACAATGCTGAATGCAAAGTAAGTCCACTTCCAAAGTGAAGCATTCAGAGTGAGTTCAGAATTATTCTTTCAGGATCAGTTTAAGGCACTAGTTCTAACCAAGAGGTTCATTGTTTTACCATCTTTCTAACAGGTTGCAGCTTCTGATGCCCATCTTGTGAGTGTAGTGCACTCACTTTGGCCCTGGTTTTTAATGGATGATCAACTACTGCTGACAGCTTTGCAGCTGCTATGTGTTTACACAGCTAATTTATCAGCATGTGAGTACAATTGCTATACTAAGAATTGCCTTGTTTACATCAGCGTTGGATGACAATTATACCTTTTGCATAGTTTACAACAACAACAAGATCACATTTGTATAGCGCCTTTCACGTAAGGAGGACCTCCCAAGGCACTGGACAGAGTAGAGCATTTCAGACCTGAGCTGGGGTCAGGGAGGGAAGGGGAAGGGGGGTGGCCGATGGCATGGTTGAAGAGGAGGGTCTTGAGGCAGGACTTGGAAGGAGGCTAAGGAGGGGGTGAGGCGGAGTGATTGGGGGATGGAAATCCAGAGGTTGGGGGCAGAGTGGCTGAAGGCTCTCCTGTCAATGGTGGGGGACGTGGAGCAGGCCAGAGCCAGCTGAGCGGAGGGAACCAGCGAGTTGGTAGGGGGTTAGGTGGTCGCAGAGGTAGGGTGAGGCGAGGCCATGGAGGGCTTTGTACGTGAGGACCAGGATCTTGAACTGGATCCTCTGAAGGATAGGGAGCCAGTGGAGTCGGGTGAGAGTGGGGGAGATGGGGTCACGAGTTTGGTGCGGGAGAGGACACGGGCTGCAGAATTCTGGATTATCTGCAGCCTGTGGAGGGAGGAGTTGGGAAGGCCGACAAGCAGGGAGTTTGCATAGTCGAGCCTGGAGTTTCAGCGGTCTGAGGGGTGAGGTAGTGGCAGAGTCGGGGCAATGTTATGGAGGTGAGGGAAGGCAGAGCGAGTCATGGCTTGAATGTATGGGAGAAAAGTCAGTTTAGGGTCGAACAAGACACCTGGGTTCCTGACTGGCTGGTGAGTTGTAGTGCGCAACCATGGAGGTTGATGTTGCCAGAGCCTGAGGCCCTGGCGCGAGACAATCAGGAGGGCCTCAGTCTTGTTCACATTCAACTGTAGGAAATTTGCCCTCATCCAGGACTTCATGTCCGACAGGCAGTCTGTCAGTACAGCAGTGGTCCTGGAGTTGAGGGTGGAGGCAGAAAGATAGTTGGGTGTTATCCGCATACATGTGGAAGTTGACCCCATGTCTGCGGATGATGTCACCAAGGGGGAGCATGTAGATATTAAAGAGGAGAGGGCTAAGGACAGAGCCCTGGGGGACGCCAGATGTGACAGTGCGGGGGCTGCAGGAGAAACCGTTAGAGGCAACGAAGTGGAGACAGTGAGAGAGATAGGAATCGAACCAGGCAAGGGCGGATCCGTGAAGATTGAGTAAAGCGGAGAGGCGGTATATGAGGATGGAGTGGTCGACAGTGTCAAAGGCAGCAGAGAGATCGAGGAGGACAAGGAGGCAGAGGCAGCCCTGATCACGGATGTTCAGAATGTCATTAGTTTACAAAGAAATGTGCTTACATCAGGAATCTGATCACCTAGGAATGCAATCTATTTTCACAGTACAGTGACTTCTACATTTTGACTCATTAAGACCTATTCCATGTACTTCATAGGGACTCTGGGATAGAGTTCCAGAGAGCGTGGCAGAATAGGATTGGGAAGCCCGCTAAGCCTAGCACAAAGTTGAATTAGACCTCTTCCTTGCTATGTCCTTTAATGTTTGTCTCTTCTTACGTGTGGTTCATTTTCTATAACCAGGCTGAGCATTGCCTCTTTTGCTTGTCAGGCTTGTGATGTACTTGAGTGGCAAACAATTCTGAAAGCACTGTTATCAATCTTGCTCATTTCTGTTTGGTGAACTCATTTGCTAACCCTGCAGGATTACAGATGGTGCTCTAATGGTTGACGTTGGTTGTTAATTAGCTGCGGTGTGCAATTGGCTGCCGTGTTTCTCCCACAAGTATACAGTCGATTCACTTTACAGTGTATTCTGTGAAGCACTTCAAGGCATCTAGAAGACATGTAAAGTGCTATATCAAATGCAAGGATTATTATTTACATAATTAAGGACATCTGTAGTTACCTCTATGTATACATTTACACACAGTTAATGTAACTTACAAATTGGACCCCACTGTGTTCTTACTCGAGTAAGTAATAATAGTTATGAAGTAAAGGTGATTATTTCAGTTGGAAATCTCATATGCTGCTTATTAATTGTATCTTTCAGCATGTAATTTCCTTTGCTGGGGAGGTGGAGCATCACTAGTTCCCCAGTGTTCTCAAAGAAGCTTGTCAAATAACAGTTTGGTTCACTTAATCATGAAGCAAGCCCTTCACAAATCATGTGACAACAGTATGGTACGACAAATGGCATTTGCTCTCCTCTCCAATTTAGCCATGTTCCACGAATGTAAAGGAATCCTGCAGAAGGTAAGTAACATTCTCCCTGAAGTCAAATCCACATTTTGTTTATGGTACACTGGCGGTTGCACTAAGTTAGCAGTTTACCTAGTCCTGTCAAAAATGAACCCAACCTTTCAAAATCAATGTAAACTTAATTCCTTGTGCATTTTTGCATTATGTGAATGTATCATCTTCCTGCTGGAATTTGCATGTTAGTGACCATCTTTTTATGACTCAAAATCTCTTAAAACAAATCCAGAAAAAGAGCTTCAATATTCTTTGATTGATTTAAAAAGTTGTTTTGCCCTCCATTATTGGCCTTTAACTCTTAATAAATAAATAAACAACAACAAGATTACATTTGTATAGCACCTTTCACTTCAGGAGGACGTCCCAAGGCGCTGGACAGTGTACAGCATTTCAGACCCGAGCTGGGGTCAGGGAGGGAGAAGGGAGGGAAAGGGGGGTGATCAATGGCATGGTCGAAGAAGAGGTTTTTGAGGCGGGACGAAGATTAAGGAGGGGGTGAGGCGGAGTGACTGGGGGATGGAATTCCAGAGGTTGGGGGCAGAGTGGCTGAAGGCTCTTCCGCCAGTGGTGGGTCGGGGGATGTGGAGCAGGCTGGAGCCGACTGAGCGGGTGGGTTGGTAGGCGGTTAGGAGGTCGCAGAGATAGGGTGGGGCGAGGCCATGGAGGGCTTTGTAGGTGAGGACTGGATCCTCTGAGGGATAAGGAGCCAATGGAGTAGGGTAAGAATGGGGGAGATGAAGTCACGGAGTTTGGTGCGAGAGAGGACACTGACTGCAGAATTCTGGATTATCTGCAGCCTGTGGAGGGAGGAGTTGGGAAGGCCGACAAGCAGGGAGGGCGTTTGCATAGTTGAGCCTGGAGGTGATGAAGGCATGAACAAGAGTTTCAGCGGCCTGAGGGGTGAGGTAGTGGCAGAGTCGGACGATGTTACGGGAGGGAAGGCAGAGTGGGTCATGGCTTGAATGTGGGGGAGAAAAGTTAGTTTAGGGTTGAACAAGACACCTAGGTTCCTGACTGGCTTAGTAAGTTGCAGTGTGCAACCATGGAGGTTGATGCTGCCAGAGCCTGAGGCTAAAAGAAATGTCAAGTGTTATGACTGCAAAACATATTTTACTAATTGGAGCAAAACAACATTTTGAGATCCTTCAGAATCCTAAGTGCAACAATTCCAAGAATCATCCACTTGATCTTTCCTCAAAATATTTTTATAGCAATCTATACAAATGGATAATTTGCAGGAGTATGGGGTAAAGCCAGGTAAATGAGACTGAATGGATTGCTTTTCCAAAAGAGTCAGCACAGATGGGCTAGGTGGATAAATTTCTATAGTTCTATGAAAAACTTGCCTCCTTCAAGAACCCTATCAAGACTGTCCTCTTCAACCGTGCCTTTGAACTCGGGACTTTCTGACTTCAGTGAGTCTGAGGATTTAGATAGGCTTCAAGAGCTTTAAAAAAAATCCCCAAATGCAGATGACCTGTATCTCAGGATATGTTGCAGAGAAGAAGCGGTAGATATTTGTAGCACTGTAGACATGAGTAAGTTGATCACCCCTAGGGAGGTTCTAGCAGACAAAGCCAGCAAATGTATATTAACATTATGGGATATAGTACATAGGTAATTCAGGACATATGTGCAAGCGACCGTCAAGAAGGCAAACTAGATGGACCTTGGTTTTTTTTTGCCTAGCATTTCTTATGTTCTTAATGTGGTTCCCATATTCAAGAAAGGTGTTAGCTACATTTGGCAAATACAGACCCATTAGTTTGACTGCAATAATTGGTAAATTAATAGAATCAAATATTAGATCAAAATGGAAGAGTACGTGTATGAAAATAACCTAATTAATGACAGCCAGCACAGCTTCAGAAGGATTGGATCAACCTCAGACTTTTGAGGAGATGATATTCCAGTTTGTGGGAAGTCGTAAGATGTAGTGTACCTAGATTTTGAAAAAGCCTTTGACAAAGTACCACATGAATGACAAATTGGATGTCAATAGTAAGATCAGATTTTAATTCTCATTTTCAGTCCAAAGGAGGCTTTTGCCATTCTGTCACCTGTCAAGTGACACATAGGTGTTTGATTGTCAAGTAATTCTGCTCAAGTTAGTTTTATTCACAACATCAAAAGTAGGTGTGGAGCTTTGCTTTGAATTCTGTGAATGTTTATTTTAAAGCTGTGATTTTCATTGTAGAGCAATTTCCTGCAAAACTTCCTTGCCGTGCCATTACCAAAGACCACAGTAAAAGGCCTCAGCACATTGACCACTCTTTGGTTGAAGCTGTTACTGAACATATCTTTTGGAGATGATGGACAGCAGATGATATTGAAGATGAATGGGAGCTTGGAACTACTAACAACAATGTCCCAGTACAAACACAAGGGTAGTCAGCCCACAGCTCTTCTGATTCTGCATAACGTTTGCTTCAGTCCAGCCAACAAGCCAAAGGTTCTAGCCAATGGTAAGTAGCCATAGCATATTTAAAATACTGTATATATGTTTTACATGTCCTTACAGAATTTGTTACTATGCTATAGCATTTTAGTGCTTCAAAATATAAAGTACACTATGGTTCGTCAGCTCTCCTCAGTTGGTAGAATGTTTTGAGTTTCAAAAAAAAAGGAATATCAGTAAAAATAGGTCAAAACAACTAATGATCTTTATTTATAGAGTTAAGTGCAACTGTTTAGAAAAATGCATCACTGTAACCAACATCTCTGGCCCAACATTTTGCTGGAGACTATGTGTTGTTTACATTTGCCATTTTTAAAAATTTCGAGACAGCAAACAGTTAAATCTATCAAATGTGTTAGTGTTGGCTTCCAGAACAGATAGTCCTAATAGTAAGCCTTGCATTTGATATAGCGCTTTATCAAGTCTTCGAAACATCTCTTACAGAATATACTGTAAAGTGATTTGACTGTATATTTTGTGGGCAAAAAGCGGCAGCCAATTGCGAACAGCAGTGTCCCACAAACAGTTGTGGATTGAGTACCACTTTCTTTTAGGGATTATTACCCCCAGAAAAGCGATCCGCCAATCGACTAAATAAAAAAAAAGGGTTCCAACTTACTGCTAGGTACACAGAGGCATGTGGAGTAAGGAAACTTGTCTACTTGCATTGTTTGACTAACCAGTGTGATTTGTTTTCCAGACAACATTGTGTCAACATTTGCTGCTTGTCTAGAAAATGACAACCCTCTTGTTCAGACAATAGGAGCCTCAGCTCTTTGGGCATTACTTCATAACTATCAAAAGGTGTGTGTTCCTTTATAATTTTTTTTCAGCTTTTCAAATTGTATTTGAATTCTTTCCAGTGACTTCTAAATGTTAATGTAGCCACATCTGGAAATGGTTTACATTTTGACATCTGCATCACTGATGGTTTAATAGTGATAGACAAATGAAAACAACTGGCAAATAAAAAATTACACTTGTAATCTTTGTTGGATGATACGATCCTATATGAGTGTTGTGAGTTCATAATATTAAACATTATTAAACAATTGTTCCTTTTTTCTTAACTCAGAGGGTTGTTAAGGTCTGTAATTTATTACCCAAGTGGCTATTAAAGAAAGATTGACAGAATTGTTCTGTCTAATGGAGCTGGATTATTTATGCCATAAATCAAGAAATATTCATTCTAAAAAAACTGAAAATACAATCGATCGAGCAAGGACTTACCTCGACTCGTGTGAATGTTCAGGGTGCCTACTTCTTGACAGCCCCACGGGCCATTTCTGACTTGTGGGCCACAGGTTGGCAACCACTGAACTAACGGAACAGGCATTTAATGGCCGCCTTCTGAACCTCTGTCAGTGACAGTGGTTAACTTCAACATCCTTGCTTTCAAATCCCTTCACAGTTTTGCCCCATCCTATTCATGCAATCTCTTCTATTTTTATTCTCCTGCCTCACATTCAACTCTTCTGATTTTGGTAACTTGTTCACTCCTTCCATCCCATCATTGGATGGGATGGAGTACTTCTGGTACCCTCTTCCAAAATCTATTTTTCTTTACTCAGTCCTTTCTTTCAAAACTCTTTTTAAACATACTTTTTCAACTGTGCTTTAAGTCAGCAACTTTAAATCTCTCTTTTCTGTGCTGACTGCTCCCTATTATTTGTAAAGCACTTTGATGCTACAACACATGAAGGGCATTATACAAATGCAACTTGTTGCTGAAACATATTTCATGGGTGAAAGGTATTGTTCAGGTGATTTTTAACTAAACAAGGTTTCCATTTGATATAGCATAAAGAATCCTGTAGACAGTTTGCCCATTAACAATTGAACACAAATATTGTTTACAGGCTAAGGTTATTCTGAAAAACCCATCAATCAAGACAAGAGTGGATGAAGTTTATTTATCTGTCAAAAAGTGTAAGTATTAAAGTGGATACATAATGTAAGTGTGGATTGCCAACAGAGGTGGCTAATTTTTGAAACATGTTATGCAATTAATGCTAGTTTTTAAGTATCAATGCCAGTATTTTTTTAAATAAAGGATGCTGTTGACCACGAAGCCCGGGAATGAGTTTGTGTGACAGCCGATGATGTAGCTAATGAATTTCTTGTTTCTGCAGTTGAGGTTGTAAGCAGCCTAAAGCTGCAGCCTGATAGCCACTCATGGGTTCAATTCCAGGCAGGGCGAAACCTTGGGCAAGTTTCTTTACTCCACATTCCTAATAATAATCCCTCCAAAACAAAAACAATAATAAATTGGTCATTTTCAATCCACGACTGTTTGTGGAACACTGCTGTGCGCAATCGGCTACCGAGTTTCGCCCATAAATATACAGTAAATTCACTTTATAGCATATTCTGTGAAGTGCTTTGAGACGTCTAGAAGACGTGAAAAGCGCGATATCAAATGCAAGGATTATCATTATTATTATCCACAAAATAGGATCCTGTCAAGACAACTGCAATGGGAAATAGAGCTATTAGGCAAAAGCAGAGGGTCTTAAAAGTAGTATAAGAAGCCTCTTAAGAACAAATTAGAACTGCTTACAACCAAGAACAGCAAGAAGTCAGGAAGGTTATTGGGGAAATTAAGCGATTTCTGTGGGTTGCATCATTCTGTAAGGTATCACAATTACATATCTTTTGATCTCATTTTTTTTCTGCTGACACTAATGGGAAGTGTATTCAGATCAGACAAGCAGCAGGAAGCTCGGTGGTAATCCATGTGATTTAAATGGTTAAACTCCAGCAGTGCTCCCAACGAACTCTGCTGACCCCAAGTCTTGGCTCTCCAATCAGTGCCTACTACTTTTTGAAATTAGGTAAGCAGGGTATGTCCCGCTAGGACAGAGGTCTCCAGCTGTCGAGCGCTGTAGGTGGATGTTCTCATGCATGTTCAAAAAGATAAGCGGAATGAGCAATAGAACTATACTTATTTAGTCTGGTTGAAAATGAAGCCAGAAGCAAGAACTATTTTATGCATCTCAAAATAAAAAATGAACACTTTATTGTGTAAACGGCTGTAAATATCTCCTTTTTTTTCTACTTTTTTTTCTACTTGTATTTGATATAGCGCTTTTCACGTCGGGAGGACGTCCCAAAGCGCTTCACAGAACACACTGTAAAGTGAATTGACTATATTTGTGGGCGAACGCGGCAGCCAATTGCGCACAGCAATGTCCCACAAACAGTCGTAGATTGAAAATGACCAATTTTTTTTATTATTGTTTTTGGTTTTGGAGGGATTATTATTAGGCGTAAGAAGTAAGGAAACTTGCCCAAGGTTTCGCCCTGACCTGCCTGGAATTGAACTCAGGTCTCTCGCTTGCAAAGCGAGTGCTCTAACCACTGAGCTACAGGACTTTTATTGAGCATGTATAAAATCCGATTTTTTTTGTTTTCTCCCCAGATGTCACTGAAGCTGATGAAGTTCCATTGAGAACCTATTTTTTGAAATGCTTGGACAATCTAACAATCCTGCTGAACAGTTAATGGCTGCCACAAGCACAGACCATGACATGTTATTGTGGAAAACTGAATCGTGTATATTGTATTGAAATTCAATTTATTTTTATAATAAAGTCTTCATATATTTGTGTTTTGTTTGTCATTTAGTCTTATTAACATGTTGTCAAGTGCTGATGAGATTCAGTCTCGCTCAGTCAGTAAATTTATATTGGGGGTAAATGTAAGTTACGCATTTCTTTATCTTAATTTATTATGGCTTAATCGGGTTATGGCTGAGTTAGAAAAGAACAGTTGAGCAAGGGTACCTGAGCACGTGAACACGGACTGGAATCAAATCTTTAAATACTCCTTCCATTTGATACTTGCATTTCACTTTGGGATAACATCTCACTGGTTTGCTGGATAGTGTGTAAAATGCAGCAGCCATTGTATGATAACAATTAACCACAAATAGCCATGAACTAACAATTTCATCTGGAGAATTGCTGGCTTGGCAGGGCACCAGGAGAATCTCGCTTCTCTTTTCAACTAGTGACAGTGATCTTTTAACATTCACCTGAGCAAGCAGACAGGACTTCAGTTTAACATTTCATCTGAAGGATGGTACCTCCAATACTAGTGTGCCCCAGCCACTGCACTGATGTGTCAGCCTAGATTGTGAGCTCAAAGTCTTGACACGGGGCTTGAACCCACAAACGCATGTTGGATATTGCTGTTCACAAATTGGTTACTGCATTGGCCTACAAAATATAAAGTCACTACACTTTACGTTGAAATCCTTTGGAACGCTTTGAGACGTCTCGACTATGTGATAAAGCACCATTACCCAAAGCAAGGATTGCTATTTTTGTGAATTACAAGCTCGTAGTTGAGTAGCGGTATTTTTAACGTTAGGTCTTAGCTTTGTGAGGTGGGGAGAGCGAGCAAGTCATGAGTATCCCAAAATTACATTTTTCAATAAAGCAGAACTTGACGGTGCCCTCGTGGCCGAGCAGAGTGGCCAGAGATTAAAATGGGTTTGACGCCGAAAGTCAACCAAATACTGGCCCCAAAGTAGTCGATTATGCGTCACGGCCTACACGAGCAGCAGAGTGCCCGGTTTAGGTTAGTGCTTTTGAAACTAAGAAAAGGCTTCAAAGGGGGAGACGGCTTCAGTGGGTTTCAATCTTTGAACTTTAGGCACTCGCCGAAAGCCGTTTGTCATGGAAAGCGCAACACAAACCCACACAACTTGGGACTGATCCACTTTACACTATATCCGGTGAGGTGCACCGCTTCATTAGTTCATGATTACTTGAGACGTCTCGAAACAATAACGGTGATGATGAGGACAACACCATCTGTGGGGGATGGCGATCGTCAGGGGCTGAGTGACAGCCTGAGCAGTGCGCAGGCGCGGCCCGGCCCGGGGGCCGGTTGCCATGACGCCGCTCTGCGGAGAGCGAGTCAGTGAAGTGGGCGGTTGGGCGGCTTCACGCCCAGTTGGGGCGTGGCTTGGGTTGGGCGCAGTGGGTTTGGGTGGGGGCCGAGTTTCATTTTTTAAACCTGTAAAAACCCTCTATTTCCGCCTCCTCTTGCGGTCCTTTTCCTGCCCGGTTTAAAAAAGCACTAAAAACCTCAATCCGACCGTTGCTGCTGCCGCAGAGGAGGCGAGGCCTGGTATTGGGCTACCTTTGGGCTCGTGTTTGGGGGCCTTTGGGCTCGTGTTTGGGGGCCTTTGGGCTACAAGCGTGGTTCACAGCGGGAGCCAGTGCGCCTGCGCTCAGCGGGGCTTCCTGTCAGAGCCAAGATGGCGGCGAGTGAGGGAGGTCGGCGGTGGCGGCGGCTGCTGCTGTTTGCCGGTGAGGACAGTCTGCCTGGGGCGGGGGGAGCGGGGGGGGGGTTTCCAGGCGTTGGTTATGTAGATAGAATCAAACTTGGCCACGGCGCAGGGCCCTCGTGATTGATTTCTCTCCTCTCTGTTGCAGTGATGGTTTTCCGGGCCGAGGTTGTGCTTTCCTTCGCTGTGCCCTTGGATGATTCGTGAGTCTTTCTTTCTTTTTTTCCTTCCTTCCTTCCTTCCTTTCCTGTCGTCACTCTGTGTCGTTGGACAAAAGCGAGCTGGTAAATCAGTCCGATTGCCATGGCTGCCCACAGGGACCTGAGCTGCTCTGAGAGGAGAGGAGAGGAGAGGAAGAGCGAGCGGTTTATTTTGGTTAACGGGGTGTCACTCACTCACTCACTCACTCACTCACTCACTCACTCACTCAGTCACCTTTTGCTTCAGAGTCTCCTCTCCGAACCAAACCGCTGGGAGTTGCATCTGATGATAATAATAATAATAATAATAATATCAATAATAATCCTCGCGTTTGGTGATAAGTGCCTTTTCGCGTCGTCGAGACGTCGCAAAACGCTTCTCAAGGATATTACTGTGAAGTGCATTGACTCTTCTTGTGTTTTGCGCGTGGACGTTTCTGTTTGGCTGAGACGGAGTGCGCAGACTCCCCGAAGGGATTGCCTGCTGCTCACCTAATTAGTTTAGGCACAGGTTGGGGTATACGCACTCTGGGATCCCCAGCTCTTGGCTTTTGCCCGTTACTTTACAGAATGAGGTGAGCAGGGTTCGTCCCTTGGGGAGACCGCAGGCACCCAATTCCAGAAAATGGAAACGTTCATGCATTTGTGGAATTCTTAGCAGTTTTGTTTGGATACACTTAAGCATAATGTAGTGTTTCTGCAGGTGTCAGACACCTGGACGTCATGCAAGAGGCACACCAAAAAAAAAGGAAGATATTTTGCAGTGTTATACGCACACAAAGAAAAACAATTATGGGGAGCGGCTTTGAAAACATCACATTTGGCAGTTAGTTAAACTTTCAAAAATGATGTGAAGGAGCATTTTTTTCGACCGATTTGTGTTGCCTAAAGTAACTGGCTGAAAAGTCTTGTATTGACAGCAATTTCCACTTTGAATTTGTGAAATAAATTATATGTAAACTTGTATGTGAATGTTAACTGATATTTAGGTTTTGTATAATTTAAACAGTATAATTGTCGTGGAGGTCTTGTCATCACACAATCTTGTGATATCAGGACTTAGAATCAAATGAAACTATTCAAATCTAAAGCATAGGTACTTTTAAATATAAAATAAACCCTTACCATGCTACTTGTTTACAGGTGCTGTAAAATCGTATACAAACCTTCGTCCTCCCACTTACAGCTTGAGTTTACTTCATGTCCACTACCTTGCAGTAATGAGAAGCTTGCACATGTGTTAGGGTTAGGGACCATCAATTCTAAGGTGCGCCTTGATTTCCCCCCTCTCCCCATGCCAGAAGCTCCACATGCAGTTGCAAATATAACTTATGCCTGTTTTGCTTATGCTTCTTTTGTATTATAATAATCTCATGTTGTGCCTATAATGTTGAACGTTTCTGTAAAGTTTAGTGGCTGAATTTGTATGCAAAGGTCCATCCTTTGGATGAGAAGCTAAACCGGGGCCCGTCTGCCTCATTACGTGGACGTTAAAGATCCAATGGTACTATTTAGAAAAGTGTCCTGGCCCACAATCCCCCAAATAAAATTGTGCATTCACTTCATGGCCGTTTGTGGGACATTGTTGTGCACAAATTGACTACTACGTTAGCCCCCAAACACTCCACTATTTAATAAATGATAAGATAATAATTCTTGCATTTGATATAGCGCTTTATCACGTCTTTGAGACGTCTAAAAGCACTTCACAGAATATACTGTAAAATAAATTGACTGTATATTTTGTGGGCAAAACGCAGCAGCCAGTTGGGCACAGTAATGTCCCACAAAGAGTTGTGGATTGAAATGACCAATTTATTATTATTTTTTTGAAGGAATTATTACCCCCAGAAAAGCGATCTGCCAATCAACTAACAACTGTATTCCTACTTATTGCTAGGTAAACAGGCGTGGGGCGTAAGGAAACTTGCCCAACGTTTCGCCCTCCTGGTAATTGAACCCGGGTCTCTCGCTTACAAGGCGAGTGCTCTAACCACTGAGCTACAGGTTTCCATAATATCTCTGTAAAGCACTTTGGGGCTTATTCCTGACATGAACAAGTTCTAACGTATACCAAATGCAAGGATTATTATTATTAATAACTAATTTGTGCACAGTAATGCCACCTAACTGACGTGAATGACACATTTTTATCTTTAGTATTATTAGATAGGATTCCTTTCACTTTTCAGATATTTTCATGGAAATTTTAACATCCATCAGAACAGGCAGACATGGCTGGATTAATATTTTATCCAAAGGACTACATTGTAATTGTCAGTCCACGCTGTGAACTCAAAAGGCCTGATATAAGGGTTGATTCCATAACAACAACAACTTGCACTTATATAGTGCCCTCCCCTCTATATAACCTTTTAACTCAAAGCTGATTGTTACATATATATATCTTATATATATATAGAACCTTTTAACTCAAAGCTGATAGTGCTACCAACTGAGCCAAACAAACACCCAACATATGGGATCTATTGCCTTTAGCTATATTGCCTTTTGCTGTATTTAATGAATTGAAAAGATCTGCTGATGACAAGGATGTAATAAGCATAATTGTAATGTACAATATATTGTTTTGCCCCAAAGTTATTCATGTCACCAGGTCAGATAATAGGGGGAGTCTTAACTGAAATCATGATTGAGGCAGAATCCCTATCTCCTTTAAGAGGAATAAAATAAATATCTGGAAAGGAGAAATATAAAAATGATTTGGAGAAAAGGCAGGAGAATGGTACTAAATGCGTTTTTTTAGAGAGCGCCAATACAGACAATGCCTCCTATGCTGCACATTTCAATGGTCCTACTCTTTAGTTTTCTTTCAATATCCCATGGATAGAAATAGTTAATGGTAGTGGGTCATTTTATTAGAACACCTAATTTATTGCTTTGTTAAATATGCTCAATGTATGCTTCAGTAGAATTATAAATATTTATGTATTGCTAATAAAAACAAAACCATTTGAAAACCTGCTGTGCAAACAGGGCTTTAGTAATATTCAAAATCCCTATTGTTTAAGTTTTCAGTAGCAAATGATCTGCACGGCACAATTGGAATGTTCTGACCTTGTGGCATGGAGAGAATGGACATTGAAATTAAACGTTGACCTTCAAAATTGTGCTTCTGAATTTATACTCTTCCTCACCAGAGCTCTCAAATCCTTTCTGTAATGATGTGCCAAACGTTTGTCAACCTAGTCATTAAATGTCCATCACCAATTCCTTACTATTTAAGCCAACATTGGGCTCACTATTTGGGTGCTGTGCAATGATGCATCAATACTGGGTGGGGGGTAAGGAGAAAAGTGTAGATTGAAATAAGAGAGATAGAGACTAAATTGGGAATAACTTGGGTGCGCTCATTTACTTCTAGCAGCAGCTCTGCAATGGTATTTACAGTGTAGAAGGTGCAGCTGCATTGCAGATGTTTGGGAAAAATAAATATGCCGGCACAATTCGAATATTTTTAAAATGTTCGAGCCAATGGAGAAGACCTGGTGTTGCTTTCAAAGAAGGTTCCCCCATGTGGATTGTAGCTTAAAATGGAAAGGTCTCAAGGCGCTGTAAATATGAATGCCACGTGTTTCAAGAACAGCCTACAGTATGACAGAGATTAACAAGGTTGCAGGTGGTGATGTAATCTTTTCTTTGATAAAATAATTTACATTGTGTTTAATTTTTGATATACACTTTGAGATTGGTATCTTACTGCTTTGAAGTTTCCATTGTGTTGATCTGCCCACAGTTGAATGATTAAGAAAGTTTTTTTTATTCATTGAAATGCGTGTAAACCAGACTCTATTTCTTCAGTGTAATGTGCTTGGACTATGACATTGTAGGTGGCCAACCGGTCATGAGCTTGGAGGTCACAACTGGAATATTTGTGCAGTTTTGGGTGCAGTGTAGGTTGTAGCTTATAAAAAGATGCAAGAGCTATGGAGAGGGTACAGTGATGGTTGATAAAGGTGACACCAGAGATGAAAAGATAGAGCTACGATGACAAGCTAGAGAAGTTAGTAGACGTCCTGCTGAAAGAGAGGAGGTGGAAGGGTGATATGATAGAGGTGATTAAGATAATGAAAAGATTTTAAATAATTAATTGTGAAACACTCTTTCAGTTAGTAGATGATTCAAAGATAGCGGGGTGTGAATTCAAGATTGTGAGTTGGGGAGTTTCACAAATTTCTGATGGCCTGTCTTTGATATACCAATCGACCTCTGCAGCCCCTTTTTTGGTCACTTTGGTGTCAACCTGACTCAGTTGGTCATACTTTTGCCTCTGCACCAAAAGGTTTAAGCCACACATCAGAACTTTAAACTCAAGTCTAGACTGAAACTCCAGTTTGGACTTGCCTTACATTTGCTGAGTTCACATTTTGTGTCCAGCCATCTCTAATATAACTAGAACTGTTTGCACATGTTTGATTTCTAAATGTAATGTGTACATTATAGATTCATAACTGAGTTCTTGTGGAAGTACATCTATAACTCTTGCCCTTTAGGCAGATACGTTATCTGAATTGTCCAGAAAGATTAATAACAGTTGGGTGTCTTGATACCCATCACCATGCTTACGATTATTTAAGCATGACTGAGAGTTTCACATATGTTTTGCTACCCAAATGTGGGAAATTTTGCTGTGTCTGGAATGGAATGCAAACTCTCCACCTGGAGGGATACACAAATCCCTACACCCAATATCCTCCAAAATCCTGCCTATGAGCCAAGATGCTGGTCTGTTATCAGCAATGCCTTGGACTGCAATCCCACTTCAGGAACTGGACTACGAACACAGCCACAGAGGGTTGATGTGACTTTGGAGACCTCACTTACTTCTCCTCCCCCTAAGAACAGACACCTGTTAGAGGATAGAATTCAAAATCCTCGTCCTCGCCTTCAAGACCCTCCACGGCCTTGCCCCTTCCTTCCTCAATGACCTGCTAACTCCTTATCAACCTGTCTGCTCAGTAGGCTACGGCCTGCTCCTCGTCCCCTGCCCGACCCACTCCATCATCAGCGGTTGGGCCTTCAGTCTCTCTGCCCCCACCCTTTAGAACACCATCCTACATTCCCTTCACCTCGCTCACTCCCTTGCCTCCTTCAAGGCACGTTTCAAGACCCTCCTTGTCGACCTTGCCTTCGGCCACCCTCCCTGCCCTCCATCCTCCCTGATCCCAACCCCCACTCTGGTCCAAATCCCTGACTGTCCAGCGCCTTAGGATATCCTCCCGATGTGAAAGACTGTATACAAATGTAATTTTGTATTGTAATTTTTTATTGTATTGTTACTCATTAAGGCATATCTAGGATATAATCTATATAAGAAATGTTTTTTTTAAATTGCAGATTTAAAGAAAATAGAGAAGATCAAATATGGTTAGTTGACGTAAGTATGCATTTTCCCTTGAGTCCAGCCATTAAATATTGCAGTTGATAATGATCTGATGTGTCAAAGATGTGAAAAATGCTGTATCATCTGCAAGGATTATTATTATTATCTGGACGGGGGCGATTCAGACTTGTGTGTTTTTCACTAATGTTATTTTTAAAAGGTGCCTTTCTTTAATTCACCTTAATATGTAGCATTTACAGTTTTGGATGTGTCTCAGATTATTGAACTGATCCATTTTCATTTATTGCTGCACTGTGATTGTGCTGTGAGTTAAAATTTGTGGATCAAATGTCTCATCACTAATTACTGTACAAGCAAAATCTTTACTGAATATTTTATGTGTGAAAGTTGTCCATTTGTAATCCTATCCTGTTGATAATGGGCATTTGAAAATTTTGAGGCCCAGTATCTTCAAACTAAATTTTATGTTGGAGATATGCATTTGTTTATTTTCTATGCTTAGTTTCATACAAAGGGAGGTGAAAGAAGTGGCTAACAATAGGAAAGCAGTATAATTTAAGGTTGAAGGAAGAACTGATAGAGGTCTTTAAAATTATGAAGCGTTTTGATGGGGAGTGCCGTAAGTGTCACTCTGTTTTTAAGAAAAGAAAAATGGAAGAGCCAGGGAACTATTGACAGTTTTACATCAAGAAAAACCTTAGGAAAGCTACTTGAAGTCATAAGAGTTGTGGAACATTTAGAAAAAAGGAACTGATCAGGGATCTCCTTGACAAATTGAAAATCTCTATCAAATTGGATTGTAATGTCTATAGAATGTGAATGGCTATTGAGAAATGCAAAACACGCCTAGAAATAGTGCTGAATTATGAGGGGGAAGCAAGTCTGATAGAGAGAGCCACTGCTTAAGCAAGTCACCGTAAGCACAAACTCATAGATGCAAGTTGTTTTCGTTGTTGTTATAATTGGAAAACATTCAGATTGAGAGAGAGTGATATTTTTCACTCCCTAAGACACAATGATGAGCCCAAACTGTGAAACAAAATCCTGGTTTGCAGTTGTTTCCAGGCTAGTTTCAGCTGCTTGTTTTTACCTATGGGAAATTAGCATGTGTCACCTAAGTTCAAGAAGAATAAATGACCTTGGATGCAGCTGAAAGAGGTTGCCCCCTCTGAAAGTTTTTTTTTGGTCAGCTGGGTGTCTGATCATGCTTGGATAACTTCATTTCAGAAGGCAGTACACTGAGTAATGGGGGGATAACTCTTTGAAAGTTGGACAATACTATACCTCCAGGAAGTTGCCAGTGATAAACAGTACAATAATTTACAGAAGAAATTATGGTGCCTTTTGGTATACTTGCTTACCAAGCAAAGAAATTAAATACTTACAACTGATGAGTGCTGGAGCTAGAAATCATTAGAGTTCAGATAACTGAGCAACACTGCAATTAATCTTCAGTTGTTGTCCTGTTCTCTCAACAATGAGTGCAAAAAGTTCTGTTATTTTTGTTCACAGGGATTCAGTCATTGCCATCCTTTTATACAGTTTCAAATCCCACATGTGATCCACTGCCTGGATGATTTTCTCATTTGCTTTGGTTTCTGTGACCTGACAAAACATGTTGAGCTTTCTTTGTGGTTTATAATCCCTCTGTTTTGTAGAATTACTCCTTCCTATTTGCTACTCTCTATTGCATTTTTTTTTGCTGAGAAATTGCTAGTCATAGAGTCCTGTAGCTTTGTGGTTAGAGCACTTGCCTTGCAAGCGAGATACCCAGATTAAATTTCCAGACAGGGTGAAACGTTGGGCATGTTTCCTTATTCCACAAGTCTCTGTTTACTTAGTAGTAAGTAGGAACCTGGTTGTTAGTCGATTGGCGGATCACTTTGTCAGGGGTAATAATGCCTTTCAATTTAATAAAAATAATAAAAAAATAATTTGGTCACTTCATCCACAACTATTTGTGGGACACTCCTGTGTGCAATTGGCTGCCACGGTTCAGCCGCAAAACATAGTCGATTCACTTTATAGTATATTCTGTGAAGATCTTTGAGACATCTAAAGATGTCATAAGGCACAATACCAAATGCAAGGATTATTATTATTATAAAGTGTTCAAGTTGCAGTTACATGATTCAGTCATAAACCTGTGATTTGCTTAACACATTGCAGATTTGCCATCAAAACGATAGCTTGACCACTTTATAACTGCCAACAACCAACTTAGATGTTGAAAGAGTGAGCAAGTTTAGAATTTAGTGAGCTGTACCTAAATAGCTGTTAGTTTAGTTAGCTGTTACTTGGCTATCTAAAATATATTTTTATTTAAAAGGAATACATTGCAATTAATTCTGTTCAATGGTTTTGGTGCTTTTCTTTGTACTTTGAGTAGTGCGTTCCAATAACATTGGGAATTGTCACAATTGATTTACTGTCCAGGAACCTCATGAACGAATTGAGTTATAGAACCATAGAAATTTACATCCTAAGTTGTCATTTGGCCCATCGTGCCTTTGCTGGCTCTGAAAAGTAACCAGTTTAGTCCCTTCTCATGCCTTTTTCCATACCTTTATTCCTTTTAGATATTCATCTAATTTCCTCTTAAGATAATATGGATTCTGCCTCAATCATCTTTCTAGTAGCGCATTCCATAATAATAATCCTTGGATTTGATATAGCGCTTTTTCACGTCTTCTATGCGTCTCAAAGCACTTCACAGACTAAAAAACGTCAAACCTAACAAACCACTGTTGAACAGATGCTGGAAGTTTGCATATAATTCTAAAGTATATTCAAAATTTCACCCACAAACTATACAGTCAATTCATTTTACAGTATATTCTGTGAAGCGCTTTGAGACGACATGGTAAGGAGCTATATCAAATGCAAGGATTATTATTCTGGTGAATTTCCTATGACTAAGGCCTTGATATTGTTCCTACAGTGAGGTGTCTGAAACTGGATAACTGTACCCTGACTTGCGATTTCTAAAGCTTAGCATTACCCACTTTACCTCTAGGCTATATGCCCCTATTTATAAAACCTAGGATTCCATTTTATTAACAGCTTTGGCAACTTGCTATCTCACCTTTAAAAATGTGTTACATTAACCATTGGTCTCTCCACTCTTCTGCTCCTTTTAAAATCTTTCACGTTTTTGTATCTTAGTCTGGCTTCAGCTTTATCGAATGCCTTCCATAGCCCACGTTCTTTTATATCGCTAATATCGCTCCTCTCGAGCCTGTTGCGCATGTGCTGCTTTTTTATAGGTACAATCAACAAGCCTAGACTCGCCCCTAACAAACAATGCAAACTAGGATTCAATTTCTTAGTCTGGTACATATGAGATGCAAATACCAGCAATTTCACCAGTTTTGTTTTCCAATATAATTTAATGGTCTTCTGAAAAGGATATAATGAATATAAGTAGATAAATTCAGCTATATTGGAGAAGTTAATTTTGTAGTACGTTTGAAATTCTATTCATTTTAAGCTCCAACCCCTTCCATTTTGTGTTCATCCACTTGTGATATGATGTTTAAAAATCCACAATTGCAAATAAGTAATGTAATTGCTGACCTGACTTTTTATATTGGGCATGAACAAGACCTGATGACTTGGCAGTAGAGCAGGAAATTCTGAGCAGTACTATCACAACACAGACTATTTGAAAGGGTTTAACAAAGCACTGAGGGAATTAATGAAACAGATAAAGGGGATGAAATTCCTCTTGTCGCTTAGAATAATGACCTTGATCATAAAATCCTAAAAGTGCATTGTCAAAGCTTCTGCGCTCAGCAGCAGGAAAAGTGTAAAGAATATCAAAGAGGTCACATAGATTATACCATCCTCATTTTATTTTGTCTTGTTTGAGCCATTGTCAGACCTCAAGATAAAAAGAATGCAAATTGTTATGCTTGCAGGGTGGCCAAAATAAAGCGGAATGAATGCTGGAGATAGGTCCCATAGCCAGTGGCAGCATCTTGATCAGCTCTCAGATATTGGAATATATTTGATCTTTCTCCACAGGTTCATCACATGACTGAATATGCAGTCAATAACAGGAAATGAAATTGCAATGTATGCATTTCTATCTTCTATCTAAATGATTCTAGTGGCTAATCAGTAAATTAGCATTTAACTGCTGCATCTTTGTTTTTGTTGGTTTAGTTCTATGCACCTTGGTGTGGTCACTGCAAGAAACTAGAACCAATATGGGATAATGTAGCTGCTGAATTGCAATCTTCAGGCTCGCCAGTAAAAGTGGGGAAGATGGACGCAACACTTTATTCAGGTAAAGTGTGCCCTCAGGTTGTAATGTAATTTTCTGTAGTAAATCATGTCTTCTGCATCTTCCCTTTTCTCATGACTGCTAAAGAACATTGTGAGCTAAAACATTTCATTCTTTGGGTTGGTGCATTAGTAAACATTGGTAATATTGTACAATGCAATTTACATTTATATAATGCTAGGATTATATAATCGTGTTGGGAGGACCTCTTACAGAGACTTGCAGACTACATGCTGAAAAATATGATTTCTGAATACCGTTGGTATTTTTAGCTATTTTACACATGAGCTTTCCCGCTAGAGAGTGATTCTCTATAGGTTTGAACCTCATGGTAAACAGTCAGCACCTCTGACGTTGGTTCCCTGATGAACATTTGTACCAAAGAAAAAACAGTGTCAGTTCTCTGAAGAATATCAATTATATCAAAGGTATAAAGCTAGCTTTGAAATATTTCCACACTGGAAAGAACATCATTTAACCCCATAACAAACTGACATTTTTCATACTAATAAGTACTGTGATTTTTACAGTAGATACTTATGACAAAGGAAGTTAATTGTTGCTTCAGTGTTCAATATCTGCTACAAATCATTGGCTGTTTCCCCCCCCACCGCCATCCATCTCCCTGAAGATGACTTTGCTCGGGTGTGATTCGATATTGTGAGTAACTCTCAATATGTCTCGCCTATGTAATGCATGAGTCTAGATCACAAAGTTCTAGAAACGCTTATTTTGTTGGCCAACCTCTTTGGTTGGCCACCAATGGTCTTGATAGTGAGTGTATTTGATTTCAAGCATATCAACCAATCCTATTCTTGTAAAATATTGTTTCAGAAAATAAATAATTTTCTGAAATAATAACTGAAAAATTGTGTATCAGAATTTTGCAGCACACAAGGAGGCCATTCGGACCATCGTGTTCACATCAGGTCTTTGAAAAGAGCCATCCAATGTAATAATAATAATAATCCTTGCATTTGATATAGCGCTTTTCACGTCAGAAGGACGTCCCAAAGCACTTCACAGAACACACTGTAAAGTGAATTGACTGTATATTTGTGGGCGAACGCAGCAGCCAATTGCGCACAGCAATGTCCCACAAACAGTCGTAGATTGAAAATGACCAATTTATTATTGTTTTTGTTTTGGAGGGATTATTATTAGGCTCTGTGTGGAGTAAGGAAACTTGCCCAAGGTTTCGCCCTGTCTGGAATTGAACTCAGGTCTCTCGCTTGCAAAGCGAGTGCTCTAACCACTGAGCTACAGGACTCCACAATGTAATCCCACTCCCCCATTCTCTCCCCATAGACCTGCAAGCTTATCCTTCCCAAATAATTATCTATTTCTCTCATAAAAGAAGTTATCAAATCAGCTTCTACCCCCCTTTCAGGCAATGCATTCCAGATCCGAACAACTCACTGTATGAAAAAAATTCTCCTCACCTTCCCCTCTGTTTCTTTTGACAACTATTTTAAATTGATGCCCTCGGATTACTGACCCACCCGCCAGTGGAAATAGTTTTTCCTTGTTCACCCTATCGAATTCCCTCATAATTTTGAAAACTTCTATTCAGTCTCCTTTTAATCTTCTCTGCTCAAAGGAGAATAATCCCAGCTTCTCCAGCCTCTCCTGATAACTGAAGTCCCTCATTCCTGATACCGTCCTGGTAAATCTCCTTTGCATCCTCTCCAGTGACTTGACATCCTTCCTAAAGTGTGATGTCCAGAACTAACACACAATACTGTAGCTGACCGCTAACCAGTGTTTTATAAAGGTTCATCATGACATCCTGACTTCTATTCTATGCCCCTATTTATAAAGCCTTGTATCCCGTATGCGTTTTTAACAGCTTTAACTACCTGTTCTGCCACCTTCAAAGATTTACTTACATGAACCCCGGGTCTCTCTGTTCCTTCACCCCCTTTAAGATTCTACCATCAGCTTATATGGCCTCTCCTCAATCTTCCTCCAAAAATGCATCACTTTGCATTTCTCCACATTAAACTTAATTTGCCATAGGTCTGCCCATTTTACCAGTCTGTCTATGTCTATTTGCAGTCTGCTACTATCCTCCTCACTGTTTACTACTTTCTCTAGCTTAGTATCATCTGCAAACTTGGAAATTTTACTCTCTATACTCAAGACCCACAACTTCTGGATATTCCCCTTCATGCCTTTATCCATACCTTTATCACCCTGGACTATGGGAACTCTCTCCTCGTCGGCCTTCCCGGCACCTCCCTCCACAAGCTGCAGGTCATCCAGAATTCTGCAGCTCGTGTCCTGTCCCGCACCAGGCTTCGTAACCACATCACTCCCACCCTCGCTCGCCTCCACTGGCTCCCCATCCCCCAGAGGATCGAATTCAAGATCCTCATCCTCACCTACAAGGCCATTCACGGCCTCGCTCCCTCCTACCTCTCCAACCTACTATCCCCCTACCTACCTGCCCGTACCCTCCGTTCCTCCGGCTCGGTCTGCTCCACATCCCCCGCCCCAACCGCCCTACCATCGGTTGCCGGGCCTTCAGCCTCTCAGCCCCTAGGCTCTGGAACTCCATCCCCCAGTGCCTTCACCGCCTCCTCCCTTTCCTCCTTCAAGGCCGGTCTCAAGACCTTTCTCTTTGACCGAGCCTTCAGCTCCCTCTCAACTCTCTATCCCCTCCTCCTCCCTCCCTTCCCTCCCCTCACCCTGACCATTTCCCCCCTTCTCGCTCCCTCCCTTCCCTCCCCTCACCCTGACCATTTACCCCCTGCTCGGATCCTGACCCAACTGTACAGCGCTTTGGGACGTCCTCCCGACGTGAAAGGCGCTCTATAAATGGAATCTTGTTGTTGTTCTCCCTGTAGAACATTTTGTACCCATTCTGTGATGTCTTCAACCCTGGCACCAGGGAGGCAACATACCGTACAAGAGTCACATCTTTGGTTGCAGAAACACCTGCCTACTCCTTTCACCATTGTATCCCCAATGACAATTGCATTGACACTCTTCCCTGTCCCCCCCTGTGCATCCATTTGTTTTTGACTCCCCTCCCCAGAGATATCACCACCCTGACCAGTATTCAGTACAGAGAATTAATTTGTGAGTGCCACACTCACAAGGGATTTCTGCACTGCCCATCCCTTCTTCCTACCATGCCATATGGTCACCCACTCACTCTCCTGAACTCTCTGTGGCTGTGGGATGACTATCTCCTGAAACTATCCCATGAACTCTTCAGCCTCCCATATGTCATGTAGTAATATCAGCCTCTCCTCAAACTCAGAAACTTTGAGCCTAAGCTCAAGCAGCCAGAGACATATCCTACACACATTCTGTCCAACCCACACAAAGCATCGTGGAGTTCCCACATAGCACACATGTAACTCATCTCAGCTGTCCTGCCATATTTCCAGACATGTTTTATATAATTTGAATATAACATATTTTTATAATTATGCACCTCTTTCCCCCTCTGCACCAAATTCCTTAACAGAATTCTTACTCTGTTCCACCTCACTCAGTTCCCTCCTCACACTGCTGGGCTCTCTGCTCAAATGAAGCTGTTACAAGTCTTCTCCTTTATATAGGACACACACAAAAACACCCAGTTTTGACTGGTCAGCAGATTTTTTAATCCCCACCACCTGGCCTATGATTAACTGCGAGTTGACTTGTTTGCCTGCTTCTACATATAAGGTTGCCTCTACCTCAAGATAGATTTCCCACTCTTCTGCTGAATGAAAGAGTTCTCTCTTGCTGAAGAATTCCCACTCTCACCAAATTCCTTAACAGAATTCTCACCCTGTTCCACCTCACTCAGTACGCTCCTGGGCTCTCTGCTCAAGTGTATTAAATAATTACTGTGGTAACATACAAGGTTTCATTGGTGATTAAAGTGCTTTCAGGTTTGAATCTCTGGAGCAATGAAAGAATGTTCACCTAGGAAGGATTTTAAGGATACAAGGTACAAACCAATTGCTTTTATTTAGGATTGTGACCATGTTGTATTCTTGGCTGGTATTCTTCAAAGTTAAATTACTAAACTGTGGCTCAGCAGGATCTGCTCTCAGGCAAATTGTGTTTGTGTTAAACTTATGGAGCTGCTCTGGCTTTTCCCAGTAATTTACATTCGTGGAGAAGGTGGGTTGCAGTTATGTTGTATGCAGGAAAAAAAAGTACTTCATTTGTATATTGTTACATTTCCACGATCATCCCAGTGAACCTGCATTGCACTGTTGCTTACTAATTTTTTCTCTCTCTAGTTCTGTTCTTGTGCTCACTGTGTTTCAGCCCTTTGGTCTCCCATTTTTTGCCTGATCTCTGATTTTGTCCCACCCCCTCCCCCCAGCCTGAGTGAATCTCATTCTGTCTGTTTGACTCCAACCCTATGACATACCTGTAAAAGTATTAAATTGAACATTTATTAGTTCAAATTGGGTTAGGATTAAGTAGCCCCACCTGCTTTAGGCGTAACAAAAGGCTTTTTGGTCACTGTATCACCTTTGTATCAGCCCTAATAAAGAGAAGTAGACATGGTTATCTCACGTGATTTAGGCATTGATCCAGTGCCTAAATCGTAAGGAGATGGTCATGGCATTATTGAGACTTGCACCGGTACCTAAGATGACTTTTAGTGCTTTAAAGGTGCTGAATTATATGAGAAGTTGACCCACCTTTGAGAGATGGGCTAAGACGCTGGGCTATGTGTGGGAGAAATGTTTTAATTGGGCTAATTCAGAATGGGGGGTAATTGCTAATAGTTGTTTGTATTGGCATTTCAGAACTGTAACTCGGCAAGTCTTTCAAGGAGTCATCCTCCGTTACTGAGTATACTGCCTTCTGAAAGAAACGAGAGGCTATACATATTGAGGTAGTGCTCAATCCATGCAGTTATTCCTGCCAAATCAGTGGGGAGGGGGGTGATCTGAAATCTGGAGAGAACAGACCCTGATTACAATATGTTGCTTTGGAACTTTTAATGTTCACTTATATTTTTACAGGAGTTGCTTCGGAATTTGGAGTCAGAGGTTATCCAACTATCAAATTGTAAGTAAAGGATTATTCAACTCTTATTACTGCTAACAATGTGTTATTGTGGTATGGATGTATGTATGATTTAGTAGTAAAGAGTGACTCCATTTTAATATGGTGGTTTGGGTCCATAAACTCAGACCCGCATTATAAAGAGGCACACTAAAATAGGCTGTTTTCAGTGTTATCAGATCAGCTTGCATTGCATCTTGTACTCAGCCATCTTTCAGCATGGGAAACTGGCCAGGCAGCACATAACATAAACTGGGTTTACGGTGAACCTGTTGTATACTGGGGAACCTAAAAACGGGATTGCCCTGAAATGCACAGTATAAATAATATGGATAAATTGAAGAAATTGTGTACAAAGCGGCAAAATCTGTATTCATTTTCTGTGTAATATAGTCAGATTATAATGTAATTAGATTACCATTGTTGTGTTGCCTTGCATTTCTTGTTTTATTCTTATAAACGTCTAACACAAGTAACTAAGCACAATCACAAAATGAAAAATAGAATCCTGTTAACTAATGATAAAAGCTTATTAGGAAGAATGAGGAGCATTAATTGTGAATTTGCAGTCTGGCAACATTACAACAACTTGCACTTATAGCGCCCTCCACGCAGAATAGCAGCTCAGAGCGCTTAAGAGTGGCGAAGCCTGACTTCGAGCCGGGGGAGGGGGGAGGTGGCCGTAAACACAATTGAACAGGAAAATCTTCAGGCGGAACTTGAAAGAGGGGAGAGAAGGGGCAAGGCAGAGGGATTGAGGGAGAGTATTCTAGAGTTTTTGGGCGTAGTGGTTGAAAGCACGACCTCCAATGGTGAGACGGAGGGTACGAGGGACAAGCAGGAGGCCAGTGCCAGTCGAGCGGAGGCGCCAGGTGAATTGGGGAGTGAGGATATCAGAGGGGTAGGGAAGTGCCAGGGAGTGAATGGATTTGAACACGAGTGTGAGGATCTTGAAGTCGATCCATTCGGTGATGGGAAACCAGTGGAGCCTGGCCAGAACTGATGAGATATGTCTACGGAGTTTGGTCGAGTTCAGTATGCGAGCGGTAGAATTTTGAATGAGCTGGGTCTTTTGAACAGTGGAGTTGGGGAGACCGGGGAGTGCATTTGAGTAATCCAAGTGGGAGGTGACAAACACATGCACGAGCGTTTCGGCTGCATTTGGGGTAAGGTATAGTTGGAGGCGCGCAATGTGGCGGAGGTGGAAGAAGGTGGTCCTGGTCAGGGACTGGATGTGGTGGAGGAAGGAGAGTTGGGGGTCAAACCGGACGCCTCGGTTGCGCACTGGTTCAGTGAGTCTGAGAGAGAGCCCAGGGAGTTTGAGGAGTTTAGATCCGCAAGAGGGAAGACGTTGACTGGAGCCAAGAAGTATGACTTCTGTTTTGTCCATATTCAGCTGCGGGAAGTTACAGTGATCCAGACCCTGATGTCTGCCAGACAAGCTGATAGAACATCAGTGAACCTGGAGTTGGTACTGGAGGAGGTAAAATAGATTTGTGTGTCATCCGCATACATGTGGAAATTTACCCCGTGTCTGTGGATGACATCGTCCAGAGGGAGCATATAGATAAGCAAAAGAAGAGGGCCAAGGATGGAGCCCTGGGATAGCCGCAGGTGACCAGGCGGGGGAGGGAGGAGAAACCATTTGCTGAGATGAAATGGAGGCGGTTGGTTAAGTAGGACTCGAAACATGCGAGTGCAATCCCACTAAGATAGATAAGGGAGGAGAGATGGTGGAGGAGGATGGCATGGTCGACTGTGTCGAATGCGGCAGAGAGATCCAGGAGGACGAGGAGGCAGAGGGAGCCGTGGTCACAGGTAGAGAGAATGTAATTTGTAACTTTGACAAGCGCTGTCACTGTGCTGTGGGCAGGGTGAAAACCAGACTGCAGGGGCTCGAGGATGGAGTGGAGGGAGAGGTGTGACCGAAGTTGACCTGTAACAGTGCGATCCATTGTTGGTCGACTGTGTTGAACGCGGCAGAGTCAGTATATTGAGAGAACACAGTTGAGCTCAAATTGTTACTTTATAAGCAATAGTAAGGAATAAAAGGGTTAGGATAGGTGATGTTTAAGTCTGTTTTCTGACCAGTGGACAGGGATTCAGGATGAGATTGTATTTAATGTGAAGTTCTATTGTTAGTGAGGTTGAGCTTGCCATCTGTTGATAACCCAACCTTAACCTGGGCGTTTCGGGGGGGTGGGGCGGAGGAGGAAAAGAGGCCGAAGGGAAGGCAAATATCCACTGGAGATCAAATAGCATCACTAATAATTGTTACTTTATTTGTTACTCTATGTATGTCACTTGTGTCTTTACAGTGGAGCCCTGTTATAACACAGTAGTTTGGGATCCGTAAAATCCTGATCAATGCTATAATGGAATGCAATGGCAAGTCAGCACTTCTGCATTCACTGCATGTGCGTGGGAAGATACCCGGCTCCAATCGTGCTTCAGAACACTGGAGAAAGCAAACATATGCAGTCTGCAGGAAGTGCTGTCAACCTCATGCCCTGGAGTTGACCATTTTCCACATGCTATCTGGAGTTTTAAATTGCTAATGGAGTCAGCGTTTTTTTGGAAAATAAGTGTTAGCTCTATATCCCAACATTAGTTTAGTAAACTGCCTGTTATAATGGGGTTCTACTTTACTTGCTTTAGATTTAACTATATACCAGCAGATACAGCCTTTTTCAGTTCCTTCATTTTGCTTATCAAGATTTACAGTTGAATAAATCACAGGAAAGCACAAGTGAAATGATATTGATGAAAATTCATTTACTGCTTTAAAAAGTCGTGAATGTGGTACTGCAGTGTTGAATGCAAAATTGAACTTGTCACAAGTATATTTGATAGCACAAATCTAACTGATCCTCTGGTCTACATTTATGTTAAATTCAATATTTGTTATTGGTAAAGCCTGCATTTGGGCCTTTATTTAGGCTCTTTGAATGTTTTCTATTATGCTCAACCAAATCCACCATAGGTCAAGTTGTTAATACAATGCTTATTTGCTCAAGATTCGTCTTTTTAAATTCCTTTTGCAAGGTTGAAAGGGGACCTAGCTTACAATTACAAAGGACCTCGGACTAAAGATGACATCATTGAATTTGCTAACAGAGTGTCCGGGTTAGTGAATTCTGACTATTACTGTCTTCATTTTTAGTGCTGAAAATTCTTTTTTGGGGGCAAATGAATGTCTGACACGTGGAAACCCATTATCAAGCTTGGAATATCCAAATCAGACTGAGGGTTGAGACCACCACAGAGGACACGGGAAAGAATAGGGAATAGGATAGGATAGATGGCTTCATGGAAGGACCAAAAACTGACATCAATATAATAATCCTAGCATTTAATATAATAGGTCAAATGGCCTCCTACTGTATTGCATCTTCCCCTTTGTTAAAAAGTCCAGCATCTCATTAGCTTCATTGTTTGCATTCTGTACTCATAAATGTTAATGATTAATAAACTTGGACCCTAAGATTCCTCTGCTATTCTATCCTTATTTCTTACTAATTTAAAACTTATTCCTACATACTATTTTTCTATCTGAAGTGTACCACCTCACCCTTTGCGGTTTTAAGATCTATTTGCCATTGTTTGCTACTCATTTAAATTGTCTATATCCAGTTGCCATTTTGTCCTCTCTTCACAATTGATAGCCACCATCTTTGCGTCATTAAAAAACTTATCCCCTCCTATATCCAGGTCAATAATATGAAGTGAAGTCCGATTACCAATTTTTGGGGATATTGCTTGTCATTGCCTGTCAGAGATTTAAACATTTTACAAACTAATTTCCTAACCATGTAACAATATTACATTAAATTCCCTGTATTTTAATTCTAGTGAGTAATCTCTTAAGTGATACATATTCTGAAAAATATAACTTGATATCGATTGATCCTCCTTTATCACCTCTGTGGTTCTGTCAAAGTCTAATTAGGTTTGTGAGACATAATCTACCTGTCGCAAAACCATTCTGTAGTTTCCCATTCCTTGCATATTTATACAGTTACTCTATTCCAATTGATAGATTCCAGCAATTTACTCTTATAATAATTCCTGCATTTGAAATTATAGCACCTTTCATGTTAGGAAGATATCCCAAAGCGCTTCATAGGATATATTGTGAAGAGCGGAGACTATATATTTTGTGGGCAAAAACAGCAGCTGATATTGCGCACAGCAATGTCCCTCTTACAGCCACAAAGTGAATGACCATTTGGAGAACAAGAGCGGTCCCAGCACTGCCTCCTGAGGAACCCAACTATTTACCTTGTACCAATTTGAAAAACGTTCTTTAATTCCCCTTTTCTGCCACCTCTTCAATCATTGCACTATCCATTTTGTTTTTTTCCATCATTCGCTTGTGCCTTGACTTTGGCCACACGTTTCTTATGTAACACATTACCAAATACCTTCCAAATGTTCAAATGCAAAACTCTAATCCTTGCACTTATAATAGCATCTAGCTTGTCGAAATGTCTTTGGTAATGAGATGTGACAAATAATTGCTGTAAAATGTGATGACTGTTTTATTTGAAATTGCACAGCAATGTCCCACAGACAGCCATGTAACATCTACTACTTCTCCTGTATCTAAACCCTTGGTTACTCCCTCAAGTCAATCAAATTGGTTAGACCCAATTTTCCTTTACAAAACAGAAAAGATCTGCACATAAAAGGCCATTCATTCCTGTGCCATTGCTACTTCTAAATTACATGTTTTTAAATTAATCCCACTTTCTGGAAAAATAACACAAGACGAAAGCCATGCCCTTCCCTTATCAGTTTCATCTTTTGAAATGCTCCACATCAGTAGGACAAAGAAATCATTAATGTAGTTATAAATGTATCAACAATTTGCATAAGACTCACCAGATACAGTTCCCCAGTTTTTCCTTTTTCTCTTTCTTGAACAACAGTGATGTTTGCCACTCTCCAGTCCTATGTGACAATCCCTGTAAATTAGACTTCTGGAAAATAATCGTAAGAACCTCTGCTACTGAACTTAGTGATCTACTTTAATCCTTTCTTATCTTATATATCAATTATCTGTTTCTGTACATATATTCCTACATTACAGTGATCCCTCTCTAAACACTGACACAAATATCTATGAGCATCTCATCATCAGTTTAGGCTCATCTATTACTTTACCCTCCTCAACTTACAGTAGCCCCACTTCTTCCTTGATTATTTTCTCCAATTTATGTACTTATAAAAGTTATTATTAATACTCTTAACATTGTCCTGTTTTGTTTTAATCTCGGTCTTTCAATCCTCCTTATCTTGTTTTAGTTTTTTCCTGTATCTAAAAAAAGTTAGTAGAGAGAGAAAAAGAAGCTGAGGAATGGAGAAAGAGTCAGAGGTAGGGTTACTGATCAAGATGGAAGGAGAGAAGCTAGAGTGACAACTGGGGTAAAATATAGTGACTGGGTATTTGGCAAACATGGCAGCAAATTTGCAGAAATCGGGTCCCATAAATAGGCATTGAATGAATGACCAATTTATCTGAGAGATTATTGGTCAGATTTACACTCCGCGTGATGACTTGATATGTATAACAGACTTGACCCTAATTAATGCAGATATCTGGGTTTATACTGTTTAAAATTTTGTAGTGCAATTTATTTATATTTCTTAAATATGTTTATAAACAGGCCTCTGGTTCGGACACTCTCCACCCAGCAGCTGTTTGATCATTGGCACAAAAGGTACCCAGTGTTCTTTGTGTACGTTGGCGGAGAATCTCCATTGAAGGTCTGAAAAGAAGTTTATTTGAAATAAAAACTTTACAAAACACACAAAAAATTATTCCATTGTTTTACATTTATACAGACATGTTTAATATAGTGCTGAGGAAAAGGCTTGAGCAGAGTATCTTTAATTTTGTTTATAGAACTGTATAGTCTACATTCTGAGAATAATACCTAAACGTGTTTACAATCTTATTCAAAAGGTTTAGATCCTAAAACCATTGTTTAGGGGCAAATGAAAATTGTTAACTGTCCAATGCTTTGTATAGAATAATTCAGTTTTACCTTTGGATTATGTTTTTGTCAGGACCATTGATTTTGTTATTAATTTTCATGGATAAATACCATATGAAAGTTAATAAACAATTTTCTCCTGTATTCTATTTTTTGAAGTGAATGAAAAATGTCTGTGCAAACTATGTTAATAACCTTAATGTTATAATTTTACTCCCCACCAGGAGAAGTTCTTTGAGGTGGCTGCAGAACTTATTGTCTATACATACTTCTTTTCTGCTTCAGAGGATGCTTTACCACAGGTAAATAATTTAAGTGAATTATGAAAGTCAGTTGTTAAAACCACTAGTAAATGTTCTTGCATTCCACTTCAACAAAGTTTCCCCATCCATGACTTGTGGATGAGCACAACAACCTCCTTCATATAACTCAGTGGATCACCCTCAGTGACTCTCTTCCACCTCAATGAAGATGCCCCATCCAGCGCTGCCTCAGCTCCCATATCTGCCACACACCTACCTGTATTTTTCAGGCAGCAGAAATTGTTTCTAGAAATCTACCTCTCACAGATCATTTGAACTTTTCTCACCTTATTTACCCAGTCATCCTATTTTACGTTATTATGCAAATTGTAATGTCAATTCACTTCACAGTATATTCTGTAAAGTGCTTTGAGGCGAATCAACAACGTGATAAGGCGCTTAATATAATAATAATAAATAAATAAATAATCCTTGCATTTCATATGGTGCCTTATCAGTACTGACAGACTGGCTGTCGGACATCAAGTCCTGGATGAGGGCAAATTTCCTGCAGTTGAATGTGAACAAGACTGAGGCCCTCCTGATTGGTTCATGCCAGTGCCTCAGCACCTCAGGCTCTGGCAGCATCAACCTCCATGGTTGCACACTACAACTCACCAAGCCAGTCAGGAACTTAGGTGTCTTGTTTGACTCACTTGTCTTTTCTTCCCCACATCCAAGCCATGATCCACTCTGCCTTCTCTCACCTCCGTAACATTGCCCGACTCTGACACTACCTCAGGCCGCTGAAACTCTTGTTCATGACTTCATCACCTCTAGGCTCGACTATGCAAACGCCCTTCTTGTCGGCCTTCCCAACTCCTCCCTCCACAGGCTGCAGATAATCCAGAACTCTGCAGACCGTGTCCTCTCCCGCACCAAACTCCGTGATAACATCTGCCCCATTCTCGCCCGACTCCATTGGCTCCCTATCCTTCAGAGGATCCAGTTCAAGAACCTGGTCCTCATCTACAAAGCACTCCATGGCCTCGCCCCACCCTATCTCTGCGACCACCTAACCCCCTACCAACCCCCCCGCTCCCTCTGCTCAGCCAGCTCATGTCTGCTCCACGTCCCCTGACCCACCCGCCCCACCATTGGGGGGAGAGCCTTCAGCCACTCTGTCCCCAACCTCTGGAATTCCATCCCCCCAATCACTCCGCCTCGCCCCCTCCTTAGCCTCCTTCAAGTCCCACCTCAAGACCCTCCTCTTCGACCATGCCATCGGCCACCCCTCCCCTCATTTCTCCATCCCTGACCCCAGCTCGGGTCTGAAATGCTGTACACTGTCCAGCGCCTTGGGACATCCTCCTGATGTGAAAGGCGCTATACAAATGTAATGTTGTTGTTATCACATCTTCGAGACACCTCAATGCGCTTCATCATGCCGGGTCACGTCCTAGAGCGATTAAGGATTATTATTCACAGTAGTACATGGATTTTTGACCCCTACAAGTTAACAAAATATTTTTTTAAAATCTGAAGTTCCTAGTTTATGGAGGAAAAAGAGTTAGTTCATTAGTTCATTCTGTGATCTTATCCTAACTCGAACCCTAATCACTTACCACTCATCCCTGACAATATTCTTGTAAATCTGTACACTTACTCTGTTATGCTATGATATCTTTCCTATAATGTGACAACCAGAACTGTACATAGCAACCTATATGTGGTTCAACAAAGTTAAAAAGATAGTTAATTAAAAAAGATACCTTGTGTTTATTTTATTATTGTATTCAAGTGGACCCACAAAGATCTTTCCTCTCTCACACTGTAAAAGCGAGAGATCATTGTGAGGANTTTTTTTCCAGAGTGTCTCCCTGCAGGAGCTGCCTTCTATCCTGGTGTTCAAAGACGGAGTCTACTATGTATATGATGGTGAGTCCAGAAAGCATAACTCTTTGTTTTTAATTCTCTATACGCGTGTGTGCTTTTCACTGGTTAATCCTGTAAGGTGTGAAATTCCATTCTTCATGAATAGGTTTCATGTTATTACTTCAACCACAGCTTCCGACAGTGAATTCCGCATTCTCACATCCTCCACATTAATTAAATTAGCTATTGGAACTCGTACACGCTTTCATTACATCGAGGCTTGACTAATCAAACTCATTGCTTGTCGGCCTCCCCAACTCCTCCCTCCACAGCCTGCAGATCATCCAGAACTCTGCAGCTCATGTCCTCTCTCGCACAAGGCTCCGAGACCCTATCACCTCCATTCTCGCCTGACTCCACTGGCTTCCCATCACACAGAGGATACAGTTCAGTTTTCTGGTCCTCACCTTCAAAGCCCTCCATGGTCTTGGTCCCCCCTACCGCTGCGACCTCCTAACCCCCTACCAACCTGCTCGCTTCCTCCGCTCAGCGGGCTCTGGCCTGCTTCACGTTCCACGCCTCACTCGTCCCACTACTGGCAGGTGGGCCTTCAGTCACTCTGCCCCCAACCTCTGGAACTCCTTCCCGCAGTCCCTCCACCTCGCCCCCTCCTTGCCTCCTTCAAGACCCTCCTCTTTGACTGTGCTTTCGATCTCCCTGCTTCCTCCCCTGCCCTCCTCCCTCCCCAATCCCGACCACCAGCTCGGGTCCGAAACTCTTATCTGTCCAGCACCTTGGGGCGTCCTTCCGATGTGAGGAGCTATACAAATGTAATTGTTGTGGAAGAAGACATATTTTAATTAAGTGGGAAGAACTATGACCGATGGAGTTTACAACAACAACTTGCATTTATACAGTGCCCTTGACATGGGGTAATGTCCCAGAGTGCTTGATTGTGGCGGAGTCTGACCCCGAACCAGTGGGAGAGGGAGTGGGGAGGTAACCATAAGCATGATCAAAAAGGAAGGTCTTTAGGCGGGATTTGAGTGGGGGTGGAGGGGGCAACGCGGAGGGATTGAGGGAGGGAGTTCCAGAGCTTCGGGACATAGTGGCTGAAAGCACAGCTGCCGATGGGGGAGGGATTGAGGGACGAACAGGAGGCCGGAGCCGGCTGAGCGGAGGAAGCAGATGGTGGAGTCGAGGGGTAAGTAACTCGGATAGGTAGGGAGTTGGGAGCACATGAAGGGATTTGATAATGAGTAAGGATCTTGAAATCGATCCGTTCATTAATTGGGAGCCAGTGCAGCCTGGCAAGGACTGGTGTGATGGGGGCCGGAGATTTGTGCGGGTTAGTATCCGGTGGCGGAGTTCTGAATTAATTGAATTTTGTGAGTGGTGGAACTGGGGAGACCAGCGAAGAGAGCATTTGAAAAGTCCAGCTGGGATGGGACAAAGGCGCGGATGAGGGTTCCGGCTGTTGTGGGAGTGAGGTACGGACGGAGGCTGGTAATGTGGTGCAGGTGGAAAAAAAGTGTTCCAGGAGTAATGTTTAATGTTCCAACAATGTTTTCCAAACTTCTCCCACATGTAATGGAACTACCAGTATTGAACACTGGGTAATTCCTTCCTTATCCACACATATGCAATGGTTTGTCAGATTTTTTTTAATATATTAAAATATTGTCAGATCGGTTATAGTGAGGAATCCTGAATTCATTGGCTATATAATTACTTTTTCTAGTTTGAACAAAACAAGTCTTAGAAAGCAACTCCATAAGCCTATAGAGATATTATAGTGGATATTATTACAGATATATAGTAGACAATGACTGTCACTAAACAAAAGTTATGATTTATCAAATTGACAATTTCTCTTTATTTTCCCCTCAGAGTATGAAGATGGTGATCTGTCCTCATGGGTGAACAAAGAAAAATTCCAAGGATATGTTTATATTGATGGTTTCACTTTGTATGAACTTTCAGAGACTGGTAAATTATGATTTTAACTTCTCAACTATGATAATATGTATCAAAATATTTCAGAGCCCTAACAGGCAATTCACCCCAACTAATCTGTTGTGTCTGCATGAGCCTTACTCCTTTTGCTTCTTCACAACACTTTTTCATTGTGTGTTTTAATTTGGTTTGCTGCATGTGGTCCAATAATAAACATTAGCTTTGATAAACCAGATTTTCTTGTGAGAAGCTTGGATGAAGGGCCATCTTGAAGGGTGGAAAGGTTATTCAATAGATGAAAGGGACCAGTTTAAAATAGGTTTTAGCCACTATTCACTATAAAAATGAAACAGATTAAAACCATCATATTTGCTGTGGGAGGAGAACTGTAAATTCTCAAATCAAAACTACATTTAGTGCCAAATCCACCAGATTGACAAATCCAATTGAATGGGTCTAGGATTCAGATAAGAAGTGTGTTGATATGAACATTTGTCTGGGAAAAACAGTGAATTGTGAGGGGTGGGATGGAAGACATGTAATTACAGAGAGAGAGAGAGAGAGAGAGAGAAAGCATCCTGTGACAACAATTGTGCAACCAACAGCCAGGTTGATCATGAATATAAAAATAAACTAAACGAAGATGACTAAATTCTTCCAAATGGATTCAGACCAGACTTTGTTTAAAACATAGACTTCACCACTTTCTGAGAAGCATCAGTTGTTTGACATGCAGTTCTGATGTCTGCTTTGTTTTATCAGGAAAATTGGTGGTGGTTGCTGTTATCGATGGCAAGAACTCATCTGAGGAACATACTAGGTAATATTGTGTACCCTTTCATTAGTGCAAATTCACAGGTATATTTTGTTCTATAATTGGCACTGAAATATGTACATTGAATGTACATTAAGATGGTAACCTGAACTGACACTAGCAATTTCCAGATTTCCTGGAACAATTAATTTTATATTATTCCATCTGAGTCTCCGAGAATGTGGATTAAGTCCTGCATTTTGGAACTTGAGACCCAATCAGATCTTTTATATTTAAAAGCTGCATTGGCTGAAGTATGGCTGGTGAGTGGAGAGCAGTAAAGAGGTGCCCACTACCCCTGACCTGGATAAGTATTCTTCTTTTCGCTCTTCTATTTTCTTTTCAACTTTGTATTTTATTTGGCTACCATTTCTGTTGTCTGGTGCTCAGCCCCCCTCCCAATAATGATCTAATGTAGAGCCAGATCCAGGCTGCATAGCACAGTATGCTGCTTTTACAATGGCTTTACTTCTAAGAAAGTCTTAACTCTGGAGCCAAAGTAGCAATATAAAAGCAACATTATTTATAAATGAATTACTTTATAAATGAATAAAGTAGGAATCTGAGGGTTTTGGGGAGTCAGCCTGGTATTTACAACAAACCCCAACATAAAAATATACAACACTATAACAAGCCATTTGTCCTTTTTTTATTCAAGTTGGATGTTTGCTCCTTCCAGAAGCAATCCATCCTAGTTCTACTGCTAATAACATGATCTATCCCTGTACCCTCTCATGCCCTCCCTCTGCAATTGCTTTTCTAAATGGCCCAATTGACATTTCTCTAACACCTACCACTGGCCAATAAATTTGATTGATATATTTGCAGTGTATTGCACAGATAAGTAATGTTTTCCTTTTTCCCCCCAGCTTGAAGTCCATCACTCAGGAAGTTGCTTTTGGCTACAGGAATCAGTTTCACAGGTTAGTTGATAAATACAAATTACTTCTGCCTCAAAGAGAAACATTTACTTTCTAATACTTTAGTCTCCGGCAATACATCACAGACAATTTATCAGTTTATTGTACACTGTTATTTCTCTCTTGCTTCCCCCCCCCACCAACATTAGTTTTGTAACTTTGTCAGGAATTTTGTTACTGAATTGAATGCATCTAAGCTAGCATTGAAAACCTTTTTCCATATTTCCACAATTGCTACATCATAGACATCAGTAATCTTGCTAGAGGATGGTTTTCCTCTGCTGTTTTAAAGAAAGAAAATCAATGTATTACATTCTATTGGTTTAAGAAATAAACATTATAAGCAGAATAGTATTTTATGAATGGAACAAGGTCATGCTTTAGATCCATGTCCACAAGGAGGTTCAGATTCCTCTAGATTTATTTATTTGTTCATAGGGTTCAAACAGCTAATGATGAAAATACTTTTGCAGGGATTTCCAGTTTGGGCACATAGATGGAGCTGACTACATCAACAGTGTCATAATGGAGTGAGTGTTTCCTCAATAGAAATTAATCAATTTGAAGTGAACATAACTAATGTAAATTGCATCGGTTAGGTTAGGGATTGTGGGATTGTGGGGGTCGGGCCTTCAGCCTCTCAGCCCCGAGGCTCTGGAACTCCATCCCCCAGTGCCTTCACCTTGCTTCCTCCCTTTCCTCCTTCAAGGCCGGTCTCAAAACCTTTCTCTTTGACCGTGCCTTCAGCTCCCCTCTCGACTCTCTTCCCCCTCCTCGCTCCCTCCCTTCCCTCCCCCTGACCATTTCCCCCCTCCTTGCTCCCTCCCTTCCCTCACCCTGACCATTTCCCCCCTGCTCGGGTCGTGACCCAACTGTGCAGCGCCTTGGGACGTCCTCCTGACGTGAAAGGCGCTTTATAAATGGAATCTTGTTGTTGTTGTTCTAAATTGCGGCAGTGTGTATTAACTTATTTGACCACTTAATTTCACCAATTCTTGAAAAGGAATGATCCAATAAAGCTGTCTTTCTTTACTGTGTTAATTTACCAGAGTAAGGATTCTAGATCATAACATTCTTACAGTAAAACTCATGATTATAAGTTGTGAATGGGTAGCACTTTGTTTATTTTGGACATTAGATATATATATATTAATATAAGATCATTAACGGATCATGTTATATGAGAAATTCTATTTGTTGAAAAGTTCACTTGTTTATCTGTTTTCAGTGAAGTCAAGGTTCCTTCCATTGTTGTGCTGAATACTTCAAACCAACAGTATTTTGTACCAGAAAAGACAATCGGAAGCATTCAGGACTTGGTTCAATTTATTAATGACATCTTGGAAGGCTCAGCAGAGGTAAGTTTCAGTGGCATTAAACAGGTTTGAATACATACATGATGGTTCTCTTGGAAGTGCGTCTGAGGAGAATTTTTCTTTTTGGTCAGCTGGATAACATGCAGAAATATATCATGCTAAGATTACCCAAACCAGAGTTCCATGTGACTGGAACAAAATTTCCATGTTTCTGGAATAGAATGTGCACTCTCTCCCTGGAGGGACCCTGCTTACCTTATTCTGGAGAGTATTATCCATGGACCGAAATACAGATTGTCCATCGCCGTGGGACGTCCTCCTGACATGAAAGGCACTATACAAATATAATTTTGTTGTTGTTGTTAGCAAGACCCAAATATTGGGAACTCCAGGATTATGTGTTGGGGTACGACTGAAGTTTAATCACTTACCATTGAAAGCACAGTTTGACAATAGTTTTCCAAATAGGACCACGCTACCCATTAGATCTTGGGCTTGCGGGATTAACAGGAGCAGAGTGGAAGGAAGAATCCCTGATCCCAGTCTGCCTTCTGAATCCTGCTGATGAGCCAGGCTAGCTGGTCTGTAATCCTCAGTGCCGTGGACTGCTGGATCCACCTGGCTCAGGAACTGAGATGGCCACAGATATTCATAATGATGTTCGCATTTAATATAGTGCCTTTCCTATCGGGAGGTCATCTAAAAGCACTTCCCAGGCTTTACTTTAATATGTAGTGATCGTGTATTTGCCGGCAATTTTGTTGACTCAATTCTGACATTCTTTCATTATTATGGTATCAGAGCAGAGAAACAGACCATTCGGCCATCAAGTATTTGTTGTTTTTCTTTGCATGAGGCAACTGATCTAATCTCAATTTCCTGATCACTCCTTTATTTAATATTGCTTCTCTTGAGTCATATCTGTTTCCCTTTTTAAACAATTGGTATTTCTGCTGTAAATACAATTTGTGGCAAAGACTATTTTCTATGTAAAGAATGTTTTCTAACCTCTTTAGTTCTTTTCATTGCAATCTTAAATTAATATTAATTTTAAATGTTTTCAAATGAAATACACCTGTTTAAAGCTAATTGAATTTTATGCTCTTGAAAATAAATCCAGTTGTTTGGTGAACCTATTTTACAGGCACAAGGCGGAGATAGTTTTTTTCATCGAGTTAAACGAATGTTATACGATGGAAAATCAACTATATTGGTAAGTATCAGTAAATCCTGTATGGCTACATTGTATTTGCAGCCACTTCTATAGGTTTAGAGAAATGTGTTGTGATAGATATTTGGTTTCTTGAATTGTAATGCATTGCCTATATATAACTATTAGAGGCTGATATTCTGGTTCAAGAAACAAGTGTGAATCTGTGTGTTTAATTTGAACCTTTAGACTGCAAGCAGATCTATTCGTCTGCAGATTTTACTTTGAGCAGTTAGCTGATTTCATAAGCACAGTGCTGTACACCAGTACTGGGTTCTACTATACAGTTAGTCAAACCAGAATAAAATTCTCAAATAAGTTGTGAAATTGTGATGTAATTGTGACCATAATACCAGAAGTACTCAGAAAGAGACATAATTTCAGAGAGAGAACACAGTAGAAGAAAAAGAGGCTGTCATTGTGGTGCTATTTTAAATTATAACTCTTGATGGGATATATTTTTGGTTAGCACCTAGCCAATTTGTATTTTGCAGTGACCAATTATCTGCATTGCTTGCTCATCTACAATGGGTTTATATAATTGGCTCCCTTTTCACTGTTTGTTTGTAATTTAAGCTCCATTATCTCCAACTATGTCAGAAGTGGGAGCCATACTAAAAGTTTTTGTAGGTCCAAGCCAATTGCAGGTTACATCAGTCATGTAAACAACAAATTGCATTTACATTGTGCCTTTCACATCAGGAAGATGTCTCAGGATTTCCACCCAAGGCTACAGGTTGGACTTGTTGGGGTGGGGGGGGAGACTTAAAAATGACCAAACGTGCGATCAAAGAGGAAGGTCTTGAGACGGATCTTTTAGGAGTCAAGAATTGGGACCAGTATCATATGGATGGGTTGCACCTAAACAGGGCTGGGGTGAATGTGCTTGCAGACAGGCTATCTAATGCTGTTGGGGAGGTTTTAAACTAGTTTTGAGGGGGGAAGGGAAAGCCAAAAACAAAGAGCTAGAAAATGGAGAAATAAAACAGGGGGGGAAGTGCAGAACAGGTCAAGTCGGTGTTGGAGTGCATGTGCCTAAATGCACAGAGTTCAGCAAACAAGATTGGTGAGCTGCAGGCTCAAGTGGTCATAGGGGATATGATGAGTAGCAGTAACAGACTTGGCTCAAGCAAGGACAGGAATGGGAGCTGAATATTCCTGGCTACAATGTATTCAGGAGAGATAGGGAAGGAAAAAAAGGAGGGGGTGTGGCAATGTTAGTCAAAGATACGGTTATAGCTGTGGAAAGGGTCGAGGTGCTGGAGGGCCCCAAAACGGAATCTGTCTGGTTAGAGTTAAGGAACAAAAAAGGAGCTGTTACGCTGGTAGGGGTATACTATAGACCACCAAATAGTGGGAAGGAAATAGATGAGCAGATCTGCAAGCAGATCTCAGACAGATGCAAGGCTAATAGAGTCGTGATAATGGGGGACTTTATTTATCCCAACATAGACTGGTAAAACAACAGCGCAAAGGGCAAGGAGGGGGAAATATTCCTAAAATGCATACAGGACAACTTTCTTGATCAGTACGTTTCCAGCCCAACAAGGAAGGAAGCAGTGCTGGATCTAGTTCTGGGGAATGAAGTAGGACAAGTGGAGCAGGTTTCATTGGGAGAGCACCTGGGTAATAGTGATCATAACATCATTAGATTCAAAGTGCATATGGAAAGAGACAAGGAACCATCTAAGGTAAAGATATTCAACTGGAAGAGGGCAAATTTCACTGAGTTAAAAAGGGACCTAGCCAAGGTGGACTGGAAAGAAAGATTGGTGGGTAAAACAACTAAAGAGTAGTGGGAAGTCTTCAAGGTTGAGATAGCTCAGGGACAAAATAAATACATTCCCACAAAAGGGAAAAGTAGGGCTTCCAAACCTTTGTGGATGACGAAGGTAATTGTATCTAAAATGAAGCAGAAAAAGGAGGCGTATGACAAATGTCAAACCCAAGATACAGAAGACAACCAAATCAAATACAGGAAGTGCAGAAGAGATTTGAAAAAGGAAATAGGAGGGGCAAAAAGATTATACGAATAAAGGTTAGCGGGTAACATTAAAGGGAATTCTAAAATATTTTACAAACATATCAAGGAAAAAAGGCTTGTGGCCAATTAAGGGCCAAGAGGGAAATCTTATTGTGGAGGCAGAGGGCATGGCTGATGTGCAGAATGAGTACTTTGCATCTGTCTTCACAAAAGAAGTGGATGCACCAAATGCTGCAGTATCAGAGGAGTGGGTAGAGGAAATGGATAGGATAAGTATAAACAAAGAGGAAGTACTAAAAAGGTTGACTGCGCTGAAGGTAGATAAGTCGCCCGGTCCAGACGGGATGCAACCAAGGTTACTATGGGAGGCACGGGTACAAATAGCGGAGGCTTTGGCTACAATTTTTCAATCATCGTTGGACACAGGGGTGGTGCCATAGGACTGGAGAGTGGCCAATGTGACTCTCCTGTACAAAAAGGGACAGAAGGACAAACCTGGGAACTACAGGCCAGTCAGCCTAACATCAGTAGTGGGGAAACTCCTGGAGACTATAATCCGGGACAGAATAAATCTTCAGTTAGAAGAATATGGGTTAATTAGGGACAGCCAACATGGATTTGTTAAAGGCAAATCTTGTCTAACAAATCTAATAGAATTTTTCGATGAGGTAACGGAGAGGGTGGATAAAGGTAGTGCAATTGATGTCGTTTATATGGACTTTTAAAAGGCATTTGACAAAGTGCCACATGAAAGACTTGTAAGAAAGATAGAAGCCCATGGTATAAAAGGGACAGCGGCAGCATGGATCCAGAACTGGCTGGGAGACAGATGGTGAACGGCTGCTTTTCTGAATGGAGGGAAGTGTACAGTGGCGTCCCCCAGGGATCGGTATTAGGACCACCACTCTTCTTAATATACATAAATGATCTGGACTTGGGTATAGCAAGCACCATTTCCAAGTTTGTGGATGACACAAAGTTAGGTAGGGTGGTAAACAGTGAGAACGATAATAGCCAACTGCAGGAAGACATAGGTAGACAGGATAGGTAGATAAGGCTGTAAAAAGGGTAAATGGGATTCTAGGCTTTATAAATAGAGGCATAGAGTACAAGAGGTTATGATTAACCTATATAAAACACTGGTTAGGCCTCAGTTAGAATACTGTGCCCAGTTCTGGGCACCACACTATAGGAAGGATGTTAAGGCATTGGAAGGGCTGCAGAGGAGATTTACAAGAATGGTACCAGGAATGAGGGACCTTGATTATGAGGAAAGGCGAGAGAGGCTGGGATTATTCTCATTGGAGCAGAGATGATTCCGAGGAGATCTAATAGAGGTCTTCAAAATCATGAGGGGATTTGATAGGTTAGAAAGGGAAAAACTGTTTCCACTGGTGGGTGTGTCGGTGACTTGAGGTCACAGATTCAAAATAGTATCTAAAAGAAGCAGGAGAGGTGAGAAGAAATTTTTTCACGCAGCGAGTTGTTCGAATCTGGAACGCATTGCCTGAAAAGGGTGGTCGAGGCCGATTCGATAACTACTTTTAAAAACGCGGTGGACGGGTATTTGAGGACGACGGGTTTGCAGGGTTATGGGGAAAGGGCTGGGGAGTGGGATTGACATTAATTGCTCTATTCAAAGAGTTGGCACAAACTCGATGGGCCGAATGGCCTCTTTTTGTGCTCTATGATTCTATGAAGAGAACTCTGAGCTGAAGTTCCAGAGAGTGGGGACAGATGGGCTGAAAGCTTGACCACTGAAGGTGGGGCAGACTGGGTGGGGGGATGTGAAGCAGACCAGTGCTTCCTGAATAAAGGGAGTGGGCCGAGTGGTAGGGTTTAAGATGGTAGCAGAGATAGGGTAGGGGCAAGGCCATGGAGGGATTCAAAAGCGAGGATAAGGATCTTGAACTCGGTCTGGACGTCGGGAAGCCAGTGGAAATGGGTGGGGGTGATAGGCAGAGGAGAGGACATGAGCTGCAGGGTTCTGGTGGTCTGCTGCTTGTGGAGGGAAGAGTTGGGAAATTTGGTGAGCAGAGAGTTGGTATAAACTTGGTTGGATGTGATGAAAGCATGAATAAGGTTCTCGGTGGCCCAGTTGAGAGGTAATATGTAAAAATACACAGAACAGGAAGGGCTACTGATGAGTGACTGTACTCAGTGGGAATTTACTGTGTGCCAATGGCGTTGGCCAATAAAAATTGTGACTCCACAAGGAAATTACTGCAAAGTGCTATACAAATACAAACTACTTCTTTCTTAAAACATTATGCTTTTGAAGACTATCTGTACAAATATTAAATGAAAATGAACCTTGCTTACTAAGTACCTACTTTCTGTTTTCTTCTGCTTAACGTAGTCTGTTTTTAAGACCTCTCCACTCCTGGGCTGTTTTCTCTTTGGCCTGCCACTGGGTGTTATCAGCATCATGTGTTATGGAATATGGACAGCAGATGGGGAATATGAACCAGAAGAAGGCGAGCTACCTGAACCAAATGCCATTACTCAGGGAGATACTGAAGCCAGTGATGAGGAGAAGGAAGATGGCAACTACGAATATCACAAAAATGATGATAAGATTAGAGAAAATTCAGACCATACAGATGAGGAACTTGAAGAAAAGAGCATGGTGGAAAAGAAAACTGATTAACTAGAGTTTAAATGCTGAGTTCTTTTTAGTGTTTGTTTTTGGATGATTATGACCATTGTTGCATTTTAACATGAGCAAGACCTTTAGAAAAATAACAGAAATGGATACTTGACTTAACCAGGTGACATGCACTCTTTATAGAAGCTGTCTGGATTGGAGATGTTTTGAATGATTATGTAAATTTACATTTTGTTCTTTAGGTGCACATAATTTTTTAAAACAATGATATAGACTATGTTATACAAGTATACAATGAGCATTACAACCATTTTCTTCCATACTCTGCAACATGCATCTATATACAGTGCAGCTCCATGAATAACACTTATTACAGTGTGAATATCATTATCATGCTGGCTCTACTGTGGACCCTATTCACTATGCATATACCCAGCCAGCCCACATATGTCCTGTGGATCAGCTGGCGTGCAGTTAGAGTTGTTATGGATCCCAAACACTGAGACCCACTTTACACTCACGATTCAATATTGAGATCAGCAGAAAGAGTATTGCATTGAACACATAGCCCACTGTAGGGCATTTGAGAGTTTCATAAAGTGAAGCTAATGAGTAAGATGGAGTAGAAAGTGATCACTCAACATAATCTGTAGGTCATTGTTAATGAGAATGTTTTATCATTGCTGTTTGTTTACAGTTGTAAACATCAGAAATGAGTATTAGCCACTTCTATTACTTGACAGACTATATGAAAGCTGTGAAAACAAAATCTTTATAAGAGATTGCATTTTACTAACAAAACTATTCCAATATCTCAGTGGTACTTACACTGGGAACAAAGACAAATGATTATTTTGGAGTTCTTGTACTTTTTATGTTGGTTCATTTTACACCTAAAATTGACCTTTTTTTGTCAAAAACCTGAAATAAGCCATACACGCCTTGAAGTGGAATACGACTTGATGTGAACACAAATTATTGTTATTTATGTAGGTTACACATTTTCTACAAATCATAAGCAACTGCTTTGATAATATAATATATAGTAAATGAAATATTAAATCAAAGTGCTTTCTACAGGTTATAAAAAACGATAAATGCTAGTTTAAAACATCCCTTTTATTTAGGAAATGACTGAAATACACAGTACATGTTGTCCAATATTTATTTTCACTAGTTAAAGCGCCTTGGGACGTCCTCCCGACGTGAAAGGCGCTATACAAATATAATTTTTTTGTTAAGGCCTTTCCATGTATACTGTTGGCAATTCAACATCATCCCTATATAAATACTTGTATAAACATGAATGTAGCTGAGTAAATCAACAATAGTCTTTCAATAGTTAATACAGGGTTGCAAATACAGTGCAGCCTTTCATGTAGTGTAAAATGAACCCCTTACAACTAATTGCCGGAGTAGCTGTTTTAAAGATATTTTTCAATGGAAATAACTGCACTGTGGGGCCTGGGATAATTTTTTCCATCTATTTCTACAATGTTACCCCACTGAGCCAATGTTCTCAACTGCTCCAAAAATAAATCAGATATAAAACTCATATTTCAAAAGACCAAATGCTAGAAATGTGAAACTGTTTATAATTTTAGTATCATTGCTTGGTTTCTTCCTCCTCTCTTAGCACTTCCTCTTTTAATTTCCATTGGAACTATTTGTTTATGTAGTAGTTTTTTTTATTTTGACCCTATGTTTTGAAACCCTTTATAATTCCAGGTTTAATGCGCCTGTCACTAATTTTGCTTCACTTAAAAATAAATCTGCGTTTCTTATTTTGGAGATCTCTTTATGCAGCTAAAAAGCACATCTGGATCCAAGTTTTCCAAGCCCTTCATAATCTTATATGGTTGCCTTGAAACTTCAGCTACCTGCATCAACACATTTCTCAGTCATTACCCCAGCAAAACTTCTCCAGTATATCCAGCCTCTAATATATTGCTTGAAATGTCTCAAATAGTAGGTGAGAATAGTGAAGTATTTGTAGGCAAACAAACCACAAATCATATGAATCATATGAAATAACTGATGAATTTAGCTGCAGGATTGGAAGAATAGTGAGCTTACCTGCGATGGGGCCTTCCTTTCCCACACCCAGCTAATAGTCTGGAATCATTCATGAAGCATAGCAATGCGTGAGCGGGTCTGCTGGTGACACTTGTACGAACTCCCAGCAGGAGTCGCCAATCTCAGAAAATAAACTTGGAAGGGAAAAGGTAGCAATGTGCTTTTCCAATGTTACAAAGAATCACATGCAGTGTTTCTGCAATACTTGCTTTAATTTCCTAATTAGTTTTACCCACAACTGCTTAGAGACGTCTTGGAAGACGTCATAAGGCGCTACATCGAATGCAAGGATTATTATAATATAGATGCTTAAGTGTTAAAATAGTAATTTGTGTTTCTAACTGCCAGAAAATGTATCATGCTGGAGCTAGGAAAGGTATAGAAATTTTCATGAATAAATTATTTGGAAGGTTGTACAATTCCTAAGAATTGATGACTCCAGGTACATCATACGGAAATGTAAGGAATCCCATCAGTGTCACACAATAGACCACAATATATTTAAATCTTTGTTGATCATAACGGCGAATGGATTTGGCACTTTTTTATGGTGAGCCAGTTAGCTGATACGTCATCATGCTTGTTTGACAATTCTACTTCTGTATGCTGTTTGATATGGAGTGCACTATCAAGGCAGCCACATACTTTTGCCTAATCAGTGTTGAATATGTAGGATTTTTGATGTAGCTCAACAGGGCAATAAGGTTGTTCAAAATTGATTCATAGCTGAACAAGAATAACCAGTTATTGTCTACTCTTTGTTTCTAGTTTTTGACTTGGATGCTTTTAACTTTTATTTCTGAAATGACAAATGCCTGTGCTCCATCATTGTTCCAATTTAACAAATTTATTACTTTCAATACATTTTTTTTTGTCAACCGGGTGTCTGAATGCTTTGTGTTATTTTGTCCAGGACAAATATATTGCTTGAAATGTCTCAAATAGCAGTTGAGATAAAACCTGTCACCATTCGACTAAATCCAATCAAAATTGGGAGTTTGGTGAGACTCAGAAACAGGGAATCCAAGATAAACCAAATCAATTTAACATTTTTATTTCTTTAAATGTTTTTCAAGCTTGCAGCACATTAAGTATCGGCTTCTTTCCTGAACTTCATAAATATAAAACATATGACCTGTTTCTTCTCAACATCTTCCTTGGGGCAGGTGGACAGCTTGACCATCTGGCACTCAATCACCTCTTCCTCATTTATATATTTTGTTGTTTGCTACCATAATGTCCTCGGTCATGCAATTCATTGCCTTGTTTGGTAATCATTTACCACACATGAAAAAGTTAAGTGCAATCATTCTGTTCTTTATATCACAAGTTAACAGTTTTACTGCCCAATATAAATTGAAAGTCACAATACCATTGCATGGTTTTGGCATCTCAGACTAACGAGCAATTATTTTTGCACACAATACTATCAACAATTGTATCTGTCATCAAACCACCACCACAATGCTTCTAAGAGTAACCAAACCAGATTTGCATACGCCTTCCTTCAACACATGGACTTTTGTTTATGTCTGCACACCTTTTGAGATGCACCCATCTTACCCAATTCTGGATAGGTTGGCAAGAGACTTGTAAGCCCAAGAGTGTGCGTTGGGGTACTGCTGGAAGTTAACCAGCTGAAACCACAAATCTCGCCATTTATCATGGTCTAGAAAGCTTCCCACTGCTTGTCTAACTAGGACCACCCTTTCCATTAGGGTTTTGACTTGCATGGCTAACAAGAGTTGAGTAGAAAGAATCTGTGTCTCTAAACCTGACTGGGAGTATGGATGCAGTGTAGAGGGAGCTTGACTGAGTTTCTTAACTTAAATTTCATCAACAAGCCAGGCCTGCTCGTCTTATCAGCAATGCCTGGTGGACTTGGCTGCCAGCAAATTGACTAGATTCTAATACTCTGGTTTCTAAGCATGTCACTTTGGAGCCAGTTCAGCCTAAATAATCCCGCTTATCTCTACTCCCCTTTGGAGGATAGTCACTAGTTGGTCACCCGATAAACCAGGTTTGAGTCCTTACTCCCTGTGAATAGCACAAATTGTGCCATATCCTTACCTATTTCAGTGAGGTTACAGTTGTAAGTACAGAGCTTGAACAGCAGCTGCTCATCTGTGTACCAATCAAGGAAATATATAATATAGCTTGCTATAACAAACTTGGAATAATCATTTTTGTTTATCAGAAGCAAAATCTGATACATGAGGTTTTGCCAGGCCTAAAATAATGAAATGTGCAACTTAATGGTTTGAAACAGCTGAGCCAAGATTAGATTCAAAGTAACTTATGTTCTCCATTGCCCTGGTTACTGCAGTAATCCTGGTTGGAAATCCAATTGTAGATTTTTCACAGCATTAGTTTAGTAGAATGCTTAAAATAAAATTGCAGCTGTGATGCTTCCTGTTAAAATCTACATATTTATGTAACAACTTAATTTCCTCACGATGAAATATACATCATTTTGTTTCTGGGCATTTGTTAATTCTGTGTTGAACAAATAAAGTCAAGAAAACCTATGGCATTTTTCTATAATAGTTTACATTTTCAAATATTCAGTAATCTTTTTTAATGTCTGAAAAGTTAATGAATTTGTGGATCTAGGGAATTACTACATATCCATAATGTGATATTGCTCCTAATTGAGGAAACTTTTTAAAATTTACAATAAGCCTTCAACATAAGAGGCTTTCTGACTAGATATCAACTGGAAGCTCAAATAACAAGTACAAATTCCAGCTCACTTTGTTTTTGTTAAATGTGGAAAACTCAAGAATATTCCACAACTACATATAAAAAAATAATCTACCAATCTGTAGAACACCACATTGGCAACTGCTGTGTTTCAATCCACCAAGATAATGTGCCCTTTGTAAAATTTAAAACCACATTTTCTTGTACTCAGCAAAAGCAGCCACATCCAGACAGGTATTAAGGTCAACAGGAAATATTTTATTTATGTCCAAGCACAGAAAGCCTTTGTCTTCAGTTCAAACGAAGAATGATGGGGAGACAGTCAAAATATCTGAAAGTTTTAAAAATAATATTAATTCAAAATGTGACAAGGGCATATTAAACAAATGTCATCCGAGGTGGGATTGAGATGCATAAAAAGAAAAAAAGTTCTCATTTTGGTACTAACAAAAACAGTTTAGTTAATCTCATATTTTAATCAAAATGGAGGAGAATCAACTGAGACAAGGTGGCAGGAGAAGTACAACATAATTGGTTTTGTTAACAGGTAAGGAAGTGGATGGCAGAAACACAGCCAGCGCTCCTGCTCTAGATCACCATCCAGTGGCCATCTGATGGAAAGAGGATTGTATGGATATTGGGTATTGACAGAATTTTATTCAGCTGTGATGCTGCTACACTAAATAGTCTGCCAGCATACAAACTAAACTCATGCCCAAACAAAACCTGTGTGAGTGGTTCTACAGCATGTTTTTGTACTTCAGGGGCAGTAATGACAATTGGAGTGCTCTAATTGCACTCACAAAAACAAAAATCTAGAATCACACGTTGCTTTCACAGTACCTAAAGATCTGTTCATGTATTTGGGGATTTCTGGTTTTTTGTATCAGTTTTAAAAAGAATAATGGTTGTTGGGAAAAGTGAATGTTTCATTTTAGGTATAATCTGTTAAAGGCATTTGAAAAACAATTTTAAATTTTGAATTCGGGCCTCAGCGAGCATTCAATTAGAAAATTATTAATGAAAATATTCTAAACTATATGAAACATTCAAGTATCAATTTTATGCAAATTGATAAAAACTATAGAATTACATGACGTTTGTTTCATGGCTGTTTGTGGAATTGGGCTGTGTACCACTGCTGCGTGCAATTCAGCTGCCTTGTTCTCTTACAAATACAGTCACTCCACAGTAAATCCCGTGTAGTGCTTCAGGGCATCCTCCCTACATGGATTATTCTTATTATTGTGACCATTCTTACAAAGATTTTTTGAAAATCTTCTTTTAAAATCTCATATGAAATGTTGAAAATAGACTGTAGATATCCTTGTATTTTGAACATTCCATGTTCTTACCTTCATATTTAGGCCATTATTTATGTTTTGGTTTCACACTTTCAAATATACCAGCTTCTCTCATTGCTTCAAACTCCTTCATAGCATCATACTTCTTGTAGAAGTCAGCATATGCCTGCTTCTTGGGTTCAGTTACTGCATACTGCAAAGTGTTAAAATGTTTCAGAATTAAAAATATTGTATTTTTACCCCTGTGCCTTAAACAGTAAAACAAAAAAGTAGACCAATGATTTATTATAATGAAATAATTATTCATTACAAATACAGTCACTTCATTTCATAGTAAATTCTTGTGAAGCAGTTTGAGATGCAACGATTAGTATTATTAATAATTGCACAGGCCTCTTAAATGGAAGTTTGACGCAGAACACCTGCATGCATATACACACATACACAACAAAGCAGAGGGACTCAGAAAGACAGACTCGAAAGACTGTGAATAATCTTTGTGGGTTATCTTTAACACATCAATGGAAAATGTGGTTGAATATTTCAGAGTGTTAACTACATTCGAGTCTCGAAAACTGTACAACGTTTAAGAAAAAGCTGCAATAAATTTAATGATCAAATCAGATTACCAACACATTATAAAATTGTCAAATACCAAAATTACAAGAGCTAGAGAGTATCTGCAGGCTTCAGGGCAAAGGTGAACGTTAACACAAAGTGGCATTTTAGTCACTACTTAACAAAATTCACATCAGCTACTATTTTTAAGCTACCTGCCAGCCTTCACCTTGAGTCATTCATCTTGTTCAAGGTCCATCTTAAGACCCTTGATTACCTTTTTGGTGATCTTTCCTCTCCGCACCCCCTTGGGTGCCAAGCTAGGAATGTTAAGCACCTTGGGACTTGAAAGGTGTTGAATAAATGTATTGTATTCTGTAAATGACCTAAATATTATAGCCATATTTGAAAGACAGCAGTCCACTACTTTGTGTAGAATCTGTCAACAAAATCATCCATACCACTGCACTCCTCTATGGAATGGTAGTATGAATATATGGGACAACAACTACATGCATTTAGTTATATAGCAACCTTCACACCTTATTGTCTCAAAGCGAGACTGGGTGTGGTGAAAAGAATAAAGATCCTGAGCTCAATGATACTAACCTTGATGAAAGCAGCTGCTGAAAAAGACACTGCAAACGCCACAACTAAATGCAATCGCAAACGTTTGGCCAACAGGCCTCTCATCACAGGCTTGACAATCACGGAGGAAGACATGATAAAATCTTTCCTTTTAAGAAAAAAACAAAAATGAACATGAGAAATGTGATTTTCTAACAGATCAGTCAAAAGGTCATGAGGCCAAGCCCCACATCAGGACTTGGAACTCATGTAGGTGATTTTTTGGGAGATGCTGTCTTTTGGTCACATTAAATCAAGGTCCCTTCTGTCTGTTCAGGTGAACATTAAAGATCCAATATTTGAAAAGAGAAGAGTTTTTCCCGATGTCGTGGCCAACACTCCCCCAGATAAAAGTTCATTTCATGGCTGTTTGTGGGATAATGTCGTGACCAAATTAAGTTCGCTGCTGTATTGGCACCTTTCAAGTCAGGAGGACGTCCCAAGGCGCTGGACCGTCAGGGAGTTGGTGAACATGCACGACAATCCGCACCCGAGTTGGTGGTTTGGATCAGGAGGGGTGGAGGGTAGGGGTAGGAGGATGACTGAAGGCACAGTCGAAGAAGAGGGTCTAGAGACAGTCTTGTCGAAGACAAGGGAGGGGTCGAGGTGGAGGGACTGCGGGATGGAAATCCAGAGGGTGGGGGCAGAATGGCAGAAAGCCCGCCTGTCAATGGTGGGGCAAGCGAGGCGGGGGATGTGAAGCAGGCTGGAGCCCGCTGAGCAGAGAGACAACGGCAGGTTGGTAGAGGATTAGAAGGTTGCAGAGGACTTTGAAGGTGAGGACCAGGATCTTAAACTGTATCCTCTGTGTGATGGGAAGCCAGTGGAGTCGGGCGAGGATGGGGGTGATAGGGTCGCGGAGCTTAATGTGGGAAAGGACACGGGCTGCAGAGTTCTGGATGATCGGCAGCCTGTGGAGGGAGGAGCTGGGGAGGCCGACAAGCAGGGCGTTGAGCCTGGAGGTGATGAACCTACATGTGCAACTGCCCCTCCAAACCGAAGGATAAAACCTCCGATCCTCCTCCCCCCACTCCAAAAAAAAACATGGGAACAAACACCGTCATCCCCTAAAACCAGGGCAGAAAACTCTCTCCCTTTAAAAATTAGGGGGAAAAAAAAACTTCTAAAACAGGGGGTGGGGAAGCATCCTCCTCCTCCTCCTCCTCCAGGGGGGAACCCTCTTCCCTCAAACAAAAACACAGGAAAAGACAACAACCCACAAACCAGGGAAACCCAGGGATAACCCACCCCCGACCCCGGACACCCCCGCCCCCAACCCCGGACACCCCCCGCTCCCCCAACCCCGGACACCCCACCCCGCCCCCCAACCCCCCCGGCCCCCCAACCCCGGACACCCGCTCCCCCAACCCCGGACACCCCCGCCCCCAACCCCGGACACCCCCGCCCCCAACCCCGGACACCCCCGCCCCCAACCCCGGACACCCCGCCCCCAACCCCGGACACCCCGGACACCCCCGCCCCCAACCCCGGACACCCCGCCCCCAACCCCGGACACCCCCGCCCCCAACCCCGGACACCCGCTCCCCCAACCCCGGACACCCGCTCCCCCAACCCCGGACACCCGCTCCCCCAACCCCGGACACCCCCTCCCAACCCCTAACACCCGCTCCCAACCTCTTCCACCCCCTCCCAACCCCTAACACCCTCTTCCCCGGGGTAAATCTCTCCCTGGTCTCTGCCGCCCTCCCCCCCACCACCACCACCACCACGACCTGAGGCCAAGGCTCCCCGCGCCCTGTGGACAAGACAGTCGCACAGCCGTTTCCATGGCGGGCAGCGCGGCCTCCCCTTCCCTGGGGGCCGCTGTGGAGGCCGGGGCGGGGCGGGGGTCCGGGGGACACGGGATCAGCTGTAACCCGAGGCCCGAGGCTCCAAGGTTACCAGCGGTTACCCTCCGCCCGGCCCCCGGGCACAGACAGGAACCCAGACGGCGGTTAGTGTGAGCCGAGGCCTGGCCCCCGCGCCCTGCCCCCGGGCCGTGCGGTGCTGTGTGGCCGGGGTTTGGGTGGTGTCCGGGCGGCAGCTCCTCACCCGATCTCCTCCTCCTCCTCCTCAAGGCCTCTGGGTCACTCTCTCCGCCTCCGCGCCTGCGCGCCGATAAACCCGGGGCTGACACGCCCCCCGCGCGTCAGCGGCGCGGTGACGTCACGGCGCAGCGCGCAGCGCAGGGTTTGGGCGGGAATTGGGTGTCACGCAATCTGACAACAACAACAACAACAACAACAAGTGCCTCCACACCTCAGGCACTGACCGCCTCGCCAGCCGTGGCCGCTCACTCCGCCTCACTCCGCCGGTCCGGGGGCTCGGACGTCTTGTTTGACCCTCAACTATCCTTTCTACCCCACGGCCGCGCCATGACCCGCTCCGCCCTCCCCCTCCCCCTCCGCGACGTCGTCCGAACCCAAAGCGAAATCGCGCAGGACTCTGCATCGCCGGGTGCGGCTTCTTGGCCGTCCATTGTGACATCTATTTGCGATTTTGCAAGTTCAAATTAATAAAGTGCGTTCACTCGTGCAGCTCGTGTCCCCATCGCCCCCACCCGCGCCCGGCTCCCCCGGCTCCCCCTCCCCCCTCGCCCTCGCTGACAAGGCGCTCCTACGTCTCTCACCTGCTGACCCCCTATCAGCCTGTCCGCTCCCTCCGCTCCGCAGGCTCTGGCCTGCTCCAGGTGTCCCGCTCGACCCATCCAGACATTGGCCGCCAGGTTCCAGCCTCTGTGCCTCTACTCTTTGGAATTTCATCCCACGATCCCTTCGCATCACTCCCTCTGCCGCCTCCTTCAAGGCACGACTCAAGACCCTCCTTTTTGACCGTGCCTTCAGCCGTCCTCCTGCCCCCTCTGCCTTCCCTCATCTCAACCTTGCCCTCCTGATCCCTGACTGTTCAGCACCTTCGGACTCCTCCCGACGTGAAAGGCGCTTTACAAATGTAATTTTGTTGTTCTCATTGTTCACACAAAGCAGCAACTCAGAGTACTAATCCATGGCAGAGCTTGACCAAGGAGAAAAGGGAGGTGACTGTTGGTACAATCAAAGAAGAAGGTTGTTTGGTGCAATCCGAAGACATGCAATCTGAAGGGGGCAAAGCGGAGGGATATTAGATGCAGATTTGCAAGAGCCAAGGCTTGTAGACCGCAGAGTGTGCATTGGGGTACTGCTGGAGTTTAACTAATTAATACAGCGTAGCTTGCCTTTGAAAGCACTGTCTGACAAGCTTTCAAATGCTTCTCCAACGAGAACAAACCTATCTGTTAGGGCTTGGGATTCTAGGTTTACCAGGACCAGAGTGCGAAGAACACATGCCCCAGTGCAGGTGAGCCAGGCTGGCAAACCAGAATACTGAGACCACCACATTGTTTCCTACCAAGCTCCTGTCGACTTCTTCAGATGAACATTAAAGACACAATAGCATTATTTCTCCCGGTGTATTAGCCAACCAACCCCCGGATAAACTGATTATTCATTTCATGGCTGTTTGTAGGACTTACTGTGCGCACATTAGCTGCCAGATTTACTTATAAAATGCACTTTAAAATATATATCCTCTATGTTCACTGCACGTGGATGGATACTATAACACTTTATAAGAATTTATATCATTCAAAAATTGCAAACATAACTAATGCTATGATGTTCCTATGTACAATATAGGTGTCCTTAATCTATAGAATTGAGGCACTTACTGTCCAAATCCTGTAGCTCAGTGGTTAGAGCACTCACCTGGCAAGTGGAAGACCCAGTTCGATTCACGGCAGGGTGAAACCTTGGGCAAGTTTCCTTACTCCACCCGCCCTGATAATAATGCTTCAAGAAAAAAAAGCCAATAATAATTTGGTCACTTCAATCCATGACTGTTTGTGGGACACTGCTGTGCGCAATCGTCTGCCGCGTTTCTCCCACAAAATATACAGTCAATTCACTTTACAGTCTATTCTGTGAAGCGTTTTGAGATGTCCAGAAGGCATGAAAAGCGCTATATCAAATGCAAGGATTATTATTATTATTAAGTCCACATTAAATCATTCTGCCGTCCTTTCATAGGGTAAGATAGGTTTCTCAGACTTTCTGGTCCATGATAAACCTTCAGGACTTGCTGGTGTTGGTGACCAGCCTGATGCTTTTAATATGCTGAACATTTTAACAGAATAAGTTTGCAAACAATACTAATTACAATCTGGGGGAAGTATGACATAATTAGCAATTTAATCTAAAATGCCATATTACATTTTCATTTTGTGTGACCTACTGTATTCAGGATCTTACATCTTACATACTGCAATCAATCCTTGTAAATGGGCCTATGGACTCTGGACTACAGCCCAGAAAATCCTGGAAGCCTTTCATCCTCTGTGTAAGAATGGCAGAAGTGGTTTAATGTAATTGTAAATTGTCCAGAATATTTATGAAAATGAACAATGTATCCCAAATATAAGATTTATCTTGTGTTTTATTTTGCGAAGGAACTTGAGGAGTATTTCCTGTAAGTATTTTCATTTTTCAAGTGGTTTGTTTCACATTCATTTTCTCGGCATTCCTTGTCATTTGTCATTTTTCTTTGATTCATACCAGGCTAATGTTCTAATAATGAATAAATAGTTTTGAGTAAATGAGCAGATCCTATATCTTGCTGAGTCTTCACTCCTAATTTCATCCAGCAGTACACTACCTTCAATCAGATGTAGTACAGAATCTAAGTTGCACGTATTTGGAGACATAATTTTTGGAAACAAATATATCTGTTGTTTTGTTTTGCATTTTATGTGTTACGTGTAAGAAAACAAAAGGGAAACATTTAATATATTCATACTGTAATTATAGAGCAGCCGCAAAACACGTTTTATGTAATTCAAGAACAATATTGTGGTACATTAAAATTATCCTATTTATAGTGGTAACATGTTTTCCAGATTGTAAAATAGTAACAATTTAAAGTATTATCCACTAAATCATATTATGCCAGCCCTTTACTTCTTACTATCTTTATGTCTCTCTGAGCCCTGTTTCTCTTTCTCTCACTCTCTGATTCTCTCTCCTTTCCAACCCCTGTGCTCCCCACCACCTTCGACTATGCCTATGGTCAGCTCCCCTCCCCCTTCCCTCCTCCCCCCTCCCCCATCCTATCTCATCCCGCTTGGCATTCGTCACTGTATTGTATAAAATGATACTCTAACCCAATGCTGGATATGTGCTGTATTGTTGGAGGTGTCAACCTTCAGATGAGACATTGAACCAATGCCCTGTTCAGCTGGATGTTGAAGATCCCATGGCACTATTTGAAAAGAGAAAGGAGTTTCTCCTGGTTTCCTGGCCAACAATCCTCCAAATAAAATTGGTTATTCGTTTCATGGTTGTTTGTGGGACATTGCTGTGCATAAGTTGCCTGTCATGCTCACCCACAAAGCACATAGTCACTACATTTTAAAGTATATCCTGTGAAGTGCTTTCAGACATTCTCCTAATGTGAAAGGCGCTATACCAAATGTAATAATTATTATTATTTTTTGTGAAGGGTGCTATATGAATACATGATATTGTTGTTCACTAAGACATATCTTTGTGGGACTGGCAAAATAATTCCAGTTGCATACATGTGCAAGAATTGTGCAATTGTGTGCATGATGCCTGAGGTTCCCTCGGAGCTCAATTGACCACATAGTGTGAACTTTAATGGTCCTTCCAAGTAGCAAATGCATTGGAAAGAAGATAGAACTTGAATTCTTACAGCATGTTATTGTGTCAAAATGCTTCAAACACTTTACTAAGTGCACTGATTTTTTTGTAAACAAACGTGAATCTGTGGACAGGTTAGGAGCAATGTTTTCACACATGGAGTTGTTAGAATATGGAATGCCCTGCTGGGAGCGGTGGTTGAAGGAGATTCTGCATAGTCTTTCAGAAGGGGATTAGATAGATATCTGAACAGGAGTAAACTACAGGAGAATGGAGAAAGGGAAGGCAAATAGGATTGAAAGAATCAGCACAGACACAATGAGTCAAAGATCTTCTGTGCTGCAAATTTATTTGGTTTCATTCGCTACAGTACTTATATTCTTGCACTAGATCTTGATTTTGAGGTTTGGGAATGCTAAACATGAAGACGAAATCTTGTGGTGAGACAAGAAGTGCAACACAAATCTGACACATTAATTATTTGTGTTTACTAAAACATTGGAAGTTAATTTATGTGCAGAATATCTAAAGCTACATCTTTCTTCTGTAGTTAGAAGTAAAAATCTGGCAGATATAGTTTTCTTATTACAATATTAATGTAACATAATAAAAACAATAATAATTTGGTTACTCAGTCCACGACAGTTTGTGGGACACTGTTGTGTGCAATTGGCTACCATATTTCGCCCACAAATATACAGTCAATTCACTTTACAGTATATTCTGTGAAGCGCTTTGTGGCATCTAGAAGACAAGAAAAGTGCTACATTAAATGCAAGGATAATTATTATTATTACATATAAGATTTTATCTAAAACTTTGTACAACCCATCAATTAACCAAAAACAAAATTTATTTTAGTAAAGCGATGAGGTTGAACTCCCTTCTCTTTGCAAACAGTGTCATGGACTTTGATGCCCACTCAAAGAAACATTCTTTTATCATCCTGTGGTTAGAAGATTCTATATACTTACACAGTAAATTGTTTTGTAGTTGCTGAAATAGGAAGGCCATCCATCCATTCGTTAATAAAGGAAAGGTTATCATTTATTTCAAGTGCTCTTAAGGGTTTTGAGCTTGCAGTCCAGACTGCTGCTCCAGGACAGTACGAGGGGAGTGTTGGATTGTAAAAGGTACTGCCCTATAGATGAGATGTTAAACCATGGTCCCATAAGTTTGTTCAGGAGGATTCTAAAAATTCCATCATCACTGATCAAAAGGAAAGAGAGTTTCTTCAGGTGTCCTGGCCAAGAATCCCCCAGATTAATCAGTGGAATATAGTTTGCGGTACATTGCTATCTGCCAATTAGATGCCAATATAGACACTACATGTCACAGCAATTACCTGGGAAGCCTTTCGAGATGTTTCGAATTTATACACATTACGTACAAGGAATATTATTAGTATCAGATAAAAACACAGGTCAATAAATGCCAACAGTAGA